GGGAAGGGGTGCCCGCAGTGCCTGAGAATGTCCCCAAGCCAGACCTCAGCTGACCAGGCCGGAGTTCAGGCCCCCCCTGCCAGCAGCCCTGATTCTGGCCTAACAGAGTTTGCCCGTGCCTGTGGGGGCGGGGAGGGGCGCTTCGGAGGAGGAAATGGGGGCAGAACTGGCCGGCCCTGACACATCCCAGCCAACTCACTTTTGCAACACTCTGGGTTTCCTCCTCCCTCTCCTACTCTGCTTTTCCCTGAGGGGGGGGAGTGGAAGGGGGGGCAGAACTCCTGGGTCCTTTTCCACATGGGCCAATGCTTAGAATAGGGGATCCCTCCTCCCTGTTCCCCTTCTAGGCTTGGGGAGGGGCTGAAATGGGGAACGAGGCAGCAGGCTGGACTTGAGGGGACCCAGGCTCACAGGTTGAGGAGTTCCCCAGTTCTTTCTCAATCTAGTTCCCACATAACATGTACCCATTTAGGGGTGAGTAGAAGAGACCCAAATCTCTGGTGAGGTGGCTCAACCTTCCTTCCCTTGGTGGGGGGGGTGAGGTCCACCCCAGGGCACAGGGGCAGGAGGGGGCTGTCCTGAGATGATTCCATCTGGGACAGAATGAATTTTTCCTAGTCCCACAGACTTCTATAATATTGAGTTCAATGCTTTGATGACCAGTAGGAAGAGCTGGACCATTGACGGGTAAGGGACTTTTCTTCTCAACTGAACAAGGTGTCTAGCTGTGCATATGGGTGTGAGGAGTGTATACAACTGTTATCCTGGGTCTCCTTGGCCACAAAGAGACCCCTGCTCTAGGCCAGGAAAGTGCTCAGGACTGCAGGAGTGAGCACAGATTCACCAAGCACCAAGAATGTCTCAGCAGGAAGAGATCTCATTGTGCAGGGGTGGAAATTGAGGCCCCCTCCCCAAAAGGAAGGGACTTAATGACACCAGAATTGGTGGCAGAGCAAGGAAGGACAAAAACACAGGATTCCTGACTTGAAGGCCAGAGGAAATAGAGCCTGGATGGAGCTGAGTCAGCTAATCGCCAGGGGCCCCCCAAATTACTCTAGCCAAGGCCAGGAGGAATATCTCTCTCTCCCAGCTTGTGCCCAATGGACTCTTCCTCCTGCTTTTGTAGGACCTGACAAAGCTAAAGAGAGAACCTGGGAGTCTGGAGGAGTAGGGGGATGGTCTAATTCCTGCCCAACCTCCCCCAAACCATCTACACATCTTTGTGACCCATGGGGCCATAGGACCTTTGGGGAGGGTACAGTGACCCCTCTAGGGAGGGAAGATTCCCATTCCTACTCTTGCCCAAAGAAGAGACATCACCCCTCCCTGACACGAGGCCCAAGAAGACCCCAGAGAAACTTAAACTCTCCCCTTCCCTTTAGACACTCTCAGGTTCCTTCTGTTCTTCACGTGATCCCCTCCAGGAATCTCTACTTTTTCATAAAGGTTCTCTAGGCTTCCATCTCTCCTTAAGAGGATCCTTCATCCTACCCTTCCCTAAGGAAATCAAAGGTCCCCACATCTTGAGGATCCTCCCCCCTCACTCAGGGCACCCTCTTCTTTAAGTGACCCTCAGGTCGCAACTCTCTTTTTAAAGTCTCCCCCTGCCCCGCCCACCTCAAAGTATGTCGCAAGCCCTTACGCTCGTTAAGGAAAGCCGCCCCCCCCCGCCACCCAGGACCCTCTCCACTCCTTAAAGTGATCGCTAAGGATTCTACCCCCTCTAAACCATGGTCATGATTCTCACACCCAACCCCTCCCCCACTTTTCCAAGGCTTTGACTTTGGGGGGGGAGGAGCGGGGAGGGGCGAGGGGGCTTAGAACTCCGGGGCTGCCGGTCGTGCAGGTGGGGGCGTCTCGGGTCCCACCCCCGTGCCTTGATTGGGTGCTTAGTTAAATGGACGGCCACGCCCCCCCAGGCTCGCGGTGCTATTTAAGCGTCGCGGCGGGCGGCGGGAGGCATTCCGGCGCGGAGCGGAGTGGCTGGGTTTGGGGGCTGCTTCTAGGTACCCCCTTCGCCCCCCCCCCCCCGCCCGGAGTTCGCTCGGCCAGCCGGGGCAGCGCCCGGGGCCGCCCCCCGCCCCCCGCCCCAGACAGCCTCCCCCTTCCCCCCTCCCTCGGGGCGTCCCCCGCCGCGGGCGCCCCGCGCTGCAGACCCACCCCCCCACCTCCCCTGACCATGGGCAGCCAGAGCTCGAAAGCGCCCCGGGGCGACGTGAGCGCCGACGAGGCGGCCCCCGCCAAGGCCAACGGACAGGTGGGTGCGCTCTTCGGACCGGGCCGGGCCGGGGCCGGGATGGCGCGGGCCGGACCGGCCTTCTCCCCGCGGTCCTCCTAGTCCTCCTCGCTCGGGCCGCGGGCTTTGTGCCCGTCCGCCCGCCCGCTCGGGACACGCGGCGCCCCCTCCCCCTCCCCCCGCGCCTTTTGTTCTCGGCTCCGCTGCTGCTCCCGGCGGGCGGAGGGAGAGCGAAGCGAGGGAGCGCGGGAGGGAGGGGGCGCGGCCGGCCGGCCCCCGGCCCGCCGCCTTTGTTCCGAGCCGCGGCCCCGGCGCCCAGAGCACAAAGGCGGAGCCCGGGGCGCCGAGCGGGATGGGGGGGGAGGCTGGGGCGGGCGCTCGGGCCGGCCCGGAGCCGGGGGGCGCGGAGGAGGGGGAGGGGGAATGCCTTGGGGGAGAGTCTGGCGGGGGGCGGGGGCCCGGGGCCCGTAGACGGCGCGGAGACAAAAGCCGGGTGGGCCGCGGGGGATGCCCGCAGGGATGCGCCCGGGGCCCGGCCGGCTGCGCTCTCGGGACCCCCAGGCCGGCCCCGCCCGGCCGCCCCGCGCGCCCTCTGGCGGCCCCGGGCCCGGGGGGTGGGGGTTCGCCCCGCAGCTCCCCCCGCAGGCGGCTGACGGCGCTGCCCTGTGCTCTGCCCGTCCGCAGGAGAACGGCCATGTGAAGAGCAACGGAGACGTGCCCCCCAAGGCCGAGGCCGAGGCCGCCCCCCCGGGCCCCGCCGAGCCGGCCGACGCGGCCCGGGCCGGCGGCGACGCCATCGAGGCCACGAGCCCCGCGGCGCAGAGCCCGGGCGGCGAGGCCAAGGCCGAGGGGCCGCCCAAGGAGACGCCCAAGAAGAAGAAGAAATTCTCCTTCAAGAAGCCCTTTAAGCTGAGCGGCCTGTCCTTCAAACGGAACCGGAAGGAGGCGGGGGGCGACTCGGCGGGCTCTTCGCCCACCGAGGAAGGGGCGCCCGAGGCCGAGGCGACGGGCGGCCAGGGGCCTCTGCAGGGGGGCGAGGAGGAGGCAGCCGCCGATGGCACGGCCGCCCCGGCCCAGGGGGCGCAGGCCGACGACAGAAAGTTGGAGGAGCCAGCCTCTGAGGGGGCCGTAGCCCCCGAGCAGAACCCCACGCCAGCCCCGGAGGGCGAGCAGAAGGAGTAGCCCCCGGGCAGGGAGGGGCAGGTGGGCATCTCCCGAGTTCAAAGACTGTGTTCCCCCCACCCTGGGCTGGGTCAGCGCCCTCCTCCCGGGCCCAGCTTAGAACAGGCAGCTGAGACCTCCAGGCAGAGCTGTTCTCCCCCACCTCGGACCCCTGTGGACTGTCTCTCCTCCCCTCTGGCCCCCTCCTAGCAAGTCCCCTCCATCCCGCCTGCTCTGCAATTCCCTGTTAGGTTAGTGGAGTGAGATGCTCAGCCCAGGCCCTGCTCCTACCCCTTTCACTGGTGAGCCCTAATCTTTCTTCCCCGGTAGGTTTGCTCTTGCTCTCAGTCACTGAGGCTGAAGTGGGCTGCCTGGCCATCTCTGGGCCTGCTTGGCCTTTCTGGGCTGGGGCTCATAAAGAGGATTTTGTGCCAGCCCCCGCTGGCCCCATCGGCTTGGGAGGGAGCTAACCTGGTTGGGTTTTTATAAATGTCTTGATCAGTTTCAAACTCCAGCTTTGTGCGCCTGCTGTGTGTTCCTTTTGACTTTGTAGGGGAGCTGAAGGGTTCTGGGGGGAGGGGGATCTGTATAATGTGAAGCAACTTGTTTGTCTCATTTTTCTTCATTTGTAAATAATTTTTAATGGCCAAAACTAAACTTGTGACTTTTTCTAACTGCTAAAACCAACCTCCCATCTGGGTTTTAACTGTAACATTTGGAAAAGGAATAAATGTCAGGCCCTGTTGTGATGATTTCATGAGTGTGTATTTGGATGGGGTACTTGGTGTAGCTACTTTTCAGCACAAAGGGCTGGTACTGACTAGAGCTCAGTGGTTGTTTACAATCTCTCTGGACCTGGTGGCCACCTGCCCCATAACCAAACCTTTGGAAGTATTGTGCTGGAAGGTTACCAAGGTTGCTCATGGCTCAATCCTGTTGGGGCTTAGTCTCAGGTAGGGTAGGCCTCATAAAATAGTACCCTTAACTGAAAAAAGGAGGTCTTGTCTCCACAATCAAAACTCCTTGATGGCAAGAAAAGCCAAGCCAATTCACAAAGACATAAAAATGTGCCAGTTTTATTACAAAGGTCCTTCAAAAAACAAAAAATAATTTCAAAATGGAAACCACACCGGAGATCCCAACCCAGACCACTCTCACAAAAACCCAGTCAACATTGGTGGGTTCCTAGCCAAGGAGAAAGGGGGAAGATTTGAAAGGGCAGCCAAGAGCCCTTAGCCTAGAGTCTGCAAAGGTATGGGAGCACAAGGTGCCCCCTGGCAAACAAAATAGGTGAACCAGCCAGAAGGCACAGCCCTGTCACATACCCATAGACTAGGAACCAGGCATAGCACCTAGAAGCAGCTGCTAACTTCACCTCAGGACAGTGAAGGTGGTTGGCTAAGTACCTGGACCTACACAGGAACCACCAGAGGAAGCTGGGCAGACACACATCACCTGTCATCCCTCCTTGCAAAAACTCTTTCACCGAGTTTCAAATCTGATTTAGAGATATAAAAAAGGCCCACAGAGGGAGAAAAGGGGGCTGTGGAGACTACCCAACCCAACCACCCAGGGCAATGTGTCCTATGCCATCTTAAAATAACCCACCCAGAAAAATGCTCCCAGGCCCTAAACAGCAAGTCAGTCAAGGGGTTGTGTTTAAAACAATACAGGGAAGGAAGAAATGGTTTCACCTGCTGGGGACTCAGGTGTGCAAGGCAACAAAGGCACTGGATCGGGCAGCCTGTTAACAGCAAAACCCCTAGTTCCTGTGTTCTGGGGACAGTTCTATCTCATATAATTATATATAAATAGAGAGACATAGAAAATATAAACTCTGAGGATGTAGGGGTAAGGAAACTGAAGGGAGGTATGGGCAGCAGGCTCCAAGGAAAGCTGGAGAGCTCAGGCAGACTTGGTCTCCTCCTTCACCCTGTGGAGTAGGAACAGGACCAAGGTTAGAAAGACATTGGTCTACTTCATACTAAGCCCACAGGATCCCCACCCAGGCGGTGGATGGTGGCAGATGTGAGACAGTTCTCGCTTTAGGACCATGCCAAAGACCTCTACTGAAAGAGTAATGCAAATCTGCCCCTACTCACCCATTTTACTTAGCCTATACATAACAAAGGCATACACAAGATACCTTTATACAAGTCATATTAAATACAGTACCATGATGAACAGAATTGTCAAGTTAATCCAGGTGTGCAGGACATTACCCCTTCTGCACCTACCCTACCTAGCTAGCCTTTTATCACACCCTAGTGGCTGTGCATCTTTTTTTTTTAATGAAGCTATCCAAATGTTTAGACAGTCTCTTTTCCCCTTATATATCTGAGGACAGCAAGGAATATTAACCTCAACTAGTCTCTGAACTTTTAAAAATCTTAAAGTATTTGGATACATCTTTTCAATACAAGAAAAAAAATTCACTCAAATGATGAAAGGCCTCTGCCAGCAGTTTGGTTGTGGCCCTTTCTGGTTTGCCCTCGGGCTCCAAAGCTTCCCTTTCTTCTGCAGTTTTTGCAGAGAGCAGCTCAATCAGATCCATCACACCCTCCTTCCACAGCTCTCCTTGAGACGCTATCACTCCTCCACATCATTCTCCTCCACTTCTAGCTCCAATTCTTGTGCTAATTTTACAACCTTGTTACTCACTTCTTCAAATGTTTCATCCGTGTCAAATCCACTAGAAAATTGGGAAGGGAATTGCAGGCACACTTTTTTCCAAACTCTCTTCATACATGCTTCTATTACATCTTCCCATGCCTTAGCAATACTCCACATTGCATGATGAATATTATAGAACTTCCAGAAATCTATGTCAAGTGCTTATCTGCATCCAAAGCTGCAACTGCTCCAACAAATGTAGTGCATAAATGTGTCTTGAAATTACCAATCACTTCTTTATCCAAAGGCTGTGATATTGTGGTAGCTTAGAAGACAGACCACTTTTATGTTTTCAATAAAATCAGCCAAGACAGGAAAAGTAACATGAAAGCAGAATCTTGAAAGGAATGCCATTATCATTACAAAACTTAACTTCAAAACAGTGCATACACCACTGTTCAAAGATGATAAAGGTTATCTATACCTTTGGCTTAGTGAAATAATGCACAGGCAAGTGTTGCCTGGCTGATGCCTTTCAATACTCACAGAGGTGGAGAACCTTCAGCCTCAAGGCCACAAGTGACCTTCTAGGTCCTTAAGTGCCACCTTTTGACTGAATCCTAATTTTACAAAAACAAATCCTTCCTTGGAGTCTGGATTCGGTCAAAAGGTGGCACTTAAGGACCTAGAAGGCCACATGTGGCCTTAAGACCAAAGGTTCCCCAGCCCTGCTCTGGGATTTTCTGAGTGATGCACAAGAACAGGTTTTAATTTGCAATCCTAGATGCATTCCCTCACTATCTTTTCCAAGCTTTATGTTCTGGCATAGTTTTTTCCTCCAGAGATGCAGGTTTGAGATGGCATTCTTTAATAAAATAGGCCAGTTTCATCTACATTAAAGATTTGCTCCTGCAACTAGGGACCTTCATCTATTACTCTGGGAACCTCTTTGCTGCTTCAATATCTACACTAGCAGCCTCTCCTGATACTTGTACGTACATTATGAAATCCTGTACGACTTTTTAAATTGTGCAAACCAACCACTGCTTGCTGTAAATACCTGAGTTCCTTCAGGGTACTTTACCTTTAAATCTTCAAAGAGGCTTTGAGCCTTGGTTTGAATTGTCATCAAGCTTAAAGGAATATTCGTCCGAGTCTGGTCCTCTATCCACATCTCCAGAAGAGCACCTTCAACTGCTGACCATGCAAGCACTATCTCATCCTTCACTATGGTGTTCACGGATGACATCACAAAACTAAGTTCACATGCCATCGATGACAATTTCTGGCCTCCTTCATACTTTCTCATTATTTTCCTTTTCATTTCTGAGTCCTAAGCTTTTGCTTAGGAGATGGTCTGCTGTTCTCCTCAAGAATAAGTTTGCACTACTGAAGAGAGAGGCAGTTACCACTCAATATCTGCAGACACGCAGAAAGTAACTTAGAGCCACTTTTCAGCTTCCCACCCTAGTTCACACTGCCTGCATCCTACAGCATCTTATAGTACAGCATCTGCTTTGCCTGAGGCATTTTTGTGATGGGGGGGGGATGCAGATTTCTTTCCAAATTCTTTATGTAAAATGGAATTGGCAGAAAGCAAGAAACTGTAATCCATTAAAGGACCTTCTTGTCAATTATGATGAAGGTTCCCCTTCATTAGGTGTCAAAGATAGCCAGCTGGATAAAGGAAGGCCAGGACTTTTTTGGAAACAGGACCAATGCTGTCTCCAGCCCCCAACTCCCCAGCCCAACTCTTCGCTCACCCTTTGGCTTCAGGTTTCTCTTCCTTTGTCTTCTCCTCCTCTTTTGCCTCTGAAACAGATGATGTCAGGGATGACAAATCGAAATCCCACTGTCCTATTTCTTCCAACTCGGTACTCTCTTAGCCCACCCACCATCACCTGCCCAGTACTGGACCTAGACCAGAGTAGGGGAAGATGTTAGGAGTTCCTGTATCTCCCAGACAGAACTCTATCACCACTTCCCTGCTGGGCATAGTCGGGGCAGCCCAAAAGACAGGTATTCCCCCAAGCTCCACAGGCTGCTGCCCAGTGTTGGAGGGACCAGACCCAAGGACAAACCTGTCTGACTAGTTTTCTGGGCAGCTAAGAGGAGCTGGTCCCCCTGGGAAGTGTGACGTGGCAGGGAAAGGGCTTGGGTGGTATGGAAAAGTCACTATTGGCTATGGAGAGATGGGTCACATCAACAGGCTGGAGGGCCTGATGGGAGATGAGTCAGCCTGGCTGGATTACAAATCAGCTCTTGTTCTTTTGTGGGCCCTGACACTTCAGGGAAGGGAACAGGCAAGAGGCATGAGCCACCCTGCAGAGGCCCTAGGCACTGATGGGTTTGAGGCCTCCCTTCTGTCTTGAGCTCAGGCACTGGAGGTTTTGCCCAGGGACCTACCCACCTTTCTTCTCCTCTGGCTCTCGATCTTTCTCCTCTTCCATTTTGACCCTCTTGGCTTTCTTGAAGTTGGATGAGTTCTTTCGACCACCCTCACCTTCCTCGTCTGAGTCTGAAAACTCCTCCTCACAAGCAATTCTCTTGTCTGAGGAGCATACTGAGGGGAGAAAGCAGAGGCCACAGGCATGAAGTTTATGCAGCACCTCTGGCCCAAGACAACCTAACAAACATCTAAGGCCCATCTCAATTCCTCTCCTCAAATGAAGGACTCCATGCTCGGATGAAGACTCCTGAAGACCCCAGGAGGGGGGGAGGTAAAAGACTGCTTAACCTGTGCTACACAAACTGGACAACAGGATAGATCCTTGCATCCCACATAAGGCATCATCTCAGGTGAAAGGATATGTAAAGACAAGTTATCCACAAAATCACATACAAATGAGAATTGAAAGGAACTTTAGAAATTTTACTTAAGAGAAGTAGTGACTTGTCCTTTGGATAACCTTGGTAAATAGGGTTGGGACTCAAACCCAGGCCCTTCTGCTTCCAAATCCAATGTACTTTCCACTGTGTCACCAGGTTCCTTCCCTACTCATTCCAGACAGCATTCTCCTTCCTCCAGGAACCTACTTGAAATGCGCTTGTCAGGATCTTCCTCATCCTCATCTCCACTGTCCTCCTGTATCCCATCCTCAGGAATGGGTTGCATCTGGACACCAGGGGCATGTGGCAACATGCGAAGATTCTCAAACAACCTCTGCCTGAGGTCCAAGAAAAGCAAGCAAAATTCTGTGTCACAAAGTTGGAGGAAGGATGATGCAATTAAAGGGGGTAAAACTGTAAGCAGGAAGCACTCACTTGATCTTCTCCAAGTACTCATTGGTATTCTGGTTTGTCATGTTAGATGGGCTGATATGAAGTTTGAAATCCGGTCCAAAGTATTCAAAGTAATCATTGTAGGGAAGTTCTGTGGAAAGTTTTGGAGAGAGAAGAGAGGACAGAGGAGTCAGAAGATGTGGACTGTTCCACTGCCCCCATGAAACTGAGCAAATCATATGCCCTCTCCAGAATAACATATGAATGAGGAGATGACTGGGGCAGGTGGTGGGTCTGAGGATGCTCCAGCTTCCCAATGAAGCTGCCCAAAGGGAGAATCAGTAGTCAAAAAAGATTCTAAGATTTAGAGCCAGAGATTCAATCTCTAGTCAACTGCCTCATTTTGTAGATGAGGAAATTATGACCCAGGAAGTTAAGTGAATTGCCCAAGGTCACAAAGGTAATAACAGAGCTGAGATTTTCACTGAGCTGATACTAAATCTAGCATTCAGTTCACTGCATTATGTTGCCATGTTAGACACTTACTTCCCTGTATCCCTGACTTTTTTTCCTTTTTTTAAAATTTCATTAATTTATTTTGATTTAGCAACAATCACTTTCATATTCTTTTGAGTTGAAAATTTTTCTCCCCGTTCCTCAAGACGGCACACAATCTGATATAGGCTTTACATTTACGTTCCTATTAAACATATTTTCACATTAGTGAAGTTGTAAGTAAAAATTAAAACCAACAGGAGGAACCAAACCATCAGAAAGATGAAACAAAACTCAACAGAATATCCCTGACTTTTAAGACTGTTTGTCGTGTATGTGATTCAGTTCATGAACTTCTGAAAATTTCTAATGTTAAAAACATTTCTAATCAACAATTCCCCATATCTAGTCAGTACTTCCTGCTTATCTGTCAGATGGATTTGTTATTTAGTGATTCGAGATAATGGTTTAAGGTGTAGAGGTATCAAATTTGGCCAGCATGCACGGCTGATTAAAATGTAACTGGAAAACACTTTTACAAAATAAATAAAAATACAATACAACACAGATAATGTTAACTTGTAGTTTTCTTAAGTTAGTATTGTGCTCACAGGAATGCATTTCTATTTGAGGAACTTGTTTGACACCACTGGTCTAAGGTTCAGGCTAACAATTCTTTAATGGTTCCTCAGCATTAAAGAATTGCTTATGTTTATTATGAGCAGTATATTAAATTACCCTGGCAGTTCACAATACATTTTTGCTGTTGAAAGGGTGGTTCAAAGAACCAAAAAAACAGTTGGGAACCACTGGTCACAGTGATCATAGGATCAGGTCATGGGAGACTACTTGCAAAAGGCTTTAATTAACTCACTATGTGATTCAGGCTAGTTAGCTTCCTACTTCAGGTCTCAGATTTTCTCTTCTACAAAATGGGGGGAGAAGAGGGAAGAAGGTGCTCAGCAGATTAAAAATAATGACAATTATTCACATCTATATGCTGCTTAAAGTTTTTAAATGTTTTTCTCCTTACAACAAGGCTGAAAGATAAACAAAACTGGTATCATCCCTATTTTATAGATGAGAAATCTGGTACTCACAGACTGAATGATTATGGGATACAAAGCTGAGATAAAACTTACAAATGATCTAATCCAACCTTTCCCTTTCTCCCTTTTAGGTAGGCAAAGGCCCACAGAAGGTTTATATAACTTTCCAAAAGTCACAAAGGTAAATGACTGAGAACCCAAAGGAGTCCAAATGCCAGGCACTTTCCAGTCCACCACACCCAAAGTCACATAGCAAGCTGAGATTCTAAGCCAGCTCTGGCACTCTTTTCATCAAACGAAGTAGGAATAAAGGCTGTGAAATCTCTTAGAACAGTTCTAGATGGGTAACAACCCACAGGAGGTTAACTGGCACCAAAGGAGTATGAGCCAGACCTATCCTCCCAGGTTCCATTTCATCAGCCCAAATTCAACTTTACCATTGGGGATCTCCGTGTCCAAGGCCACAGCTGTCTCATATGTCCAGCACCTGGCTACATTGCGGATGGTATAGCCACCCCCTCCCAGCATCAGCATGGGTAGATTGAAGCTCTTGACAAATTCCACACATTTGGCATGGCCTAGGTAGAGCAAAGAGAAGGGTTTTTTAAATCAACATATATTCATCAAGTACCTATGGAGGTACTAATACTGGAGGTATTAACACAAAAAAATTAAATAGACTGCCCTCAAGGAGCTTATATTCTATTAAGGGAGACAACAGGTAATCATTAAGTATATACAAAATAGACACAGGATAAAAATAAGATACCGTGAGGTTTTTGACAACCTTATTAACTAACAGGAGTCAGGACAGGCTTCGTGTAGTAGGTGGTATTTGCTGTGAACTTTGGAAAGAAACCAGGAATTTGCAGAAGCCTTGCTGGAGGAGTGCATTCCAAGCACGGGGGACAGATTAGGCAGAATCAGTAGGACTCTGCATTGACCTCTACCCTTCCGTTTACCTTTAATGGTAAGGTTGAAACAACCTAATCGGTCTCCAGACAGAGAATCAGAACCACACTGCAAGACCACTGCACTGGGCTGAAAGGTTTCCATCACCTTGGACATAACCTGAAAAGACATGCCTAGATCATCACTATGCTGAGATAACCACACTGGTCAAGGACAGGATTTAGAGCTGAAAGACACTGTAAAGATCACCGTCTCTAATCTAATCCTCATTTTTAGTAGTATCTGAGAAACAGAGGCCTGAAGATTGGATGTGGCTTGGCCAAAGTCAATAAGTACTAAGAAGAACGAGTAGGATTCAAACCCAAATGGGCTGACTCCCAATGCTGCACTAGTTTTCACTAACCCATGTTTGGCAGGACATCCAAGACAGGCAGGGCTGCTTAGCTCTCCATTCTTCCCCAAGGCAGATCCTTCACCCTCCATTTCAACTGTCTGCCCCCATGGAAAAAAAAAATTCCATTCCCTCTATCTTCCCAGGCCTCTCACGTAAGTTCTCTTCATAAACCTACATTCTAGCCAAAGTAGAAACTCTCCATCTTTTGTTGCTGTCCGGCCTTCTCCCACCTCTGTCCCTGTACTCCATGCTTACTTAGAACCGATTCCAAGTTCTTTCCTTCAATGACCAACTCAAGAGTCCACCTCATCCAATAAAGGCTTCTCAGGACACTTCACCCACATATCTCCTTATAGAACTCTTGCATTCTTCCTTGTATCACAGTTAACTATTTGTCTTGTCTTCCCCTTATGCTACTCCTGTCTCTTCATCCTGCTCTATTCTGGAGCCACCTAATCCTTTCACTGTACTTTCAGGAATGCCTACCCCGTAGCTTTCCATGTCTTACTCCCTTCTTCTTGCACTCAGAGTCTTGATTCCCTCCTGACCACACAGATTCTTTGACCATTCTTTCCAGCGCTAGTTTCGCTCTCACTCATACTCCCACTCACTGGAATGCTCTATGCCATTTCTGGGTTTTCCTTCACTTGGTAACCTCTCCTTCTGTGAAATTCACTCGATCCATAGTTATCGCTCAATCAAGATTCTGGCAGCTATTGTCTACAGACCTCCCAGACATTCTTCCTCACCATGACCTCAAAATCCTCCAAGCCTTCATTCTTTCCTAGGTCATTACCCATACAATAGTGACTCTCCTCTCTTTCCCATCTTGGCCCCCTGGTGAACCAGTTCAACTTGACACTATAATCTAATCTTTTCAAAGATCTTGCCCTGCCAAAGGCCAGTCTTACATTATTCTCACCATTTGCTACCTTTACTCCTATTCACATGCTGAACAAAACTGGAGAAAATCACAAAACCACACTGACTGGGTACACTACAGAAAAACTTACATTATCTCATCAAGACCCTCACTGCCACAAGACAATCCTCTGAATCTGAATTCATTATCCCATTTACCATAAAGGCTTTTCCAAACTTTTTTATTCCTCTCAAAACTGCCAATGTTCCCCCCTCCCCTTTCCATTCCAGCTGAGAACCTTGCTTCACATTTCACTGAAAAAATAAGGCCATTTATTTGCTAAGAGCTCTCCTTTCTTCCCTCCTCTCCAAATCATCACTGAGATGCCTCCTACCACTATCTCCTCCTTACGCTCATCTTACAACAGAGAGGTAGATCTTCTCCTGGCCACTCACAAGTGAACCGTTTCATCCCATCTTCTCCAGCACTCTGACTGCTCCTCTAGCATCCTTCCCTTCACCTCTCTTCAATCCTTCCCTGCCTACTGGATGCTTCCCTGCTGCTTGCAAACATGCCCATGTCTCCCCCATCCTCAAAAACTTGATCCACCCCCAAGAGCAATTGTCCTATATATTTCCTCTCATTTATGGCTAAACTCCAAGAAAAGGTGTCTGTCTCCACTTCCTCTTTCTCTCAACTCTTTGCAGCCTGGCACCCGACCTCATAATTCAACCGAAGCTGCTCTCTCCAAAATGACTAACAAGCTCGTAATCCAATCTAATAAAATCTTAAGGCCAAATCTAGCAGCCCTCTCTCAATACTCATCCTTCTTGACCTCTCTGTAGCCTCTGACATGGTCAACAACCTTCTCCTTGATATTCTCTTCTCTCTAGGTTTCCACGACACTGCTTTCTCTCCTTGTCCTCCTCTTGTTTGATGGTTTCTTCTCTGTGCACTTTCCTGGATCTTCAATCTGCTCCACCCCCCAACCCCCGGGGATTCCTCCCTCCAAGGCTGTGTCCTGGGTTCCTCTTCTCCTTCTATGCTATCTCACTTGGTGTTCTCATCAGCTCCCACAGATTCAATTCTCATCTCAATACAAATAATTCTCAAGTTTATAGGTCCAGCCCTAATCTCTCTGCTGACTTCCAGTCTCACATCTCTAATTACCTCTTGGACATACAAAACTGGATGTCCTGCAGACAACTTTAACTTCCAACAATTCCAAAATGTGACTCTTTCTCCTTCCCCCCACCCAACCTTCCCCTCTTCCTAACTTCCCTATTACTGCAGAGGGCAGCGCCAACCTCTCAGTCACCCAGGCTCACACAACCTAGATGCCAACCTCACTTCCTCACTCTCAGCTCCCATACCCAATCAGTAGTCAAATTCTGTTGTAGCTATCTTCAAATTCTTTTAAACACGGTTCCCTTCCACTTCTCTGACACTTGGCCCCACCCTGATGAAGGCCCTGACCACCTCCAACTGGATTACCATAGCTCACAATAGACAGCAAGCCTGCTGGCTAGTCTCCTGGTGGCCTCAAACCTCTCTCCATTCCAATCCATCCTCCACTAGGCTGCCAAACTGTTCTTCCTAAAATGCACATCTGACCATGTCACCCCCTTACTTAATACACTCCAGCAGCTCCTTATTACCTCTGAGGTCAAATATGAAATCCTGTTTGGTGGCTTTCAAAGTCCCTCCCAGCCCTCTCCACCCTTTCCAACCTTCTTACACCCCAATCCCATCCCTATGTTCTTCAATCCAGTGATGCTGGCTTGCTGACTGTTCCTCAAACAGAACATTCCCTCCTGACTGGGTGCTTTCCATGCCTGGAACCGTCCTCTACTCCTCCACTATCTCAATTAAAATTACATTTTCTGTAAGAAAGCATAACTCTTTACTTAATTCCTCAATCTCAGTTCCCTCCCTCTGAGACCACCCCCAATTTATCTTGTGCATTGTTTGCATGCTGTCTCTTCCATCAGGTTGTGAGATCCTCAAAAGCTGGAACAAGGTTGGCCTCTTTGTATATCCAGCACCTAGCACACAGTAGGTGCTTAATAAATACTAGTTTACTGACATTAGATTGCATACTTGAATATGGCCTATATCACATTTATCTTTGAATCTACCGAAGCAGCAGCTAGCACAACGCATTGCACTTGGTAGGAATTTAATGAAGGCTTGCTGAAATGAAATCTTGCTTAGTCTGTCCTGATCTCACACTGTTGTCTCCAGATCCTGCCAAGGCTACCCTAAGTCTCAGGATCTAGGCCCAGTTGCTCCAAGAAGCCTCCCCTCTAAGATACCCCTCCTCTGAACCACCCTGTTACTTACAGTACTGTCTTACACAACTCACTGGACATTTATCAAGAGTCTCTCACTAACAGCAGTGGTCAAATGCAGTATATCTTTCTATTCCCCCATAGCAATGAGAACAGAGCTGGGCACATGGCAGGTGCTTGACTCATTAATCATCAGTGTCTCCTAGCCAACCCCTATGTCCCAGGTCCTCCTCTTCTGGCCAACCAGCAATAGTAAATGGGCTCTCACAGCCACACTGGGGGAAGTCTTCCCCTTGTCTTGGTCTCAAGGGACTGGGGGGGGGCATGATACTCACTGGTTTAAAAATGGCCTCATAAGACTCGTCATCAATCCCATCTCGAAGTGGGTAGTTGACAGCGTAGTATTTGCCTTTGCCAGCTCCAATGTCCTGGTTTAAAAGGGACATTAAAGCAAAATGAGATGAAGATAGAGGAAAAGAGAAGCCAAGGGCTCAAGAGGAAAAAGAAAAAGAGAACTTTGGAAAGAAAGAACAAGATTAACCAGAATCGTAGGGTTCAACTGGAAGTAGTGTAAAGGGACAGAGCTGCCAGCAAGAGACTCCCCCCAACACACCCCTCAAGAAGCATGGTCTCTCTGAACCCTTGCTCAGATGTACCAGCAAGCCTTTTCATCACTTCACAGTGACCATAATCAACAAAAGATCTGTCCTTGGGCAGGCGCAAGGCCACTACAGATAGAACTGCTACAGCTCTGGGAAGAGACATAGGTCCACGTGATCAGTCATTCACTGAAACAGACACACCGCACATCATGTCCCACCTCATGCTACTGATGGGAAGGTTATCGTGATAATTGTCTCTTAGGACTAGGTGCCAGGGAACAATTTCTAGGGCCTACCTGTAAGATCATTCTCAACAGAGTGCCCCCTACTCTGTGGGCTCATGGGATTTAGAGCTAGAAGGATCCTTAGGTAATCATTCAGTTCAACCCACTCATTTTATAGATTAGGAAACTTCAGCTCAGAAGTGACTGGCACAGGGTCACACAGGTGGCAAAGTAACATTGTCAGGATTCAAATCCAGTGCTCTTCTACTAATCCACACCTGCTTCCCCTTCTAAGGATTATTTCCCGATGAACTAGGGGGGAGAGAGGAAAGGAAGGAGAGAAGAGAGAAGAGGGGTTGGTGCCATCTTCCAAAGAGCTTCACAATTTTAGATGGTTCTACACTCTAGGAACCAGATGTCTGTTGTCCCATATTGACCAAAGTAAATAGCTGTGTTGCCAGTGAACAAAGTAGCTATGGGTGACACCTTACTGCCCAGGGCCAGGAGAACCAGCCAATGTTGTTCTTTTCATTTCATTCACTTTCATACCTGTGAGACTGTAAGATAAAGTAAACAGATGGCTCATTCCAGGCAGTGCCTGAACACTGTCACCAAAACCTGAGATTCACAGGACATCTGGAAATGCTGACTCTAGCCCCAAACCAGCCTTTGCTGACATGACTGGAGCACCCCCCTCCAACCCCTCCCCACAGAGCTACAGCTGAGTGTGGGAGCATCAGGCTGAGCTTAAGTGCTCAGCTCTAAAGGGTGGAAGGGAAAGGAAGTGGTTTTTAGTTATGAGGCATGAGAGCTACAGCCGGAAGAGAGCTGGCTGTTGCCAGGAGGGAGCTCTCACCCGCAGGTCACCAGTTCCGGGGAAGTACTCTCCATACTTATGAAAGGACACTGTCATGACCCGATCAGTGGTGTAGAAAGCTTCTTCCACGCCATCGCCATGGTGAATGTCAATGTCAATGTACAGCACCCTCTGGTGGTACCTAGGATCAGAAGCAGGTCAGGGGGCCTAAGGCACTTCGGGAAATGAGGTACCCCAAGCACAGGGCACTATGTCCCTGCTTACCAGGTTGGTGGCCACCCGCAAGGATCTCTAATCACAAGGGTTAAATGGTGAGGATGACAGAGAGTGCAGCTGGTTGTCCAGAGGCTGGAATGGGCCAAGAGAGTGAGTGAACCAACATCTCATTAGATAGGACCAGGTCAGGCCACACTGGCCATTTCCAAACCTGGGGTCTGAGAAGTGCTTCCAAGTCACTCCCTGAGCCTCTCTCTAGGCTCACACCACTCTGATGAGTTACTGTAGACACTCATTAGCATCTTCCCTGTCATTGCACTCGTAAGGAGAAGTACATTAAGGAATTCTGCACAGCAGGATAGAGGGCTGAACTAAGGCGCCCCCACACCCAAGGATATCAGAGTGAACATACTTTAACAGTTCCAGGATGGCCAACACAATATCATTGACGTAACAGAAGCCAGAAGCTTCAGACTTCTTAGCATGGTGCAGGCCCCCAGCCCAGTTCACAGCAATGTCCGTCTGCTGTTTATTAAGCTTCACCGCACTTGCTGCAGGGAGGGAAAAGACCTTGTCAGGTAGGGAGCTCCCTGAATATCCTCTTCTCTCCCCTACCTACCTACCCCACCTCCCAAGACACTAGGAAGCCAAAGCTATACCTGTACCAAACAATTCAACTCCCAACCAGCAACAGCTCTCCCCAATCTCACTATAGTGCAGAAAGTGTTAGGATATAGCAGGAAGTAAACTACCTGTCACTGGTCTAGGCCCCATATACAAATCAATTCCAGATAAGAGTTATAAGAATAAAATCCTTTGAGTTCTAATACCCTTTTGAAGACAATTATCAGACACTAAAATGTCTCAGGGCTCAGAGATGTCTGATGGAGACATGACGTTCAGTGACCAAATGCTGGTCGGCCCCATACAACATTTTGGATGTCCTAACATAAGCACTGATGAAGACAAGGCACTACCATGGCCAATGTTTAAGAGGTCAACTGTTTAATAGAGACTCTAGTCATCTCTGTTCCACTACAGCTAAGCCATTGAAAGGAAGGACAGAGGCTCCTTACCTACAGATCCACCGGTGGATAACTGACAGAACTCAAATAAGCCATCAAACACTGGGCAGTCTTCACCAACGTTAACTTGAAAAAGAGTAAGGCAAAAAGTTAGTCCTCAAGACCTCCCCTTGACTTTTCATTAAGAGATCTGAATCTTCCACCATTGAGAAAGACTGGAGTTCTGTTCCGATACTAGGTTACCCAGTTCTACACATATGAGTAAGAGCAAGTCCTGGGCCTCCTATGTAACAGGACAATCTCAAAAGCACAAACTTTTCAAGATTAACCAAAAAGAAAAGAATCCTCAAGGGTCTCTTTCTCACTTGTCAGATATGCATTAAATGAACTCTGAGAACAACAAATAACATACCACATGTACTTTATAGAGCAGAGAATACCATGCCCTTTCCTCTTCCCCACATACCTCTCCCTCGGGTTCTAGAGAATTCCTTTGTACTTTTTCAAAGTGCTTGCATACATATTACTTCATGTGATTCCCCCAACCCAGGAAACAGGCACTGCAGGAGGTAACAACTACATTTGTTTAAAACTTGCACCTTGCCACAATTCTACCATACAGAGAATTCAAGTATTATTATCCCAATTTGACAGATGAGGAAACTAAAGCACTGAGCTTTTAGTGACTTGTTCACGGTCATACAACTTGTGTCTGAGGTGAGATTCAAACCCAGGACTCTTAATTAAAATCCAATGCTCCCACCACTGCATTACACTGCCTTCTCTACAAGTAACAACCAGAGACTAAGTTTTACCACCAGATCTGAGTAAAGAATTGTACAAAACTGATACAGATATATGTGTGTGTGTGTGTGTGTGTGTGTGTGTGTGTGTGTGTGTGTGTGTGTGTTGTGTGTGTGTGTGTGTGTGTGTACACATATGCAGATAATATATGCATGGAACAAAAAGGGAATGAGTGGAGAGAGAAAGCACATTAGCCACTAACAACTCACTTGACTCAGAGGGTCAAGCTAGCCCTCTGAAATAGAAAAGGGTTACCAGCCTGCTTTGGACCAAATAAGCACTGGGCTAATGTCCCAAAAGATGAGTTAACTACAAGATATACACTGACCTGAACCATGCACTACCCTTGGGAGTCATCCTTAACAGAGGTATTCCAAAGAGGGCAGCAGCTCTGAGGGGACTAGAGGGAAGACTGGTAGCTGTAGCCCCTACACTCTGGAGCAAACACTACCAGGTTCTATCAGTATGAACTTTGATCTCTCACAGTCCATGTTACTTACACAAAGGCAGCTTCCTTCTACTTCCTCCTTCCTGGGGCTGGCTAACTAAGGTTCAAGTGTGCTAAGAACTTATACTGCTCAGACTCCAAGCACCAGCACAAAGAACTCAGGGAACAGGCAGATGTTTGGCAAAGGAAATGAGACTTTTTTTCTAGTCCAATATTCATTAAAAAAAAAACCAAACCCAACCCAAAACCCAGCATCACAGAATTTTAGCACTAGAAAAGCCTTTAGGGATGGATCATCTGGTCAAACCTCTGGTTACAGGTAGGGAAAGGCATCACCTGAGGAGAGTCGATGGCAAAGCTGGCACTGGAACCCACCTCCTACCCCACCAGTGAGTGTTCCCCCACCACAGCCTACACTGCTTGTGCTCTGGCAAAGAAGAGGTAGCTCGATTGCACTTTCATCAGCATACTGGGCACTTGTATAGTGCAATAAAGCAGCGTCTTCAGAGGCCTTCACAATGAAGACAGCAGAACAGAAGTTCTTAACCTGGGCTCTGGGGACCTCCAAAGATTTCAGGGAGTCCATAAACTGGGATGGGGGAAAAATTACATCTTTATTTTCACTAACTTTTAACTGAAATCCAGCATTTCCTTTAATTATTAAAAAAATTCTCTGAGGAAAATCCATAGGTTTTTCCAAACTGCCAAAGGAATCCAAAACACAGAGGAATGGTCCCCATTTTATAAACAAGGGAACAGAGGGTCAGAGGTTAGGTGACTTGCCAGGGCAGGGTTTGAACCAAGGTCATTCGAGCCACCAAGCTTTGCTGCCTCTCTATGTGGTCAGCTAGGTCAATATGCTATGGTTAGGAAAACTTCTTAGAAAAGGAAGTAAAGGCCTCAAGGCATCCATTCCCCTCTAAGCACTGTAGGACTATCACATGTAAAACACTCTGCAAACAGCAAGGGAACTGCTTAATATCCAACAGGCAGTTTGTTCCTTACTAATAGTACTTTTAAAGCCCAGCCCAGAGAGCAGGGGAAGGTAAGGCTGCCCTAGTTCACAAGGGAGGCATCAGAACACCTCAGCAGAGAGCAGAACCTCCTGGAGTGGCATATGCCCATTAAGTAGACTGGTGGAGCCAAAAGTGGGGCCATTTCTCCAGGGCTGAGAAAGGCACATGGCAAGGATTTCCTAAATGATTTAAGAATCAGTGGAGGACGTGCACAGAGACAATTGGGATGGTTTGTACAGAAGCTGTTTCTGCTCCAGCTTCTGCTCTGTGCCTACCATCAGTTTGGTGGGCCCAGCTCTCCCCTATGGCAACAGACCCTGACAACTAATGAGCCTCCCACTCTTCAGGACCCCAAAGGCCTTCAGCTTTCCCAGCTCTCCACGGTGCCATGAGTAGCACTCTGCCCTCCATCTGATCAAGGACCTGTGAATAGTTTTCTGCCTTCACATTTGCCATCAGTCCTGCTGTAAATGGTGATACAGCAAAATTACAGGTTTCCTAGTGCTCCAAAGTGATCACAAATTATTAGCATTAAGTACAAAATAGCATTAACAATTCACATTTCTATAACATGTTAAGGTCTTACAAAATGCTTTCTTCAGCATCACCGTATGAAGTAGGTAGGGTATTATTATTATTGTTTTTACAGCTGAGGCTCAGAGCTAGGATCTGAACCCAGGTCTTCTGATTCCAAGCACAGCACTTTCCCTATACTGCCACTCTGTCAAGAAAATAGATTACGTTTCTAAACATTTTTTAGTTTACTAAGTATTTTTCTCACAGCATCATTAGGTAGACGATGTAAATATTAGTATTTCTATTTACAGATGAAGAAACTGAGACTCAGAGAAGTGACCCAAGGGCACAAAGTTAAGTGGAAAAGCTGGGACTTGAACCAAAGCCTTTTTAAGTAAGGCACACCCTTGCTATATCTCACTGATTCTTAATGTGAAATTAAATGAAACAGCCTACCAACTCTGCATTTATTGAGACCTCGTGCTTGGAAATTAGGAGGTCTGTGTTCAAATCTTGGCTCTGACATTCAATGAACTGCATGACCACTGGCAAATCACCTCAGGTTATAAAATGTGGTCAATGATGCTCCTCAACACCTACCTTCATGGGCTATTGTGAGGAAAGTGCTTCATAAACCTTAAATCTTTACAGAAAAGTGAGTTATCAATTATTATTACATACCAAGTCTTTTGATATGAAGGGAACAACCTCTAAGGATACGTCACATGAGGTATCTGCTAAAATCTGGGCAATCTCCCCTCCCCAACTGATGTAAGGTGAGTCCTTACTTGTGAGAAGTAGCTTCTGAGACAGAGGCCCCTGGCTTTCTGGTGTGGAGCTACTTGATTTCCAATGACACTAATATCAGCTACAAAACTTTAAAAAAATCATTTAGCTAGAAGGAGACTTAGAGATTATAAGAAAACTGAAGCCTAAAGAGGTTACCTGCCCAAGACAAGAGCTGGGAATAGAACCTCTTTCTCCTATACTATAACAATGCTAAGAGCAAGAACAGGTAAATTATAAACTGCTACTTTCAAATCAGAGAAATAACTCAGCACATGATGGGAAAGAGACACAGCATGACACAGTAGACACAAGAGATGACCTCCAAGCCAGGAGAGCCTGGGGTGATATCCCACCTCTGACATTCTCTGTGACTCTGGGCAAGTCACTTAATCACTCGGGATAAATCACCTTGATTAAATCTTTGATAAATCACCCAGGAGCTCCTCATGCCAATGAAAGAGACCCAGTCCCTGTCCCCTATCCCTCTAGTGGGGAAAATTCTTTGGCAGAGTCTAACGCAAGCTTCTAGTCAGCCAGCTGGGTGAACTGAGCTTTGCCCAGGTTGCAAAGGTTTCCAAATACTCACATCTCTGCATCTGCTTGCTGTATTCTGACATATTATCGGGGCGGATTGAACGCAAAAACTTAATGTAGTCATCACTGTGGTACTTGGTCATCTCATCTGCATGGGCTTTGTGGGGCCGCTGTAAGGATCAAACAAAAACTGCTGAATTACTGTCAATCAGTTTCCCTTTCCTTCAGGTCTTTGAGCACTTACTATGTACAAGAGGACTGTAAAGATGGGTAACAGAGTGCCTGCTCTATGGAGCTCTGTCTGTTTGGACAGATGAGACTAACATGTAAGAAATGATCTAGGAGATTAGGAGCAAGTGCTAAAGCTTGTGCTATGGGCTACATATAAAGGCTGTAGCAATTCTGAAGAGAGAACATTAACAACTGTTAAGTATAAAGGCAAGTTTATTGGAAGAGGTAGACCTGGGCAGTCGGGCAAGATTTACAGGGGCAGTCAGTTTCCTCTGAGACATTCCAAGCCAGAGAAGGCTTCAAAAGCCAAAGCTAACTTAGCTAACCTGGACTAGTCTATATTGTCTTGACTTCACACCTTTCCCCCCCCACGCACTGTTTCCTATGCCCAGAATAACCCCCCCTTCCCTTTCTACTATTAAGAAAATGCCATCTCTAGGGAGTAGCTAGGTGGTGCAGTGGATAGAGCTCGGGCCTTGGAACCAGGAGGACCTGAGTTCAAATCCAGCCTCAGACACTGTGTGACCCTGGGCAAGTCACTTAACCCTGACTGCCTCATTAAATAAATGCCATCTCAAGAAAATGCCCCAAGATCTCTAGTTTACAGGGATTCCACCTTCTCAAAAACACTTAAGTACTTAAATGTCACTTAAGTTATTCATAAAGGTGTGGTACCCCTGACTATCCTTTACCAGATTATAAACTCCATCAGGAAAACATCTCGTTTCATCTTTTCATGTCTACCAGAAAACATGTACAGTGCTAAGCTAAATGAGCTTGCTGTGTGCGCTGAGAGAGAAAGAGGACAAGTCTGACACGTGTGCAGGGGGGGTTCCATGTGGGATCACTGCGGAAAGAAGACTGGAGAGGTAGGGTGGGAAGTTTAAAGGCAAGCCCTTGAATGAGATGCTGAAAAGTCTATGTTGAATTTCGCAGGATAGAAGGAGTCACCGGAAGTCTTAGTATTCTCTGATGAATAACCTCTCCTTCCCTAACGTTCCCACATGAGTATTCTTTCTCTTTAAATCAGTTTAAACTGAAGGCCCCTCTGCTCCCCACACTCTCCCAAAACTCTCTCATTGCTACAGTGACTCCTACCTAACCTTTTCCAGCTGTCTTTTCTTTTTTCTCTAGTGCCTTGCCTAATTATCTACCATCCTCCTCCCAAAAACTCAACAGCAATTCCCCAGAACGGACATGGTCTCCTCTGCTTCTTGTGAACCAAGTTACTGGTGGGCTTGGGAGGCTGGAGCTGAACCATTCTCCTCGTCCCTCACCCCACACACACAATACCAGGAGGTGCCTGTTGTCAGCAAAGAAGATATGGAGCCGACCTGAAGAGCACTCTGAGTTAATTCTGCCCCAGGTGGACAGATATGAGCCCCAGTTGTGCATCCTCTGGGCAAGGAAGATATAATCAGCTCTAGAACTCAGGCCAAGGAGAGAAAAAACTCAGAAAAGTTACTTCTCAGCTCATTTCTTCTAACTTTCTAGATGGTGAATTCCTTTATCTTTCATCTTCGGGAACCGCTTTTTAATCCCTTGGGGACCACTTTCACCTAGGGGTATCTGAATTTATTTTTCTTTATTAACTGGATTATTTATTTGGACCCTCAGGCTGAGGGTTTTCCGTAACACCGGCCTAGAAACCTGAATGACCTGACCTGGCTAGGTTAAGAAAGGATAATGCTAGGGTTGGGTCAAACCCAGAGGGTATTATGTGAATTCACTCCCCCCAAACTACCCGTACTGAAACTCCAGTGCTCTAACCATTAAGTGCCCAGCTTTTTAGCGGGCCAGAAGGAGAAGCAACTGAGACAGTTCAAGTGAGGAATATCCCAAACTAAGTGGTCATCTTTTTTTCGCCTCAGGGAAATATACTCCCTTGGGCATGTGGATCCTCTGCTCTGAGAAGCAGTTTCCAATGAGAAGTAGGGCTTATATAAACCAACCTCCCCCAAACTCACATAGATTTCCATCTTCCGGTAGAGTCCATAGTTTAGTAGCAAGTTGTGAGTCATTCGGATTCGATGGGGTTTCATGGGGTGACCCTGCCCATAGTAGTAATTTCCAACATCCCCTGAGGAAGAAAAAAATCATAATTTCAATGACAGAAAGATAAGACTATTATTTTTCTAGTCCAGGCAGAATTAAAGAAGTCCCTGCTATGGGGGTTAAGTTTATGGTACCAAAGAAAAATTTGGAGCTGGAAGGCACTTGACAAATCATTTAATTCAAACCCTCTCATTTTACAGCTGAGGAAAATAAGGCCAGAATCTGCCTGGAAATACGAAGGGGTCCTTTCTGTCCACAGAGTCTCCTGGAAACAATAAACTAATTAAGCTCTGTAGCTACCAAAAGTCATGGATGCCAACTCATATAGTGCATTTCCAAAGACAGCAGAATCCCTTTACGAACGGATGAAGGTCAGAGTCCTTGCAAAGTTCCTCCATGGACCTGTTCCAGTCAATAGTGGCCTCACCCTGGGAAATCAGGATGCCCAGGCCCTAGGGCCTTGAGGAGATTATCCCAGTCCTAGGCTTCCAGACCTCATCAGAATCTTAAAAGAATAATTAATTGTGCAGAAAATCAAGATAAATTCTGTCTGGACCACTCTTTTGAATGACTGCAGATGGCAAGCACAATTTTTATTTGACACTAATAATGCCAAAGATATAGGACAGGTAGTCGGTGGTCCTCTATGCTTATAATTCCATGTCTTCAACCCTATACTTTTTATGAAGGCTGAGTGTGCATTATCCTGTCACTTCTTAGAGCCCCCCAAATCTAGTCTATTTACCTAGAACCCTGTCTCATATGGCTACAGCTTCCTAGAGCCAACAGTAGGATGCTGGTCTTTTGTAGGACTTAGATCACAAGAAAACTATCTTTTAGCCACACAGCTCAAATGTTAAAAGGTGGGACTCAGGGGTTTCTGGGACATTCCTGAATAAAGGAATTGAAGACTTGATCTGGGGGGAGCCATTCAGATGCAAATCCCACAGACCGGTTATAGCAGTGGAAGGGAATCAAATTATCAAAGCAAGGGTTGAGGTATAGCTGCCCTTACAGGTGATAGGATGAGTAAATCAACCAGGAGTACCCAGACATTTAGGCCATCCCCAACTCTTCTACCTTTGCCAAGGGGGAAGGTAGACAAACAAGTTAATGACCGAGGCCTGAGACACAGCAACTGGGAAGGGCATGACAACCTATGGTACTTAGGAGGCCAAACTCTCTACTCCACACAGGATGCAAAGCACTTTACATTTGATCCACTCTGCACCTGCTGCCCAGCTCCCTCTCAACTCCAAAATGCCCCTCCTAAGATAAGCTCATCACTTCTAATCTCATCACTGAACTGTTAACTTGCATCTGGATACTGTCTCCTGGATACCATCTCCCTTAGTCTCTCTTAGAGGGGTAGAGTGCCAAATTCCTCCCAAAGCCTTCCTTTAGAGGGCAGAAACTGGACTGTTCAGTCCACTCTGCACACTTTTAGGTTATTCTCCCTTTAAAGCAGTTCAGTATCTGGTCCAGTCCTCCCAACTCTAGCCCAGACTTTACATGTTGAATCTCCTCAAACACCCAGGCGTACAGTAAATCAACTTGACCTCATCTTTCCTTCTCCCAAGAACCAGAATTCTGAAATTCCTACTAAAGGAACTTCTCCAATCTCTCCCAGTGCCTCATCCTCCCTAAACCTATTTTCTGAACTTAATAGCACCCCTTACTCTACCTCTCCCAGCTTTCAAGACTTAAACTTTCCTTCTCCCTTCAAGAGTTTGACTCTCTAGTTAACTAGTCCAACTTCTGCTTTCCTTTACTTTTGAGTCCCTTTTCAAATCCCAATCCTAAATTACTCCCTGAATATTGCTGGAGGAAGTCTCATCTATGCTGGGACAACTATAAATATACTATCTTATTTCAACTAGACCTTCACAGTTGTACCCTTCCATTATAACTATTATAAAAGCATAGGTGATATAATGGATAGAACACTGGACCTGGAGTCAGGAAGACCTGAATTCAAATTCCACCTCAGATATTTACCAACCATGTGAGCCTGGTTAAGTCACATAAGCGGCTGGCTTCAAAAGTGTAAAGCACTTTGCAAACCTTAAAGCACTATATAGTGCTAGTTTATAATATATAACACTATATTATAAACTACAATAGCTCCCGGCTAGCTATTATTACTTTTACTACATTCTTCACAAAGTCTATTCCAAACCTATGCTTTCTCCTTAAGCCACCTACATCCAGCCCTCTCAAGAGAGACCTCAAATTTTTACTGAGATCATCCATCCTCAGCTTCCTCTTCTGAATCCTACAATTCATCTTGTCATTCTTTTCCATGCAAGTGTGCAACTATCCCTTTGTATTCTTGATCCATTTCCTATCCTCTCCTCCAGAACCTTTCACCTCCTCTCTCCACACCATTTTTCAATTCTGTTTAACCATACTTGAGATCAGAAGCCAGATCCCAAGGAATCAGAATTACTTGCTGCCTAAAACATGCCCCCATACTGCCTTAACACTCCTCCCTCTCCCAACCAAACTCCTACAAAGAGATGTCTTTATCTACACTTTTCCATCTTCTACCTTCTCATCCACAGTAGAGTGGAAAGCTTTGAAGTCAGAGACCGTGGGTTCAAATCTTGCCTCAGTCACTTATTGGCTATGTAACTGTAAACAAATCACAACTTCTCCAGGCCTCAACTGTAAAATGAGGAGGTTGCTTTAAATCTTTAATTCTGATTCCTTGGGATCTGGCTTCTGATCTCAACATTCAATTCAAACTGCACTTCTTAATCTCTCTGCAGTTTCTGTTCCTGTTTGCTGGTTCTCTTTCCTCCTGAATAATCTTCTATCTGAGCTTTCATAACACAACTATCTCATGTTTCTCCTACAGGTCTGATTGTACCTATTCATGATCTTAAGTACAGAATTCTCATTCATGTTCTGCTCCTATGTGTGGGTGTACCCCAAGGATCAGTCTTGGGCCCTCTTCTCTCTCACATCTTTTCAGTCCCCTCAAGTCCAGGGAATAGTGAAAGGGAATAAGCACTTACATAAGCACCTATGTGCTGCCAGGCATTGTGCTATGAGATCTGCAAGTATTTTCTTATTTGATTCTCAAAACAAACCTGTGAGGTAGGTGCTATTATCCCCATTTTACAGATGAGGAAACTAAGGCAAATAGAAGTTAAATGACTTGCCCAAGGTCATGCAACTAGTATTAGTCCCAGGTCTTCCAAACCAGTTCTAGAGGCTGGATCTACTGAGCCACCTACTTCCTCTAATGGTTGGTTCAAACCATTGTATCAATGCAGATAACACCTCACTCTACATATACAGCACAAATCTCTCCCGACATTGCCAACTGCCTGCTGGACATCTCCACCTGGATGTCTCTTAAGCAGCTCAAATTCACCATGTCCAAAACAGAACTTGATTCACTATCTCACCCTTCCCCTGACACAAACTTCCAAATTTCCCTATTTCTGTTGAAGATACCACCATCCTTCCAAACATCCCCCTCATAAGGGGGAAATCATAATCAGTTGTTAAGTCATTCATTGAACCACCCTACCTAGTTCAGACACTCATTTCTTTCCTGAATTGTTGCATGGTCTTCTAGATTCTAGTATTTTCCCCTTTCTAACTTATTTTCCACACAGCTGCTAACCTGATATTCCTAAAGCACAGGTCTGAACTACTTACACCTCTGCTCAAGAGGGTTCACTGCTTCCCTCTTGCCTTTAGGATAAACATACTAAATCTTTTGTTGGGCATTCAAACCCCTTCACTACTTGGCTCCAATCTATCTTTTCAGACAGATCACTCATGTTCTCACTAAGGAGAAACATACCTCCTACCAGTGAAATTACAGGTCCAATACCTATCCCTGTAGCCACTCTTGTTACTGTCAAACTGGCAGAACTTCTGTTCCCTAAATACCCAACACCATAGAATCTCTCACCTCCATGCCTTTCACAGGTTGTCCTATGACTGGAATGTTCTTCCTTCCCATCCATGCCCCTTAGAAACTCAAGCTTCCCTTAAATTCCAGTTTAGGCATTGCCTCTTAAGAGGCGCTTCCCAATTCTCCAGTTGTCAGTTATCCTATCCCATTACTCTGTATTCTTAAATTTACTCATGTCCATGGCACTGCCCCACCCCCAAAGTAATGCCTTTAAGGGAACCTTCGTTTTTTTCCTCTGTTTCTGTCCACATTGTCTAAAACAGTACTTGGCACATCAAGCTTAATAAATACTTGCTGAATTTAACTAAATAAAATACACTTACTTGCCCTGAGTTCTCCTATCCCAGCCGTAAGACTGAAACAAGCTTCCAGTGAACCCCATTTTTGAATAAGGGGTTCTTCTGTAAGTAACTGGGAAGTATGTGGTACAGTGGAGCTAGGCCTAGAATCAGGAAGAACTGAGTTCAAATCCTCCCTCACTTACTAGCTTCATGACACCAGGCAAGTCACTTAATCTCTCAGTTTCCTCAACTGTAAAATGGGGATAATAATCCTGCCAGGAAGAATTGTTGTGAAGATCAAATGAGATAACTGTAAAATGCTTAGCACAGTGCCTGGTGGTATACAGTAGGTTCCACGTAAATATTATTATTGTTACTACTGTGTAGAGTCAGGGAGTATTCCTTTCAGAACAGGGAAAAAAGATGTCAAGATATTAGGATTTATTGCCCAGCACTTCCACTTAAAAGTAGTGTTACCAGGGGCAACTAACTTCTCTCCTCTAAGACTTTCTAGTTTATATATATAACAAAAAGAATAGAGGGCAAACAGAGAGGATACAAATACAAAAAGATGGGAGGTACACACACTCCCCACCCTCAAGTAGTTTACATACTAATAGAAGATAGGTTATATAGGAGACCAAGAAGTTTGAGAGGGTCCAGGGGGAAACAGACTGCCACACCCTATCTGAGAGCAAAGAAAGTTTATTTTGATTATAATTCCAAAGCTGGAAAGGGAGAAGCACAGAGGTGAGAAGCATGGGAGAATGAAGAGAACAGGTATCTTAAAATGGTTTAGATGCAATGTGGGCTACTTACTGACTCAAGACTGGAGAAAGGGAGAATTGTCAGAAATCAAAGTAAAATTAAGATGAGCTATCATTAAGCCCTCCCAACTCATCTCCACAATATGAAAGTTAACAAGCATTTATTATGAGCTTATTGTAAGTACTACATATACTTGAAAAGTGATAATCACCCTTTTAAAGAGTTGGGTATTTTTTGTTCTTGTTTTTTAATTCTTCAATGAGCATCCACTCAATTGGGGATCATTCATTCACTCATGGGAATCAATTCATTCCCACAGCAATCAAGAGAGGTTGGCAGGCATTATTATACTCATTTTAAAGACCAGGACACTGAGATCCAAAGAAATTGTGATGTATCTACCACGCTCACACATTTAAGTTAGCAGAGATCCAGGCTCCTTGTTCAGTGTTCTTTCACTGGATATGTTTTAGGAAGCAAAAAGTCTAAGAGCTCCCAAGGATAATTCAGGCTCATACATCAGCACATAGCCACTCCCATCCCTCAGAACTATATCTCTCAGCAACAGGTGCCACTAACCAAGTCCAGTGCCAGCCATGGAGGAGAAAGACCGTTGGAGTCTCATCACAATAGAGCTGAGGAGTGACAAAGTGCTGAAGAGCCCTGACCACAGTAGTGGCCTTAGTCACTCACAATGTCTCGAGGCTTCCAAAGGAAGAAGTAGTCAACCCAGTTAAGAAGTATTTAATGGCTGGTTCTTTGAAACACAAAGCAATATTTTCTATAAACAGGAGAGGGAATGATTGGTGAACAGAAGTACGGAAAGCACTTCTGGACTTTTCCCTTTCTTTCCTTCCCCCCCATTCTACAGAAGCCTCATGTCTTCAGCTAGGATGAGAGCTCTCAAAGACTCCATTTCACACCAGACCCCATTATGTCTTTTCTCCAGCCTAATTCCTCTTCCAAATCTATAACTTAGACATCTCCCCTACCACTTCTAGGATACTCCTCCCAACCAGATTCCCCACCCCGACCTGGGTGTAGTTTATGCCCCTTGATTCCTTCCCCCCCACACTCTGGTCCCCTCCCTACTCCAGTTCCCTCAAGCTCCCCTCCTCCCATCCATCCCAGTCCTAGCCTCCTGGCAGGCTCCCCTCCCCCCAGTCCAATGCTCTCAAGAGTCCCCTCCCCCTAGTCCTTTCTTCAGTCCCCTCCCCCATCTAGTCCTTAAGTCCCTCTCAGGCCCCCCTACCCCAGCTCCTCTGCCCAATAAAATTTTCCCCCTCAGTCTCCTCTTCCACCCAGGCTCCCCTCCCACTCAACCCTGCCTTCCCCCCTTGTTTCCTCTCCCCCCGTAGCCCTGCCCCCCCATCTCCCCTCCACCTCAGTTCCTCTCCCCTTCTAGTCTTAACCCCACCCCCACCCCGCCAGGCTTCTCTGCCCCCTAGTCCTGCCCCCCTAGTCTCCCCTCTCCCTCCCGCCAGGCTCCTCTCCCCCCAGTCCTGCCCCCCCAATCTCCCCTCTCCCCTCCTGCTAGGCTCCTCTATCCCCCTAGTCCTGCCCCCCAAACTCCCCTCTCCCCCCAGCCAGGCTCCTCTATCCCCTAGTCCTGCCCCCCAGTCTCCCCTCTCCCCCCAGTCCTGCCCTCCTCAGTTTCCCCTCCCCACCACGCTCCTCTTCCCTCACGCTCCCCTCCCCCCTAGTCCTGCCCCACCCCAATCTCCCCTCTGCCCTCCTGCTAGGCTCCTCTCTCCCCCTAGTCCTGCCCCCCGAACTCCCCTCTCCCCCCCGCCAGTCTCCCCTTCCCCTAGTCCTGCCCCCTCGGTTTCCCCTCCCCCCTCCCCGAGGCTCCTCTCCCCTCAGTCCTGCCCCTCGTTTCCTCTTCTTAGTCCTGCCCCCCCCGCCCCGTCCTGTTTAGTCCCCCCTCTTCCTTCCAGTCCCCCAGGCTTCTCCCAGTAGTGTTCTCTCAGGGTCCCCTCCTCCCAAGTCTGTCCCCTCTGGTTCTCATCTCCTCGGTCTGGTCCCCTCAAGCCCCCCAACCCTGGATGGCCGCACTCACCGTCATAGTAGTAACAGACTTTTCGCTTCGTGCCCTGAGTCAGCGCCATCTTGCCTCGCACCCTCGCGCCAGCCCGCGGCGCCGCACTACGTCCAACCTGAGGGAGGGGGCGCGGTCCCCTCCATTCCTCCCTCCCCGTCCCCGCTCATCTACCAATGACCGGCCAGGCTTGACGAAACGCTAACCAATCACACCTCAGCATCCCCACCCCGGAAGTTGGCTCCTGGCTAGGAGGCCGGGAAAGAAGCCGGCCAGGAGAGTCTCCGGCGGTACCATGTGTGGAAGCTGGGGGGCGCCCTCCAGCCACAGACTGTACCACAATGCGTTGGAGTTGGGGGGCTGCGGAGGGGCATCGTGGCATTGGCCCTTTCGTTAAAGGTGCTTTGGCCGTCAGGAGACCTGGGTTCAAAGCTGGACTGCTCTGCTCATTGCGGGGCGGAGGGGAGGCTGAATTTGAAGAGGGCTTTGTCGTTTAGTGGACGGAAGGTTCGAATGCTATCTAGACTGCTTGCATGTTTTGTGATTTTGAAAGAATCTCTGACCCTCAGTTTTATCCTCTGTAAAATGGTATCGGACTAAAGACACCCCCCCCCTCCAGCTCTAAATCTTGTAACTGGAGAAAAGTCACTTCCCCTCCTAGGGTCTCAATTTTCTTCATCTCATCTGTTAAATGGGAAGAACAATGCCTCACTACCTGTCTCATGGAGCTGCTATTTTTTGGGGGTTTTTTAAAATAAAAATTGTATTGACATCTTTTGTTTTTACATCACCTAAATTTCTCCTAGAGTCCCTCCGCATCCCCTTCCTAAAAAGAGAAAATAATATTTTTAAAGGGGGGGAAGGAAAAAGAAGTGAGGAAATCAACAAAACCAATCAATGCATAGAAAAAAATCTGAAAATATTCGTCAAATTCAACACCACAGACTTTGTGCCTCTCTGCAAAGGACCATGATAGGACGTCTTCGTTCTTTTAGAAGCAGCTTGTCCTCTGTAATTCTGCAACAGTTACTTTTGATTGTCTTGTAGTTGCTCTTTCTGTTTACATTGTTGTGGTCATTGTATAAGTTGTTTTCCTTGGCTCTGTTTACTTCACTCTCTACCAGTTTATGTAAGTCTTGTAATGTTTCTCTGTATTCATCATATTGGTCATTTCTTACAGCGCAGGAATATTCCCTTACTTTCAAAGACCAATTCTTTCACAACATGGCTAATATAGATGTTTTGCATGACTGCATATGTATCAAATTGCTTGGCTTCTCAAAGAGGAAAGAGGGGAGGGCTAGAATTTGGTACTCAATTTTTTTTTAAATTAATGCTAAAATTTGTTTTTACATGTAATTGGAAAAAATATTTTAAAATAAAGACCAATCAGCCATTCTGCAATGAACAGGCATCTACTTTGTTTCCTATTCTTTGCTACTCCCAAATAAGGTACTATAAATGTTTTGATGCTGGGATTTTCTTGTCTATGACTTCCTTGTGGTATTTCTTCCTTCCTTCCTTCCTTCCTTCCTTCCTTCCTTCCTTCCTTCCTTCCTTCCTTTCTTTCTTTCTTTCTTACCCCCCAGACCTATGATTTCATCTAAGTAAGGAATACTCAGTAAGGTAACTCCCTCTACCAAAACATAGTCAGAGAATTGCCTGGAAAAGGGAAGTCTGGGAGAACAGGGGAAAGGTTATTCTAAAGGGACACCAAAAGATTAACTGACTAGCCCAGCCAGAGATTATTATATGAGAATCCAACCTACTATGTGCTGCTGATGAACTCAGGCAGGGGCTCCGCACTCAAATCCTAGCTGTACTAATGACTTAGCTAATGGATGTTGGGGAAGTTATTATCCCTCTCCAGCGCTCAGTTTCCCTCTCTGAAAAATTAGACTAGATAATAATGATACTCATAATAAGTGACATGTAAGGCTTTAAATTTTTCAAAGCCTTTTGCCAAAACAACCTCACTTAAGGCTCATAATAAATGATGCAATGGAAAAGCCCTGGCTCTGGAGTCAGAGAACCTAGGTTCAAATCCAAACTGTGTTTGTGTTACTTACTTAACAGGAGTGATTTTAGGCAAGTCTTTCATAACCACCTTAGGTCTCAGTTTCCTCATCTGTAAAATGAAGTGCTTAGACTAAATGGCCTTTGAAGTACCTATTTTATAGATGAGGAAATTAAGACTCAGAAGAGAGGGGAGAGAAGCAGAGGGAAGTACTTACTATGTGCCAGGCAATGTGCTAAACGCTTTACAAATATTATCCCATTTGATCCTCACTACAACCGTGGGAAGTAGGCAGTTTAATTATCTCCATTTTACAATTAAGGAAATCAAGGCAGACAGCAGTTAAGTGATTTGCCCTGGGTTAAACAGCTAGTAAGTGTCTGAAGTAAGATTTGAACTCAGGTCTTGCTGACTCCAGGCTCTATCCACTGAGCCACCCTCCCAGGGGCTCACTAAATTGGTACTGAACTTAGTATGGACACCTAACTGATTTTAACCCACTACAGCTCAGAACTCTTGCTCTCAAGCAATCCCCCAATCTGAGTTTTCCCATTAGCAGGGATTCCAGGGCGTTTGCCAGTTATCCTGATCTCTATCTTGCCACTAGACCCAGATGGCTCCAGAGGAGAACATGAGGCTGGTGACTGCACAGCCCTCCCTCACTGTAATCCAATTCACTTGCACATCATGGCATCACCTCCTTGATGTCATGGTCCTCTTCGAGAATGAAAGACAGCAATAACCACAAGAAGTCCAGTATTGGGAAGAAACTGCTTTGTGACATTCAAAGAATTAAGAGGGTTTGGTTTTTTTGTTTTTGTTTTTAAAGGCTGTTAGGTGGCACAGTGGATAGAGTGCTGGACTTTGAGCCAGGAAGGTATGAATTCAAATCCTGACTCACCTCTCTCAGCCTCTGTTTCCTCATCTGTAAAATTGTCAAGATTGACTTAGATAACACTTGTTAATCATTTGCAAACCTTAAATCAATATGTAAATTTAGTCATTATTATTGCTCTATGATCCTAAAGTGCTGTATAAATTATAAAATATGAAATAAAATAATATCATTATTATTCCAGGAGGAGATCAGGGGTTCAGGATGGAAGCTTTGCTCAGGAGGGGACCACCAGCATCCAAGAGACCCATCTGTAGTGGGGACAGGAGGGGACTCTGGAACTTCTTGCTACTTCCTGGCCAAGCTCCAGCTCTTGTCTAGCAGGGTTTATCAGGGGCTCTCAAAGGGCAAACACTCTTTGGTGGAACATGCATAACAATACCTCAATCTTCTACAGCACTCTAAAACTCTCAAATCACTTTCTCTAATTCAAGCCTTTTAGAGAATAGTGCAAGATTATCCCCATTTTAAAGATGAGAAAACTGAGACTCAGAGAGAGGACTTGCCTAAAATCACATAGCCACTAAGTTTCTCAGTGCAGGGATACATCCCCAGAAACTCTCAGGATCCTATTCCTAACCTTCCCTCTACCCTATTTTGGTCGTATCTGACTCTTTTGTGATACCATTAGTGGGGGTTTTTCTTGGCAAAGAAACTGAAGTGGTTTGCATTTCCTTCCCCAGCTCCTTTGACAGATGAGAAAACTGAGACAAATGGGGTTGAGTGACTTGCCTAGGGTCACAGACAGAGAAAGTGTATCTGAGGCTGGATTTGAACTCAGGTCCTCCTGGCTCTAGGCTCAGTACTCTATTCACTGTGCCACCTAGCTACCCCACCCTAGCCTACCAGCCTTTTCTGTACCTCCTTCCCTCACAGCCCAGGGATGAGTGCTGTGGGCCTACCTTGGAGTGGAGGGGTGGTGGTGAGTAGAAAAAGTCACCATTCTTAGCTAACATTTATTGGACATCTATGTGCAGGACAAGGCCTGAGAGAGATACAGAAATGGAGAAGAACAATCCCTACCCTCAAAAGGCTGCTAAGAATGTGAATTTTGTGGGAACTGAGACAGTGAGTCCAGTCTAGGTGAACACATAAACAAGAATCAAAAGGCTGAGGCAAAGTCCAAGCTTCTCTTCTGGCCCTGGGAAACCAGGGAGAGGATGGAGGTGGAGAGATCAGTCTGGGAGACCAAACATTAGGGGTAGGGCACACAAAGGACGAGTCCAAAGCCAAGTCTTCTGCTGTCTTCCTGCCCTGGCAGGTTAGGGAGTCACAAGCATGTTGCCTGAGATATTGGAGCCCCATGCCTCCATCCGGATGGGAGAGTGTAGCCTCAGGCAGGATGCCCCCTGTCTTCTGTCAGATTCTTCCCTGCCTCAATCTGAGTGGAGCCGTTTAGGAGGAGAGGATGAAATTTGGGGGTGGGCCAGGGACTGGGATGGGAGAGGCTGAAGTAGGAAGGTCATGGCTGGGGCTGGTACTGGCCCTCAGTGGCAGTGAAGAAGTCTTCTAAGACACTCCTCAGGTAGTCAAAGGTGGGCCGTTCCTCAGGCCTCTCCTTCCAGCACAGCATCATCAGTTTGTATAGCTCTTCTGGGCAGTTGTCAGGCCTCACCATTCGATAGCCCTGCTCCAGATTCTGAATCACCTCAGGGTTGGTCATTCCTAGTCATTTGAGGGGTAGAAAGTAAGTGGTCAGGTCAGGTGTCTGAGGGGGGAGGGATGAGGGAGCAGGATAGTATATAGAATGGGGGTTCAGGAGGTCAGTCTCCAAGGACCTTAGAGATCATCTAACCCATTCCTCTGTAAGGCCTAAAGAAGATTAAGGGGCCATCTAGAACAAATCCCAGGTTTCTCAACATTATCCTCTACAATGTCACCAAGAAGCACTCATCCATCACCTTTCTGATTACTTTGCTTTCCCCTCACCCTCAATTCCCCCACCCATCCCCAGGACCACACCCCAGAATTGAAAGAGAACTTTGTCCCCCACATCCAACTGCAGCAGTCTAAAGTATGGGCTGGGCCTTATTCCATTAAAATGGCTCTAAGAAGTGGTTCTGGCCTTGTAAAATGCTTTCTTTCTGGACCCCACCCCGAAACCTAGACTAGAAAGGGGTGTGTCCATGGAAGATGAAGTGGAGCTATAATTCTAACATGGAGGTCTACTCAGAAAACTCAAATGATGGGATTAGAGCAGGCCTGCACCACCGGTATGGCCTGCTGCCTGTGGCCCACCAAAGCTTGGGCAATACGTTGTGCAGGCCTGCCCAAGTGCCTCTCAATCGCTTCTTCTTAAAGGGCCAGTGAGCCCTATTAGCTCTGAGAACAGCCTTGGGGCTTGAGGATGACCTGAGCAGTAGTTAAGTCCTCTACATTTTTTTGAGGGCCTCCCAAAATCCTTTGGCAGGTTGAATGTTGTGCAGAACTGGATTACAGAGTCAGAAGAGCTACAAAATTTCAGCAGAAGTTGGGTTGATTACCTTAGAGTGAGGGAGGCAGAGATTTTGGTGTGGTTCTGGGAGAGCAGGGAGAGGGAGGGAGAGGAGGGTCAGAGGTACCATAGGCTGGAGAAAGACATGCTCAATTCTGTCCAGTTAAGTGACTTGCCCAGGAGTCCATGACTATTAGATGTCTGTGGCAGAATTTGAACTGAGCTATTCCTGACCCCACGTCCCGCATTCAATCGGCTGTACCACCTAGCTGCCTCTCTGAATGCAGAGATGAGGACTGGATGACCTAGTGGGGAGTTGGGGAACTCTAATGCCCAGGGCTGACTTTCTTAGTTTCTCCCAGTTTGGTTTCAGATTTAACTGGATTAGAAAGGGGTAAAGGAAGAAAATAAGAATTTATATAGCACCTCTTCTACACCAGAGTGAACCTCAAAGGTGAAGGAAAGTAGCCTCGTGACTGTTCCCATTGGATGTAATGGGGTGGGGGAGTCCTGGTTTCACCTCCTGATTAAAAGTTTTAAGAACACAAGCATTTCTGGGGCTCCATTGGGAGCAGAGAGGTGACCCCTAGTGGACATGGCTGATGGTGACTACGATTCACAAAGTTCCAGTCACAATGAAATGGAGTCTTTCCCAGCCTTTGTCCCAACATTTGAAAGGAGTACGAATATTTAGCCTAGAGAACACTTGGAGAGGGTATGCCTTGAGGTATTTGAGGGGCCAAAGGTTGCTCACAAGGAAGGGGAAGGGAATGATCATTTCTATAGCACCTACTTTCTGTTGGGTACCATGCTAAGTGACATACAAATATTTTCTTATTTGGTCCTCAAAACAATAATACTTCAAGGTAGGTGCTAGTATTATCCCTATTTTACAGTAGAGGAAACTGAGGCAAACAGAGGTTAAGTGAATTGCCTGGGATCACACAGCTAGAAAGTATCTGAGGCCAGATTTGAATTCGAGTCTTCCTGACTCCGGGCTCTAGCCACTGGGCCACCTAGCTGCCTTGAAGAGGGAAGAGAAATTAGACTGTTGGCCCCACCTGGACCTTAAGGAATTCATAACATGCCCTCTAGACTCACCTTTCCTCCTAACTTCCCTGTATCTGGATGACACTGCTAATTTTCTAGTCAGAAAGACTCGAAATCTCAAAATAATCCTAATTCTTTCTTTTCCTTCACCCCATCCTCCTTATGCAACCTGACAATATTTCTCAAATCCCTTTCTCAGTCTTGATCCATTTTTCTCTCTGCCTTTCCATCCCTGTCTTCCTATCCCAGCAGAGGGCAGGGCTGAGTACTTTCTAACTAAGCCCTAAATACATGTTTTCATTCATTCATTCTTTGTGATCCCCTCAGCTCTCTGGCACTCACTGTCACCTCTCAGCATAAGACCCACAAATCTCACTATCCAGTCCTCATCTCTTTCCTGAGCTGCTTGCTAGACCTTTGCACCTAGTTGTACCATAGGCATCTTCCACTTGATGTGTCCAAAACAGGGCTCATTATCTTTCCCCCTTAAACCAATCCTGCCTCCTAATTTCCCTCTCGATCAACAAACATTTATGAAGTGCTTACAAAGTACCAGATGTTGTGCTAACATCTGGGTATACAAAAGCAAAGGTTTAAAAAAAAATCCTCAAAAACCCCTCACTCAATCGTTTCATCCCCGCTATGCCCATCTGTCTTATTCCCATATCCCCATTATTTCTTCTGTCCTTTGTGCTATCTAGTACCTTCAAAGCTCTTTATAATCTAGCCTTGCCCAACCTTTCCAATCTTCTTCCACCTTACTACCCAACATAGACTCTTTGACCCAGTGACACTGGCCTCTGGACACTTCCAGAAATAGCAGAAATAAAAATGCTTATTCCCTTTTCCTTCCTTGAGATGAAGCTTTGGCCCCTCAGATACCTCAAGACATCTATCATACCCTCTCCTAACTTCTCGAAAAGACCATATACTAAGTGTCTCTATTTTCCTCTCCTCTCGCTGTCTTCTTAACCCATACAATCCAACTTCTGACCTCATCATCCCACTAACTCTGCTCTCTCCAAAGTTACTAATGCTCTCTTGGTTGCCAAATCAAATGGCCTTTTCTCAATCCTCATTCTTCTTGACTCCTCTGAAGCCTTCGACACTGCTGATCACTCTTTCCTTTTTGATACCCTCTTCTCTTTAGGTTTTCTGGACACCACACTCTCCTGGTTCTCCTCTGATCTATCTGACTGCTCCTCCTCTGTCTCCTTTGCCAAATCCTCTTCCAAATTAAATCCTCTAATGCCCATAGGAGTGCCTTTGTCCTGGGCCCTCTTATCTTCACCCCTAAACAACTTCATTTGGTGATTCCATCAGCTGACATGGATTTAATTACCATGTCTATGCAAATAATTCACATATAGCTAGCTATCCTGCCTTGACCTCTCTGCTGGGCTCCAGTCTCACATCTCCAGCTGCCCATTAGACATCTCAAACTGAATGTCCACTAGACATCATAAACTCAACATGTCCAAAACTGAACTCATTATCTTTTCTTCTTCCCCCGATCCTACCTTCTATGTAACCAGAGAGGGCAACACCATCCTCTTAGTTTTCCAAACTAGTAGTTAACTTGTAGTAGTATCTCTCACCTCCCATAGCCTATCTGTTGCCAAGGCCTATCGTTTTCACCTTTGCAACATCTCTCAAACACAACACCTTCTCTGACACTGCCACTGTTTTCTCTGACACTGAGCACAGGCCTTCATTACCTCATGCCTCAATTATTGCAAAAACCTGCTGGTGGGTTTTCCTGCCTCAAGACTTTCCCCACCCCAATCCATCCTCCATTCATCCAGTAAAGTGATTTTTCTAAATTTCAGGTCCACCCCCACCATAAACTCCAGTGGTTCTCTGTCAGCACCGGGATGAAATATAAAATCTGATTCGGCATTCAAAGCCCTTTATAATCTAGCCTTGCCCAACCTTTCCAGTCTTCTTACACCTTACTCCCCAACATAGACTCTTTGATCTAGTGACACTGACCTCTGGACACTATTGCAGGAACGAGACACTCCACCTCTGAACTCAGGGCATTATTTCTGCCTGTCCCTCATTCTTAGAATTCTCTTCTTCCTTCTTATCTCCACCTCTCAGATTCCCGGAAGTCCCAACTAAAATCCCACCTTTTACGGGAAGCCCTTCCCAAACTTTCTTAATTCTAGTACCTTCCCTCTATTAAGCATTTCCTATTTATGCAGTTCCTAGCTGGTCTATACTATTTGCTTGCATATTGTCTCACTCCCATTAGACTGTAAGTTCCTTGAGAGCAGGAACTATCTTTTGCCTTTTTTTTTTATGCTCTCAGCCCTTAACTCAGAGCCTAGCACGTTGTAGGCTCTTAACAAATGCTTATTGATTGATTAAAACAGTCCCTGCCCTTGAGCAGTTTACATCCCAAAGAAGGAAAAAGTCTGTACATACACAAGCATATGCAAAATATATTAGGTAGCTCTGGGAGGGAAGGCACTAGCAGCTTGAGAGGGTTCAGGGGATCAGGGAAGGCTTCTGGTAGAATGTGGTGCTTGAGCTAAGCCTTGAAGGAAACCAAAGATGCCCAGAGGCAGAGGCTAGGGGAGAGAAAAGTGTATCCCAGGTATCTGGGATAGCCTTTAAAAAGGCAGTCAGTCACTAAGTGCCTACTAAGTACTCCTCAAGGTGCTAATCTATGTAGATAAAAAGAAGGCAAAAGACAGTCCCTGCCCTGAAGGAACTCAGTCTAATGTGGGAGACAAGAGGTAAACTATGTATTAACAAGCTATCTACAGGATCTATAGGAAATAATTTAAAATGGTTGGCAAAGGCTTCCTATAGAACGTGGAATTTTAGTTGGGACTTTTAAGGAAGTCAGGAGGCAGAGGTGAAGAGGGGGAACATTCCAAGCATGAGAAAATGCCAGAGATGGAGTGTCTTTTTCCTGGAACCACAAGGAAGCCAATATCACTGGATTGAAGAGTATATGGAGGTGTGGTATAGGTTATGGAGGACTTTGAATACAAAATAGGATTTCGTATTTGATCCTGGTGGTGACAGAGAACCATTGGAGTTTATTGAGTAGAGGGATGATGTTGTCAGAACTGAGCTTTATGAAAAAAAATCACTTTGTTGAAGGGAAGATGGACAGGTGTGGAGAGAGACTTATGGCAGGCAGATTCACCAGCGGGCTATTGTAAGAATCTAAGGGTAAAGAGGTGAGAGCTTGCTCTGGGACGGTGGCGGTGCCAAAGGAGAAGAGGGGGCAAATGGAAAAGATGTTGTAAAGGTAAAATCAATAGGCCTTGGCAACAGATGGGGTTGGGGGTGGGGATAATAAGGAGTGGAAGACGACACTAGGTTGGGAGATTGGGAGGATGATGTTTCCCTCTACAGCAGTATTAGGAAAGTTGGTAGTGTGGGGAAGATTTAGGAGGAAGGATAAAGTTTAGGACATGTTGAGTTTAAAATGTCTAGTGGATATCCAATTCAAGATGTCTAATATGCAGTTAGAGGTATGAGACTGGTAGTCGGCAGAGAGGTTAGGGCTGGATAAGGGGACTTGAGAATCACCAACATACAGATGATAATTGAATCTATGGGAGCTGATGAGATCACCAAGTGAAGTAGTGTAGGTAGAGGATTGAAGAGCCCCGAGGGACATCTACAGTTATTAGAAGTGACCTAGCTGAAGATCCAGCAAAGGAGATGGAGAAGAAGCAGTCAGATAAGTAGGAGAAGACCTAGAAGAGAGTGGTGTCCTACAAACCTGAAGAAAAGAGATTATCGAGGAGGAGGTGATTAAAGGCTTCAAAGATGGACAGCATCAAAGGCTGGAGAAAGGTTAAGGAGAATGAGGACTGAGAAAAAGTCATTGGATCTGCCCATTAAGAGATCATTGGCAACTTTGGAGAGAACAGTTTCAGGCTAATGCAAAGGATGAGAGATGGAACATTGTGTGTGTGCCATACAGCAAGTTGCTACGGTCGCACAGAAAAGAATGTATGGAGGAGGTAATATGAAAGAAGGCTGGAAAGGTGGGACCGAGCCAGGTTGTGAGGAGAGTTAAATGTTCAGCACAGAGGAGTTCATATAGGATCCTAGAGGTAACAGAGAGTCACTGGTGTTTATTGAGGTGGGTGGGTGTTGATATGGTTGGCATAGTCAAACCTGAGCTTGCTTTAGGAAAATCACTTTTGTGGCTGTACAGAGGATGGACTATGAGCAGCTAGATGGCACAGTGGATAGGGCACTGGACTTGGAATCAGGAAGACTCACTTTCATCCATTCAAATACGGCCTCAGCCACTTACTAGCTGGGTGACCCTGGGCCAGTCACTTAACCCTGTTTGCCTCAGTTTCCTTATCTGTGAAATGAGCTGGAGAAGGAAATGGCAAACTGCCTTAGTATCTCTGCTAAGAAAACCCCAAATGGGGTCAAGGAGAGGTGGACATGACTGAAAAAAGACTTAACAGCAAAAAGGGGTGGACTAGGGCAGCGAGATACTGGAGACAGGGAGACCAGCTATCTGTCTGTTGCAATGGGACAAGTGAGAGGCGTGGAGGACACTCATCTTTCCAATCACCCAGGCTCACAGCCTAGTGGTTCTTCTTCAATGCTTCTCACTCACTCATCCTCCCCTCCTCCATATCTAATCAGTTGCCGAATCTGATTTTTACCTTCAAGATATCTGCTACTTCCTTCCCCTTGTCTCCGTTCACATCACAGCCATCCCAGTTCAGACTTATCTCCCCTCTTGCCTGAATTATTACAATAGCCTCCTAACTGGTCTCCCCGCCTTTAGTGTCTGAGGTCAGAGATGAGGACTGATGATGCAGTAGGAAGTTGCAGGGAGGGGCCCTTGTGGGGAGGGCAGACTTCCTGGGGGTTTCCCCCGAAGTTTGATCTCAGATTCATCTGGGTTAGAGGGAACTCCAAAGGAAAAGAAAACTCCTATCTGCTTCACTCCAATCTCCATACATGCCCAGGGATATTCTAAAGCACAAATTTGACCATGTCATTCCTCTTGCTCAAGAAGCATTAATGTCTCCCTATCACCACTAGGATAAAACATAAATGTCTCTGTTTGGCAATTAAAATCCTTTACAACCTAGCCTACCTTTCTAGGGTGACTGCATGTGAATTCTCTGCATATATTCTAGGCTCCAGCCAGATTGGCCCACCTACTTCCTCACATCCAACTTCCCATATCCTGCCTTTCACAGACTGTCCCCCAGGCCTGGGATCCTCTTCCTCCTCCCCACCCCTGCCTTTTATTCTAATCCGTGACTCCCTCAAGGCTCCCCTCAAATGCCATCTCTGACAAGAGCTTTTCCTAATCTCCCCAGGCTTTAGTCCCACACCCAGACTCTTTTTTATTTATTTTGAATATATCCTGTACATGCACTTGCATGTGAACTTTCTCTATCCCCTCAGTAGAATGGAAGCTCACTGAGGACAGGAGCTGTCTCACTTTTGTATTTGTACTCAGTGCCTGGGACAGTTTTTAATAAATGTTTGCTGTTTGCTTCCATTTACACAGTATTCAGGCCCTCATTGCGCCTCCCCTAGGTTATTTGCAATAGACTCCTATCTGGTGTCCCTGTCTCTTCCCTTGCCTATCCATCCTTCATTCAGCTGCCCCAAAATCATTTGTCTTTCTTTCTTTTTCTTTTTTTCTTGGTGAGGCAATCAGGGTTAAGTGACGTGCCCAGGGTCACATAGCTAATAAGCGTCAGGTGTCTGAGGTCGCATTTGAACTCAGGTCCTTCTGACTCTAGGACCAGTGCTCTATCCACTATGCCACCTAGCAGCCCCCAAAATCATTTTTCTAAGGCACAAGTCCAACAGCATTACTCCATCACTCAAAGTCCTTCTAAAATACAACTTCCCTTGCTTAGCATTTCAGACCCTCCACAATCTATCTCTCTCATCGACAACTTCCAGCCTTATTTCCTTTTATTTTTTGGGGGGGGGAGGTGGTAGTCAGGGTAAGAGACTTGTCCAGGGTCACTCCACTAGTAAGTGTTTGAGGTCAAATTTGAACTCAGGTCCTTTGTTACTCCAGGACCACTTCTCTACCTACTGTACCCCCTAGCTGCCCCTCCCAGGCTTATTTCCTAATACTCCCATTAATACACTGTATGTTCAGTCCAAACAGGACTAGGCAGTCATGAGCTCAGCAGATAGAGCACTAGGTCTGGAGTTAATCAGTTTGGAAAACAAAGGAGCCTGCTACGTGCACTTAGCACTGTGCTAAATTCTGGAAGTGTCTGGAAGATCTTAGTTAAAATTTGGCCTTAGACACTTACTAGCTGTGTGATTCTGGTCACACTTCGCTGCTATCTGTCTCAGTTTCCTCAACTGTAAAATGGGGATCATAATAGTACTTACCTCTCAGAGTTGTTGTCAGGATCAAATGAGATAATAAAGAACTTAGCTTTACAAAGCCTGACACATTGTAGGTGCTTAATAAATACTTATCCTTTATCCCTTTAGAGAGTTAAATGACTCCCCCAAATTCACACAACTATTAAGCAGTAAGAGTTGAGTCTTAGACTCACTATGCTTCAATGCTTTCCTTCTAATTCCCAGAGCAATGCTTTTGCTCTTTGTCGGTCTCTACACTGCCTTGATTCTTACCGTGCTGGAGCCATCAGGGATCCTGGGTCAGGTCACCTCCCCTGCCACCCCAAGGGCCTCACCTATGAGCCAGCTTTAAGGGAGAGGGGGGTCTTATGGACATTCAAGCCTCCCTCTCATGAGTATGAAGAATCGTGTTTCAGGTTATTTGCTCCCTCCAGGTGCCTATTGGATCCTGACTCTGACCTGGGTAGGGGATCCTCCCATAGGTGACGATTTCTGTGAGCAGGATGCCAAAAGACCAGACATCTGACTTAATGGTAAATGTCCCATAGTTGATGGCCTCAGGAGCTGTCCACTTGATGGGAAATTTTGCTCCTGAAATGAAGAATTACCTGAGTCCATGGAATGCCACAGATTTCCTTCCCCACTCCTTCAATGGGATAGAGGGGTTCTATTATTCATCCCTTTTCCCACTAATAGGGTGGAGATTTTCCTACATTTCTGTGCCCCACACCCATCCCTACTGAGCCTTACCTGTCCCTAGCTATGGTTTACCTCTCAGTTGTATGTTTCCTTACCCCCAAAACTGTCTCTCCATTAGCTGTTTCCCCATATCCCTCCTCCGGTCACGGGTCATCCGGCTGTCTGTCATTCAACTATGCTGAGATGTGACTCCCCTCTCAGAGTTATGTCCTCCTCAGATATGGTCCCCCTTACCCATTTCCGGTTGTGAGCCAGTTTTGTGATCCCCTTTCTCTAAATCCTGTCCCCTGTGACTCTCCAGTCATAAAATCCCCTGCTGTGTGTCTCTCTGGCCCCTTGAACTGCGTTCTCCGGCCATTTGGCCCCCTTACTTTCCCTCTCATGCCATGTCCCTATTCCCACTCTCCTCCAGGCACACATATACTCACCTTCCCTGGCCGTGTATTCATTGTCCTCAATTAGCCGGGCCAACCCAAAGTCAGCAATCTTACAGTTCAGTGTGTCTGATACCAGAATGTTGGCTGCCCGAAGGTCCCGGTGAATGTAATTGCGCTCTTCAATGAAGGCCATGCCCTCGGCAATCTGAGGACTCAGCGAAGAGGGGAAACGTCAGCAGGCTGGAGTCCCTTCCTTCCCTGTCCCTTGCCCAAGGTCCATTCCCAAGCCACTTGACATCCCACCCCCTCTCCCCTACCCCCCACAGACCCTGTCCCAACCTTACCTGTGCAGCCATATCCAGCAATTTGTGGATGGTTAGTTTGACTCCAGTTGTGGTTTTGAGGAAGTCTACCAGGCTTCCTGTGGGTCAGAGTACTCAACTGAGGGTAGAACTGACCCTAACTTTTAGGGGAAACTCTTCTAGGGGAAAAAACTTCAGTATCTATCAGAATTCTGACCCACCACCAACTCCTCTACCCTGACACTCCCTACAATGTCCTCCATCCCAGCAGAGAGCCACCAAAATACTCCCATATTAAGTCCAATGTCTGAACTGGGTCTCAGGCGCTTAAGGAACAGAGAGGAAGATCTCAGAAAAAAATAAACGGAGACGATGGGAAGATCTGGAGTCCAGAGGAACCACTTTTAGGTTCTGTGTTGGGGAGGAGGTGTGTTTGCGCCACTGTAGGCATAGGCGCCTATTCCTCAGTGTCACCCTTTAGAATCAGAAAAGCTGGAAAGTGGGGCTTAGAATGAAGATTAATAGAGACCTCAGAACATAGAATTTCAGCTTTGGAAGACACTTTAGGACACAGAGAGTAATGAATGTCAGAGCTAGAGAGCAAGGATCTTGGAACACAGAATGTCCAAGTTGAAGATGAGGGAGTAATTTAATAAAAAAAAATTTTAAAGATAGAGAAGTAAGATAGTATAAAATCAATATTAAAGGTGGAAAGGATCATAGAAAATGGCAGATGTGGAAATGGGAGGGAACTTCCAAAATAGATGTCAAAACTAGAAGGCTTTTTAGCACCCAGAATGTCAGAGCTGGGAGGAGAAACATTTGAACAAAGGACACAAAATATCACAGTTGGGAAAAACCTTGGAAAATAGAATGTCAAAGCTGGAAATAATTCTAGAACATATGATATCAAGGACAGCTAGGTGGCACCATAAAGCACAGAGTGTCAGGCGTGGAGTCAAGAAGACTGATCTTTCTGAGTTCAAATACAGCTTCAGATGCTTACTAGCTGTGGTGACCCTGGGCAAGTCACTTAACCTTGTTTGCCTCAGTTTCCTCATCTGTAAAATGAGGCAGAGAAGGAAATAGCAAACCACTCCAGGATATTTGCAGAGAAAACCCCAAATGGGGTCACTGAACATGACTGAACAACAACATATAATATCAGAGCTGAGGGGGGACCTAGGAGTATAAAGAATAGCAGAGCTAGATAGGATTTTACCCTGTCTGAGATGGGAGGGACCTTAGAGCACAGAACGCAGAATGTCAGAACTAGAAAAGACCTTAGCCTACGGAACATAGACTATCAGAGTTGTAAGTGATGTTGAAATAAAGAATGTCAGAGTTAGGGGGACCTTGGAATATAGGACATCAGAGCTGGAAAGGACCTTAGAGAATATCTAGGCTAGGGGCAGCTAGGTGGCGCAGTGGATAGAGCACTGGCCTTAAAGTCAGAAGGACCTGAGTTCAAATCTGACCTCAGACCAAACACTTGACACTTACTAGCTGTGTGACTCTGGGCCACTCACTTAACCCCAATTGCCTAAAAAAAAAGAGAGAGAGAGAGAATATCTAGGCTAACTGCCTCACTTTGCAGATAGGGGAAACCTTGAGAGCTAGAAAGAATCTTAAAACGCTGACTTGCCCATTGTCAAAGAGGACTTCAGTAACTGACCTGAAACTAAGACCCAGGTCGCTTGACCCAGCCCAGGGTCTTTCCACTGTCTCGTAGAACACCTTCACTAGCCTGCCATCAGGATCCACAACCTTGGCTCAGAAGGTCATTTTTTCTTTTTCCAAGTCAGATTATTTTGCCGGTTACTGAGTAGAGGGAATATTCCTACTGCTCTCATTGGAAAGGGAAATTACCCAAGGACAGCCCCTTGGGCCTGAGCCAAGGCCTGAGTGGGGCCTGAGGCCCAAGCTCAGTGCTGCTGACCAAGGCTCTGTGGCTGTGTTTAGGTCTGTGACTCGTGCTCTATGACCTCCTCCCTTTCTACATTTCTGCATCTCCCCCCCCCCACAGAGTAAAACACGCTCTGGAGAACCTCTAACTGCATGTCCTGAAAGAATGGTTTCTCCCTGCCCTCTGTCTCTCCACTATTTCTCAGCAGGCTCTGGCCTGGTCTATCTGTTTGGCCGTTGTTACTACCAAGGAGCTTTCGTGGGTTCCTCAGTTCCTCAGCATCAGAGTGTAATCAGCAGACTAAGCCCCGATGACCACTTGCCAAGGATGATGCAGAGAAGATTCCAGTTTAGTTTTGGGTTAGGCTAGACACCCTTAGAGAGTCCCTTCTGCCTTTGACATTCTATGTCTCTAAGTGTGGGGGCTGTGGGGATCCGAGATTGCCTCTGGTCCCTCGTGTAGGGGAAGTTGAGGTCTATGGGGTATGTTGTGGGCGGGCCCTGGGAACCCTAGGAGGTGTGACCCTGGGTAAGAGAGGGGTAGCTCCAAGGCACTAGAGTTGGGTGAAGGGGCAACGAGTACTGCTGTAGCACCCACCATTCTCCATGTACTCAGTGATGATGTAGATGGGCTCCTGTGTGACCACGGCATAAAGGCGTACCAGCCGCTGGTGCTGCAACTGTTTCATCAGGTTGGCCTCGGCCAGGAAGGCATCAGGAGACATGCTGCCCGCTTTCAGGCTTTTCACAGCTACCTTGGTATGCCCATTGTAGTACCCTATGATAGGCGAGAAGTGATTCCCAGGTACCTCTGCCCCAGTGCCTGTATGTCTGTGTATTTGTTGGGGGAAGGAGGAGGAGGGAAATCATTCCCTCCTCTTTCTCCTGGCAGTGGTTTCTTGACACAGGCCCTGCCACAGCACACAGGTGAGGTGCACAAGCCTAGATCTCTGCTGTTTCTGCTGTATTACAGCAGGCACTTATTTAGTACTTTAAATACTCTGCAGATCCTTTACATATATTTGATCATTCAAGGAAACTGAGGAACCCTTGGGGGTGCAGGACTTAAGGGGCAGGACAGTAGCCTCCTCCCAGCCCTTTCTCTTTGGGCCTTGTTCCATGGGGCCAGCCCTCACTTACCCATCCAAACCTCCCCAAACTGGCCAGCTCCCAGCCTCTCGACCAGCTTCAGTGTCTCTCTTGGAACCTCCCACTCGTCTTCCCACCAGGGCTTCTGTGGCTTTTGGGTCTGGCAGGGCCGGCTCAGTCGAGTGCATAGCCCATCTGAGACTTCTGTGGGCCCAACAGGGTGGTCGGGTGAGGGGAAGCCTTGGACACATGATACCTCCTCCCTCCCCAAGGGGATGGGGAATACGGGTGAAGACTGGAAAAACCTCTGCTTTTGTGTTTGTCATGGGATAATGACTCCAAGAGGGGTTAGATGTTTAGATTCAGTCAAAGGGATACACTTGAGGACATAGAGGTTCCCCGCTCCTGGCTAGGTGACAGACATTTGGTAGAGACACTGTAATTAGGGACTTGGGGCTGAGGACCCTGCCTTGGTGAGTTTAGGGAAGCCAAGGATGCATTGGGAATTTGAAACTGAAGGCTAGGATTTTTGGGAGAAAGGGCTCTGGATAAGTTGGGGGTATGGAACTGAGGGATCCTGTAGGTTGGGACTGGAGATCTGAGGCTAAAGATCTAAATGGGTTGGGGACTGAGGAATTTGGGCCTGAGGCCAGGGCTCACTGGAATAATGCTGGACCAACTCATGCAGATTAGGAAAGGTGATTCGGGGGGAAATGTAGAAGCCGCCATTGTCCAGGTTGCGGATCTTGTAATGTTTCACCACCTCCCCCTGGTTCTGGTCAAAGTCCCGCACAGACAGAGAGAAGGAGCCTGTAAGGAATGGGGACAGTCAAGATCAGGAGATATTCATATCCTTCCTTCCATCCAAGCAGATTGCCTAAAGCTAGAAGGGGTGACTAACACACTAGATCATAGAGTCATGGTCCCAAAAGATCTTTACAGGCTGGAGCATTGGGCTACATCTAATTAGATGAAATTCAATAGAGATAAATGTCAAGTTTTACATTTGGTTCCAAAAAATCAATTTCACAAATACAAGATGGAGGAAATATGATTAAACAATATTTTGTCTGAAAAAGATCTGGGGGGTTTAGTGGACTACAAGTTCAATGAATCAACAGTATGATATGGAAGCTGGAAAAGCTAATATGATCTTAGGCCACATTTAGAGAATAAGGAGGTAGTTTTCTTTCTGTCCTCTGCCCTCATCAGACCATATCTAAAGTACTGTGTTTAGTTCTGGCCACCACATTTTAGGAAGGATAATAAAAATCTGGAGGGTGACCGATCAGGTTAGTGAAGGACCTTGAGTCCAAGACATAGCTTGTTTTTGTTGTTGTTTTTTGTTTGTGTTTTGTGAGGCAATTGGGGTTAAGTGACTTGCACAACGACACACAGCTAGTGAGTGTTACGTGTCTGAGGCTGCACTTGAACTTGAGTCCTCCTGACTCCAGAGCTGGTGCTCTATCCACTGCGCTACCTAGCTGCCCCCATGGCATAGCTTGGATGAAGGAATTTGGCATATTTAGCCTGGAGAAGACTCAGGAGGGACCTGAGAGCTGTGTTCAAGTGTATGAAGGACTGTCATTTTGGGGAAGGGATTGGATTTGTTCCATTTGACTTCAGAAGGCAGAACCAGGAACACTGGGTGAAAGTCATAAAGAGAGCAATTTAGGAAAACCTTCCTAACAATTATAGCTATCCCAAAGTGAAATCAGCAGTAGATAAGGCACTGGGCCTGGAGTCAGGAAGAGTCTTCTTCCTGAATTCAAATACAGTCTCAGCCACTTACTGGCTGTGTGACCCTGGGCAAGTCACTTCACCCTGTTTGCCTCAGTTTCCTCATCTGTAAAATGAACTGAAGAAGGAAATGGCAAACCACTCCAGTGTCTCTGCCAAGAAAACCCCAAACTGGGTCATGGAGAGTCAGACATGACCGAAAAATGACTTAACACCAACAAACGTGAAATGTGCTCCATCTCTGGAGGTGGTAGGTCCACCCTGTTTGTAAGTCTTCCATCATAGGCCAAGGGACCTTTGGGTGTATTGAGTATAGTATAGTGAGCATGTTGTCATTGGGTATATTATAGTGAGGATTCCTTTCCAGGTATGGGTTGATTAAGATGACCACTGAGGCACCTTCTGATTCTGAGATGCTGGCATTCTGTGATTCAGATCTGAACTCCACCACACTTTCCTATCCTACATTTCTGACTCCTCAATCTCCCTTCTCCCCTCACCTGCAGTGGTCTCGCTCTCTCTGATCAGGAAGGATCCGTGGGTATTTCCAGGGGCCAAAAGTTGTCTCTCAGCATCCTTCCGGCTCAGGTCCTTGAAAAACCAACTGAACCAAGGCCCAGTCAAGTCTCTCCCCCATAGTTCTCAAAAGAGTCTCCCCTCCCACACCAGGAGCTCCCCACGTTTCTCCTTTGTAATGGCCAGAGAGTGTCTTCATCTGGGGAGCTTTGGGAGGGAGCTGGGAGTTAGGATAGAAAACCCCATAGGGTCACCTCCAGTCTGCTGAAATCAAGGGCTGGAGGGCCAAGCTGAGCCTGGGAAACTTTATTTGGGAATCCTGGTAGCTCACCCAGATAAGGCCAAGTTTGCTCTTGGACTGTTGGAGCTGGAAGGGGCCTCAGAGATATCTAATCCTACCCTCTTGTTTTTACAGAGGAGAGAATGTAAACACCAAACTCTGGACTTGTTCAAAGTCATCTAGTTGACACATGTATAACCTATGTCAAATTGCTTGCCTTCTCTATAGGGTAGAGGGAAGGCAAAGGAGGGAGAGAGGAAGAGAATTTGAAGCTCAAAATTTGGGGAAAAAAAAGTATTAAATTGTTTTTACATGTAATTGGGGGGGTGATAAAATATTAAATAAAAAAGTCATCTAGTTGGTAAAGTGACAGCTAGAATCTGGATCTAAATCCAGCACTCACTTTAAATAGAATGTAAGCTCCTCGAGGGCAGGGACTATTTTGTTTTTGTCTCTGAATTCTTAGGATCTTGCACAGTTCCTGGCACCTGGTAGGCATTTAATAATTAAGTTAGAACTTCTGCGGTTCTGTGCCATCTCCTGATTCCTGAGAGTTTTCTGTTACCTCTACTCTGGGTATGTAGAAGGCCTATTCTAATTATTTCCCTATTTACTCTTTTGCCTGACCAAAAAACCCTAGAAAGGTGGTCTGATCAGAAGGGAGAAGGTGCAGAGGGAGTGGAGCCAGATTTAGTTATCTGGTGACGGTAGCCTTGGCAGAAGAAGGTAATTGGGATCTGGGAAGAACACTGGAATTGGGATTAGAGGTTCTGGGTTCAATAAATGTTTAATATTTGAACCCAAATATGTATTAATGGGATTGATCAAATATTAAATTATAATAAAAATTATACAGCATGACCTATATGATTGTGAGCAAGTCACTGAACCACTCTGGATCTCAGTCTGCTTCTCTGTAAAAAGAAAGGGTTGGATTAAAAGACCTTTAAAATCCCTTCCAGCTCTGTGATCCAGGGAGGCAAGAAAGGTCAGGGGCCAGGATAATCACAGGGCCTAGTGATTTGGATTGGGGGCTCTGGAATCAGGAAAGGTTTAGAAAGAGGAAAGCCATGGATCTACAAGCTAAGGCCTGAGAAGTGCCCTTAGGAACCCATGTGGACTGGCAGAGACACAATGGCCAGGGCTGTGGATATTTGGAAGTTTCTGTTTCCTGCCAGTCTCCCTGTGTGACTCCATTCCTTCACCAGCCCTCCCCACCTGGTACTCACGGCTCAGGCTCCAGGCTGTTTGCTTTGGCCACAAAGTTGAAGGGAATGTAGCCCTCCTGGCCAGTGGTCAAGGACTGTGCCTTCCACCATTCTCCATTCCTGCGGATGGAAGGGGCCCAATTCATTTTTACAGACTGTACTGTGTACCAAGATCTGACTTCCACCCCCAGCCTGGCCCCTGGGTGGATGGAGATCCAGGGCTCTGCCCTCTCCCTGGCTGGAGGGACTAGGAAAGACTCACTGTTCCAGAATCCTCAGCTGCTCCCCCTTCTCAAAGCCCAGGTCCCCATCATGGGAGGGCTTATAACTGTGCAGGGCGATGACCAGGTTATCTGTGAAGGTCAGATCTGTAGGTTAGGAACAGGGCAGGGATGGATCCAAAGTTAAATAGCAGGGGACAGTCAAAAACATTAAGGGGTATTAGAAACCCCTGAGAGAAGAGGGGTAGAAAAAGGGGCATCCAGTTAAATGAACCAAGACCTGGAGAGAGCAGACTGGGTAAGTTGAGGGGGCACACCAGAGTCTGTCTGTCTCTGAATGAGTTAAAGGTATCTGGGTTACCCATACCCCATCTCCTGATCCTCTTGCCTCCACACACACCCAGGAGCCCCAGCTGTGATGTAAGGTACCTTGTAACGGAGACACAGGTGGGTTTAAACCCTCATAGGTGACCAAGGGATCCCGTACATCAGAACCATTCCTCATTGGGAGCTGGAAAACAGACAATCAGGCAGGTAAAGCTTGTGGGGGGTGGGGCAGGCAAAGATTCCCCTCTCCTAGACCCTGGCTCCCCTCCCAGCCTCTCCTTCCTTCGAAAGGGCAGCCCGTACTGGGACTAAGGGGATCTGAGCACCAGTTCCTGCCCTGCCCCTGTGAATTCTTGGAGAAACCCCTTCCCTTTTCTGAGCTTCCGTGTCTTTCTCTGGAGAATGAGGAACCAGCTGATCTCTGAGGTCACTTTAAGTTTCAGGGGGTTTTTACATTCTGCCCTGAGCCCCCTGCATCCTTAGGGCCCTCACCGTGCCCTTGGCATCCAATGGGACGATAGGGTAGTGGCATCGTTCACACACGTCGATATTTTCCATCCAGTCCTCATCGAGGCTGGAGCTGCAGGAGCAGCCCATGGTCCCTGTGGGAGTAAGGGGGAGGGGGAAGGGGAGAAAGGGGAAAGGGGAGAGAGGAGAATGGGTCATACTTCCATGTCATCATTAAACGGTGCTATCCAGACACAGGGAGCCCAGATTGCCCAAGGACTGGGGAAAGCCAGGAAGTGCCCTGGGGCCACCTGACCTATTTCATTTTTATGTCAGATCCCCACCTCAGCCTCCCCACCCCACCCCCTCCACCAGCCTTGCCCAGGCTCCACCCTCCCACCTGGGACTGGCAAACTGTCATCAACACCTCTGTCATTCTCCTGCTTCCTGCCATCCCCCTAACCCCTTCCCCAAGCCCCCAGGTCTTGAGCTCCCAAGATCCTCTCCCCCTACTCCCAGCAGAAGAGGGATCCGATTGTGGGAGCCCCCATCTTAGGGAGGAGCCCACGGGGCCAGTCACCCCCTTCAGATGAACCTCGGAGGATTCACTTGGGGGGATCTTGTCTATAGGGGTAGAAAACAGAACTAGGAAGCCTCCTTACTGCACAGGTGGCTTTCTACCCTTGAGCCAGGCGTAGAGTGAGGGGCGGAAGGGAAGAAAATGGTACAAACAGCCTTGAGATCAGAGTCAACTTGGGTATGAGTCCCACCTGTGCCATTTACTAGCTGTGTGACCCTAAGCAAGTCACTACTCTCTGACTTTCAGTTTTCTCATCTGTAAAATGGGGCTAATAATATTTGCATTTATACTTTTTAGAGCTTGTTATAAGAAAGAGGTTTCTTAAAACTTTAAAACACTGCGGAAATATGAGCTCTTGTAATTACTGAGGGGTAATGGGTCTAAAAAATCATCCTAGGTGACTAGTTTTACAGAATCAGAAAGAAGGCAGGGGAAACTCATGGATCCTGAAACCAAAGAGTGGGAGCCTGCCTGAGGCCAGGGAGTGAAAAGGAGAAGCATCACTAAACCGCAGACTCTCAAACCTCTGAAGTCCCTCCCAGGGAATCTAGTTCAACTTGTTGGCACAGATCAGGAATTTCTTCTTCATAACGTCCCATAAGAAATAAATGGAGCTTTCCTTAAAATAATAAGTAGCATCTATCTAAAACCATCAGCAAGTATTGTCTGTAATGGGGATAAGCCAGAAGCCTTCCCAATAACATCAGGGGCGAAGCAAGGATGCCTGTTATCACCATGATTATGCAATATTTTCTAGAAATGCTAGCTATAGCATTAAGACAAGAAAAAGAAAATGAAGGAATTAGAACAGGCAATGAGGAAACTAAACTATCACTTCTCATATGATATGACGTTATACTTAGAAAATCAACTACAAAACTAATTGAAATAATTAACAAATTTAGCAAAATTGCAGGATATAAAATAAACTCACGTTAAGTCATCAGTATTTCTATGTATTACCAATGAAGTCTGGCAGCAAGAGATAGAAAGAGAAACTCCATTTTTTTTTAGTGAGGTAATTTGGGGGTTAAGGGACTCGCCCAGAGTCACACAGCTAGCAAGTGTAATGTGTCTGAGGTCAGATTTGAGCTCAGGTCCTCCTGACTCCAAGGCCAAAGATCTATCCACTACACCACCTAGCTGCCCCTTCTTTACTTTTCTTAAGGCTGTGTTAGATTATACAGACTTTTCTTGGATGCCCCTTCATGTTAGAGAAAGGGAATGAACATTTATGTAGGGTCTGCTACATGCTCCTACTTAGCTCTTCTCAGCAATGGAAGGGTCTAAGACAACTCCAAAAGGCTCACAATGGAAAATGCTATCCACATCCAGAGAAAGAACTTTGGAGCCTGAATGCAGATGGAAGCATACTATTTGCTCTCCTTTTCTTTGTTGTCTTGTTTTGTTTCTTCTTTCTTGTGGTTCCTCCTATTTGTTCTAATTCTTCTTTACATCATGACTAATGTGAAAATATGTTTCATATGAATGTATAAGTAGAGCCTGTATCAGATTGCACGCCATCTTGGGGAGGGGAGAGGAGAGAATGGGGGAGAAAAATCTTATGGAAGTAAATGTTGGAAACTAAAAATAAATAAATTAATTATTTAAAAAAAAAGAAATATCCTATTTGGATAAAAAAAAAGGGGTGGGGGAGAATGTATTTGTACAAAAATATTTATAGCAGCTCTTTTTGTGGTGGCAAAGAATTGGAAATTGAGGGGATGCCCATCAATTGGGGAATGGTTGAGCAAGTTGTGGTATATGAATGTAATGGAATACTATTGTGCTATAAGAAATGATGAATAGGCTGACTTCACAAATACCTGGAAAGACTTGTATGGTCTGATGCTGAGTGAAGTGAGTTGAATTAGGAGAATATTGTACACAGTAACAGCAATATTGTGCAATGATCAACTGTAAATAACTTAGCTATTCTCAACAATACAGTGATCCAAGACCATTCCTAAGGACTTGATGAAAAATGCTATCTACCTCCAGAGAAAGAATTGATGGAGTCTGAATGCAAATTGAAGCATACTATTTTTCACTTTCTTTATTTTTTTCATTTTTTTTCCCTTTTGGTCTATCTTCTTTCAGAACATCACTAATATGGAAATATGTTTTGCATGATTGCACATTATATAACCTATATCAAATTCCTTGCCATCTCAGGGAGGGAGGAGGAGAAAGGGAGGAAGAATTTGGAACTCAATGTTTTTTGTTATTTTTTTCCCCACTTAATAGTATTTTATTTTTCCAATTACAATTTATTTTTTCCAATTACATTCCAATTACATTTATTTTTCCAATTTTCCAATTTTTCCAATTCCAATTCCAATTACAAAGATAGTTTTCAACATTCATGTTTATAAGATTTTGAGTTCCAAATTTTTTTCTCCCTCCTTCTCCCCTCCTCCACCTCCCCAAGGCAGCAAGCAATCTGATATAGGCTATACATGTACAGTCATATTAAACATATTTCCACATTAGTCATGTTGTGAAAGAAGAATCAGAATAAAAGGGGGAAACCACAAGAAAGAAAAAAAGAGAAAACGGTATGCTTCGATCTGCATTCAGACTCTGTAATTCTTTCTCTGGATATAGATAGAACTCAAAAAAAAATTTTTAATGAATGTTAAAAATTGTCTTCACAAGTAATTGGGAAAAATAAAATATTATTTAAAAATAACAAATATCTCATTTGATCCTCACAACAACCCTGGGAGATAGATATTGTTATCCTCCATCTTACAGCTGGGGAAACTGAGGCTGAGAGAGGTTAAGTGACTTGCCCAGGGCCACACAGCTAGAAAATGTCTGAGGGTGGATTTGAACTCAGGTCTTCCTGACTCCAGGCCCAGTACTCTATCCACTATTCCACTTAAGCTCTGAGTTTGAATCTGTAACCCACTAAAATGCTAGGGGAAGGAGAGAGAAAAACTAAGCCAACAGCAGGAGGGACTGGAGTCTGGCCTTTGCAGAGATCTGGAGAAAGGATTGGATTGGGTTGGGGGACTTAAGCCTGCAGAAAGATTGAAGATGAGCAATAAAGCTGGAAGTCCTGGATCTGGGCTGAGGGCAGGCTGTCTAAGAGAACATTGGAATCCTAGGATGTGGGAGCAAATGTCTAGGGTCCTGCCCCAGGACTGGGGCTGAAAGATAGAGCCCTGGACAACGGGGAACGTCTGCACTTAAAATTTGTTGTTCAGTTGCGTCTGACTGTTCGTGACCCCATTTGAGTCATTTCTTGACAAAGATACCGGAGTAGTTTGTCATTTCCTTCCCCAGCTCATTTTACAGATGAGGAAATTGAGGCAAACAGGGTTAAGTGACTTACCCAGGGTCACACAGCTAATAAGTATCCAAGGCCAGGTTTCTACTCAGGTCTTCCTGACTTCAAACCCAGCTCTTTATCTACTGTGCCACCTAGCTGCCCCTTTGCACCCAAAAGGCCCCATATTTACGTTCAGTCATGATAAGCTGCATTTGTTTTAACTAAACGGGGCACCTATGATTTATGTCTTTAACAGCAACTCAAATTTATATAAATTGCCAGACTTCACAAAAGTGCTTTTAAGAACCCTGAGGGTTCTAATGCTTCCGACCTGACCCGGTACTGAGGACCTGGGTGAGTGGGGGAAACTAGGTTGAAGTTCTGATCACAAGGAGGGTCCTTGCATGGTGGTGGGACAGAGCTCTCTGGGGAAACATCTCAGTGGCCAGTCAGCAACTAACTAAAGGTTAAGGGCCCTTCCGGAATCTTCACCTTGCTGGGACGTGGGATTTCATTTATGCCCAGAGATCACTTCCCTCCATGTAACGTGCTGTGCCGTGTACGAACTCACCCGTGTGGGCACATGGGCATAATTTACAATGGGGAAGGTGTGCCTCAGGGAGATGGTAGACACAGTCCTCAGTCCCAGATCCACAACTAACTTGCTTTGTGATCATAAGTGACTCATCTTTGAGCCTGAATTTCCTCATCTATGAAATGGTGAAAATATTTGCACTGCCTGCCTCGTAGAATGTAGTGAGGATCAGAGTCAGTCGGTCACTCGGTGAACATTTATTAAGCGCCTACTACATGGCCGGCACTGTGCTAATTACCGAGGATACAGAGAAAGGCAAAAGACAGGAGGAACTCGAAATCTAAGTGAACAATGAACGTCAAGGTGAAAACCTTAAAGTTTTGTTGGAGCGTTAGACCTCGTTGTTATTGACGCATGATTCATGATGTATGTACATATGTGGCTGCAGATGTGCATAGGGAGTTGTGTATGAGTAGGTAGGTAACTTCTCTGTCTACACATGAGATGGGGGAGGGGAGTAATGATGCAGAGGGGAGCATATCTGCGTGTATAATGTCACAAGGCGTGTTTGACTTCAAGAGTGTCTTTATGTGCTTCTCTGTGTGTGCAAATATGTTGAATCTGTGTTGGAGAGAGGCATACATATGGGTAGGACTACATAGTGGGGATGAGTATGTAATACGTTTATTTCCTTAGAATCTTCAAGCGACCCCAGGGCTGTCTAGATCAACCAATATCTGAACAGAAATTCGAGTCTATGAAACATGGTTCCAATTCCGTATGTCTTTGTACTAGTTTGCATATTTTCATGTGTGTGAGGACCCGTGTGTGTTACTCCATATGGATGCGTTAGTGTGTGTAACTAGAAGTGTCTAGATGTGTATATGGTTGTTACACATGGGTAATCATATGTTACAGGTATGGTAATTATGTATTTGTAAGTCCACGAGTTTGTGCTTGGGCACGAGGGTGTTTGACTCTGGTGTGTGTGTTCCTATGTAAAAAGAATGCCCTTAGGTGAGAGTTATTGGGTATTTCAAGCCCTCTCCCCTGTCCTCACCCTGGATGGTTCCCAGTCTGCCACTGAGTGTTCTCAGAGAAAGCACACAGGAAGCAGCCTCAGGTGCAAAGCACAGACTTAGCAGCAGTACATGTGAAGGGACAGGGAGGAGAGAACCCTTGCCACCAGTTGGTGTGGAGATGGGGGGTGGGGGAGAGAGGGTTTGGATGTGAGAGCCTCCCCTTGGCTTCAGGGCCCTACCCCTGCTTCACCTACCTTCCCTCGGAGAGCCATGGGCTCCGGCTGCCCCGAGTCCCAGAGATCTGGTTCTCCCACCTTTCCAGGGAACTGAAGCCCAAGCAGGGTGCTGCTAACCCCAGAGGAATGGAGCTGGAATGGTGGAGTTCAGCCAGGTAGGGAGGAAAGTCCGTAGCCCTGCCCTGCCCTGCCTTGCCTGAGGTCTCAACAGTACCAGGTCTCATTGCCCCCCAGCTAGTCTCCCCAGTACACCGGGGATGGCGGTTGGACGGCTCCTTTCCCAATCCCCACCTCCAAGCCTAAAGACTCACTCTCCATCTGATAGAATTCATAGAACATAGAACTTAGAACAGAGAAAGCCACATCTGGAGAGGTCCTTAGAACATCCAGACTCCAGGCATTTTTTCCAGCTGTCCCCCACACGTAGAGCACTCTTCCCCCTCATCTCCAACTCCTGACTTTCTTCAAGTCCCAGAGAAAATGCTCCCTTCTGCAGGAAGCCTTTGCTAATCCTTCTTAATGCTGGGGCTTTCTCTCTGCTGGTTATCACCCCTATATCCTGCACGTAGCTGGCTTGTACATAGTTACTCACATCTTGTCTCCCAGGATAGACTATGAGTCCCTGAAAGGAGGAATTATATTTTTCCTTTCCTTATTTTTATTTTTTTAATTTTTTTGCTTTTTTGTATGTTTGTTGTTGTTTTGGGCGGCAATCAGGCTTAAGTGACTTACCCAGGGTCACACAGCCAGTAAGTATCTGAGGCCAGATGTGAATTCAGATCCTTCTGACTCCAGGGCCAGCTTCACCACTTAGCTGCCTCTTTGCTTTCCTTTGCATCCCCAGCACAGAGTGCCTGGCACATAGTAGGCGCTTAATAAATGCTTATTGGTTGACTTATTGATGGCTGGGAGGGGCTTTAGAATACAATGTGTAAGAGACAGAAGAAATCTTAGAACAGAATATTACAGAACCATCAACTACCACATTTCGAGCGAGGAGGGAAATTCATGGTTACCTTGCCCAATTTCCTTATTTTACAGATAAGGAAACTGAGGCCTAAAGAGAAGAAGGGCTGTGCCTAAAGATTCCCAGGAATTAAAGGCAGCTGGGCTTGGATTGGGTACCAGGCCCTCTTCCAACTTTACTGCTCTCCCCATTACTGTCCCCAGTGAGGCCCATGTCAAACACACATGAACAGGCATGTTCCCTCGAGAAATTCTGTACAAGGTCATTTTTGTCCCTACCCACAACTTGGGAGAGGAATGTGATCGGCCATAATAATGGTACCTTACACCACTGCCTCCCTTGATTTCTATGGTTTACGAAGCATCTTCTCCTCGACCACCTTCTGAAGCTAGGGCTCTTGCCTCCATTTTAGCGATAAAGACACTTAGCCTGGCTCCCAGAGGAGCGACGTTCAGATAGCTACTAAAGGTCTGAAGCAGCACTCGGACCCCGGTTTCCAGGTCCCCAAGTTTAGTGCTAATTCCTCTGTACTGTACTATCGGGGCAGGAACACCTCTGTGGAAATTGTGTTTTGAAGAAAACTCCAGTGTAGGTGGAGAGTGGGCAGGGAGGGCCCCAAGGCAGGTGGTACTTCAAAAGGATTGGTAACAGTGGGGGCTTCCCCCCCTGCACCCCACATTGTCACCCTCCATTCCCTGAAGTTTCGTCTATCACTCACATTCTAATCTTGCTTCTTCGACACTTGGAAAGTGTTTTTTTTCTCACAACAACACAGCCCTAGGAAGGGGTAGGGGTGGGGTTGTCCAGAGATGATCACGGTAGTCGCAAAGGTGAGACTTAGGAACATAGATGGAAGATTAGGTTTTAGCACTGGAAACAACCTTGAGGTCATTTTACAAAGGAGGAAACTGTGCCCCAGAGATGAGGAGTGATTCATCTGAGGTAGTAAGTAGTGCAATGGAGATTTGAACCCAGGCCGTCTGATTCCAGATTCATAATCTTTCCTCTACACCATAGACTTGAACCCAAACTGTCCTGTCCAGAGTTCTCTCTTGGTTTGGCTTAGGAGACCGATAACAATGGGGGGTGTGGGGCCAATGTCCAACTGGTTGGGAGACCAAGCCTCTCTGCAGTTAGGCCTCACCAAGGAGAGAGAGATGATGAAACTCTCAGTAAAGTCGTAGGCTGTGGCCTCTGCTAAGACTGTCCCTGGTGGGATAGGGAGATTGAGGGGGTGGGGTGGGGAGGTTTGGTAAGGCCTCTAAGGGAAGGTGATGGAAAATCAAAGGGAGTACACACAGATGAAATTGGATAACTTTAATCCTCTGGGGCCGTACGGGGTTTGGTCAGAAGACTTCCTTAGCCAGCTTCCAGTGGAGAAGGAAACTTTCCATAGGAACTCCAGGGTCAGGCTCTCCCTGACAATCATGCCCCTCACCCTCTCCCCACCCCAATTTAAAATAGCCTTTCTTCCTTCCTTTCCTCCCTTCCCGTGCCTGGCCTTTCAGGGCCATCTTTTCATGAGCAATCTCAACCCCACGTCAGAAATCTGCAGCTAAGGCGTTGCAGTGCCTAGGTCTCTTTCCTACAGGATTCTGACCCCATCAAGTCCTTCCCTTAAGCTTCCTGATGGAATTTTCCTTCCTTCATCAAACTGATGCAAGAAAATAAAGCTTGCCTCTGGGATCACAAATCCAGAACTAGGAGAGATCTTATGGGCCTTCTAGTTCAAACCCCTCATTTGGACTAGAGTCCAGAAGAGTTGGGGGACAAGGAAATGAGTGTCAGAAGCAGGATTTGAAATCAAATTTGCTAAATTCTCTCTACCCTTTACCACATTGGGAGAAGTGCTATGGACAAAGTGAGAAGGCCTGGGTTGAACCCCATCCTTGCCACTAATTAGCCATGTGGCAACTCCTTGCTCCTTTCTGGGTCTCAGTTTCTACCAAATGAGAATTAGTCTGAACTAGACAGTCACCAAGTTCTAGGAGTCTACAAATATTCATTAATAAGGTAGCTGGGGAATTCCCAAAGGCCTCATCTCATCTAGTCTCACCTGATCTGGTGATCAGAGGTCATTTTAGGTCCTACCTTATTACCCACCTTCCTCCCAAGACACCAGATACAGTATAAAGATTTCCAGCTCTCTTCCCTCTGTCAGCTGGCTCCTGGTCACACTTGTGATAATGCCCCTGTTTGGACTAGAACCTAGCTCCTCTGTCTCCAAATCCATCTCTCCTGCTACCCAGTCCAGTTTCAGGGACTTCCCCAAACTGTTCTTCGAGGAGGCAGCTTTTGCCCCCAGGGCATCTGTGAGGCTGGCATCAGGATGTCCACAGAGCCTTGTCACAGTGACTGTGGGACTGTTGGGGTGCCCATGGGGCTGGTAACAAGGTTCTCACAAGATCAAGGTTGGGGGTCCCCAGAGACAAGTTGGGGATCTGTGGGACTATGGTAGGGTCTCTGTAGGGACTGTCCATAGTGCCAATGCCACCGTGCCCCATAGAGTAGGGGTACTATAATACCCTCAGGGCTTGTCACGGCACCCATCGATTGATGTCACAGGTCTTATTAGAGTAGTGTCCCACAATGGCCAGCGAGACGGAAGCCTGAAATTCTGTCAAGACTGTTCTCTGGTCCTTCTTGCCATCCCCTTAGGGGCTGCTGACCTTTCCCTTTGAAAGCCTCCTTAAGCCCTGTGCACTCTTTCCTTACCTGCCTATGGTGGGCTCCTGCCTGATATGTTCACTGAGCCTGGTTCACATGGTCCTTCTGGTCCAGCGGCCCCATCACCACCCAGAGGATGGATGAGGCTCCTGGGGCCTTGTCGCTGCCTCAATTTGCCTTCTCAGCACCCAGCCCACGTCCAACCCCAACTTCCTGCCTCCTCCTGAGAGAGTGAGTGAGAAAGAAGACGGCAGCCAACCCCCAGAACCCCAGTCAGGCCCTCCCTCAACCACAAGCCAAAAACAACAGTGCCAGCCACGCCCCTCCCAGCATCCAGGGGCCTGATAGTAGGGAGCTGTGGTCCCAGGGGGTTCCAGGGAATTCCTAATATATGTGGGTGGGGAAAGAGGGTGACATACCATAAAGAGTATTTGATGGTGAAATTGTCTGGGATTTGGCCTCAGAAGACCCAGGTTGCAGTCCTGTCTCTATTACTTGTTGTCTGTGTGACTTTGGGTAAGTCACTTCCCTTCTCTGGGGCTGTCTCCTCTTCTATAAAATGAGCTGGTTGGATTAGATCAGGGATTCTTAGCATTTTTTTATGTGTGTGTCATGGACCCCTTTGGAAGATTGGTAAAATCTATGGACCCTTTTTTAGAATTTGTTTTTTTTTAATCACCATTGAAAGAAATGATAAATTTCACTTAGAAGGTGGTAAAAATAAAAATGGTTCTTTCTCATCTAAGTTCATGGACCCCTTCTCCCCCCCCCGAAATCTAGTCATGTATCCCTTGGTAGTTTGGGCTAAGATGATCCCTAAGGACCTTTTCAGAATAAAAGGTCTAGGGTTCTGGGAAGAAGAGGCCATTGGGAGCATGTGGGCTGAAGGGGGTGGGGGTGAGGGAGGGCTCACAAAGGGGAGTAATCTCCCCCTCTATACCCACCCTCTCCTCCACATCAACTTATTTACCATTGGCTCGCTGTGTGAGCTTGTCTTAGAGTTTCCATTTCCATCTTTGCAAGATAAAGGATTGAACTCAGAAAATCACAGATTTAGAGATGAAAGACCATGTGGACCACCTAATCCAAACCATTCGGAAACAGTGAGTCAGTTCAACAAACATTTATTAAGCACCTACTGTGTGTCAGACACTGTGTTAAGCACTGGAGATACAAAAAGAAGCAAAAGACAGCCCCTGCCCTCAAGGAGCTTACAATCTAATAGAGTCATAGGAATCAAATGACTTGCCCCAGATTGTACAAGTAGTTGGTGGCAGAGCTAGGATTTGAACCCAGGTCCTCTGATTTCAAAATCTACACGCTTTCCACTGTATCACCCTACCTCCTTCAGACTAGATGGTCTCTAAGGGTCTTTTCAGCACTGACCTTCTTTTGGTGACACCAAGTGGACACTGGCAATGTTGTGGGAAAGAAGTGCTCCCCCCCAAAAAAGATGTACCCCATTCATTGCCGACAGAAGACAGGCACCCCAACTCAGACAGCCAGCTCAGTAAGGGGCAGAGATGGACCACCTGATGGCTGAACTCCAGTTGGACCCAATGAACCCTGCCACAGCTGATCCAAGCTAGGATGACCCATTCCTGTGAGACAAACAGCTCCCGCCCCTTCACCTTGAGCCAAGCTGTGAGGAAAGGGGAGGGGTGGATGACAGGGGAGGAGGATGCCACAGATATATTGTTGGGGTTTGAAAGGTGGAAACTGATGCTGGTTCTGCTCACCTCAACTGAGGCGGGTGAGGGGGGCAGGAAATGGGGGAGGGAAAGGAAGCCAAAGACGGAAAGTCAGACAGAGAGGTGAACAGCAGAAACAAAAGCTACAGGGGGAGAGAGAGAGAGAGAGAGAGAGAGAGGGAGAGAGAGAGAGAGAGAGAGAGAGAGAGAGAGAGAGAGAGAGAGAGAGAGAGAGAGAGAGAGAGAGAGAGAGAAAGGAAAGACAGAAAGGGGGAGGGAGGAAGGGAGGGAGGGGGAGAGAGAGAGAGAGAGAGAGAGAGAGAGAGAGAGAGAGAGGAGAGAGAGAGAGAGAGAGAGTCACAGAGATGGAAATACACTGAGAGATTTGAGACCGACAAACAGACAGCCATATACACACACAGAGAACCAAAAACCAAAAACCAAGACAAAGAACAGACACAGAGCTAAATGAAAGAGAAAAGCTAGGGGCTTCTGGGTCAGAGACATGTCTTCCTCCCTCAAAAACATGCACACCTAGTGTCCTTGATCTCTCCCACAGTGACAAGGTATCAGAGAAGCTCTGGGAGACCACACCCGGGAGCCTGTTCATAGGCTGGGAAGGTGTTTATTGGAAGGACTGAGAAAGTGTGAGTGTTCTCACCTCAAGCCCTGTGGGCATTCCTTCATCTAAGTCGGGGTGGGGAACCTTGGCCCTGAGGCCACATGTGATCTTCTAGGTCGTTGGATGTAGCCTTCTGACTGAGTCCAAGTTTTACCGAGCAAATCCTTTTATTAAGGGGATTTGTTCTGTGAAATTTGAATTCAGTCAAAGGGCTGCACTTGAGGACCTAGAGGGCCACAAGTGGCCTCGAGGCCACAGGTTCCCCCACCCCTGATCTAGGTAAATGGGGAGAGCTGACTCTGGAAAGGCTGGACAGCTCTCTCCCTCCCTCTAGGCAGTGAGCTGTGGTCCCTCAGGTCAGGGGTAGCAGAGCACCAAGGTTTGGGGTCAGACACCCTTGTGAGAGAGCAGAGGATGCTCAGCTGTCTGCAGCAGGGCCTGCCTGCTCAGCGGAGGGTGAACCGACGCGCGCTGATGTTCATCCGGGTGAGGCCGATGTCTCTGAGGGGGGGAGCCAGGAGTCGAGTGGGCCGGAGGGAGCCCGGGCTCAGCAGCTCTGCAGCCTCTCCGAAGCCCAGGCCCTCGGCCTCAGCCTCCAGCTCAGCATCATCCAGCAGCTCCTGGTGCTGCCTGCAGATCTGTTCCACCTTTAGCTGGTGCATGCGGGACCGGAGGCGCAATAGCTGCCCTGCCAGCTCCCGGTCCTGGGCCCGCATCTGTCTCTGGGGGGAAATGATCCAGGTTGGGGATTCAGGGGATTCAGGGCCCCGCCTGCCTGCCCTCCATTTTGAAACTTTTTTTTTTTCTTTTTTAAGGCAATTGGGGTTAAGTGACGTGCCCAGGGTCACACAGCTAGTAAGTGTCAAGTGTTTGGTCTGAGGCCAGATTTGAGCTCAAGTCCTCCTGACTTCAGGGCCGGTGCTCTATCCGCTGCGCCACCTACCTGCCCCACTGCCCTCCATTTTGGGCAGACAGCCAGGGATGCTGAGGGCAGCGGCATCTCTCCCCCTATCCACTCTGTGTCTAGGCACTTTGCCAGCCCCTTGAAGCTCCAACAGTCTCTGACCCTGAAATCCCCTCCGTCTAGCTCAGCCCTTCCTGGCTCCTCCTTCCTCTCAAGCTCAGCTCCACCCTCTCCTCTCCTCTTCCTCCTCTTCCAGGAAAGATAATAATAACTCACATCGCTAAGGCCTTGGAGGATTTACAAAGCACTTCCTTACAGCAGAGGGGAGTGGTTGGGACTGGGACCCAAGTCTTCCAACCAATAGTGCTATTTCCCAGCCTCTTGAATGGACTCAGGGGCTCATCTGTTCAGTCTGTCAGCAAAGATTTATTAAGCGCCTACTGTGCGCAAGGGACCAGGCTGGGGGGGGAGAGGAGACCCTCACTCTTTTCACTGAATATTGCACAATATTGTTGCATTTCAATCACCTTATCTCCACCGAACTCCGGACTTTAGCCTTCCCTAAGTCCCTACGGAACTTCGGATCATAGACTGTGAGAGGCAAGAGATACTTAGAGATCACCCAGTTCCTCATTTGACAGGCAAGGAAATTGAGGCCCAAGGTGGTGAAGCCATTTGCCCAAGGTCCCACAGTCAGGAGAAGAAATTTGAACTAGGATTTGAACTATGGTGTCTAACTCAAAAACCAATATTTCTCACATACACTACCCCATGCCGCCTGTCCTGAAAGGGACTTCCTGAAACTGGGGACTCCCTAAGGGCAAGGTTGCACTCTCCTCCTCAGCCTGGGGCTTCCTTCTGTGCATCTGTCCCTTAGATAGGGGCTCTTCGACAGTGAGTGCATTCTACTCTCTACCCAGAACGCCCACACCCCAGACTTACCAGCTCTTCTCTGAGCCACTGCAGGGCGTCATCCACAGTGTGAAAACCACAGATGGCTCCAGGGCCTGGTTCCCCCAGTTCAGCCCTGGCATGGCCTCGGCACCAGGCTTGGCTTTGGACCCTGGCTGTCCACTCGAGGTATGAGGGCCTTCTGGTCTGTAGCTTTAACTTGGCAGTGAGTGCCTTCAGGCTGTCCAGGCTCTCCGAGTCCTCTTGCTCTTCCTCCTCACCCAGGGCCCCAAATGCCAAGGACCCCAGAGACATGGTGATGGAAGCTCTGGTGGGACCAGAGAGGTGTGATGTGTATGTCTGTCCTGCGTTGAGAAGGACAGATGGATCAGTATGCCGAAGTAGGAGATGAGTGTGTAAGATTGAGTGTGGCTTATTTCCCTGGAATCCTATAATGGGAACTCACGTGACCCCTAGAGGAAAGGGATGGGGAGTGGGGTGGGGGTGGGGGTGGGGATGGGGTGGTGGAGAACAGGATCTCAGTTTCTCTGGCCTCAGGGTCAAATTTAATTGTTGTTACCCAAAAGGAGACACCCTATTCTCTGAAAGGAAACTTCTCCAGGGCCAGGGAGCCACTGGGGACATTGGCTTTGTCCCTTAGCATCTACCTACTTCCTTTTCCACCTCTCCCAACCAGATTGGGGGGTGGGGGATACCACTGAGAGAGACATCTCCAAAACAGCTTGGGGCAGGGGCAGAGTGTGGGGTCCCAATGAGGGAGTGGAGAGCGTGGGACACCTGTCTGGGGGCCACAGAGATAGTATCCCAGATTTGATGAAGGCAGAATATGAGGTTCCAGGCTAGAGAAGGACAGCCTGGGAAGTCTATGGGGTCTCAGCCTGGAGGGAGGCAGTGGGTGGTGCCGGTTGGGTTGGGATACTCAGAACAGGTGTCTAAGATGCAATTCTGGGAGGAGATAGGCTCTGAACCTTGAAAAGCTCCTGGAGAGGCTTTGAGGTGGGCTCCCCTGTGGCACCCTAGGCACCAAGGACCAAGACACTTAAGTGAAGAGCCAACTGCCCCCAGGGGGCGCTCCTTAACCAATGACCACCAGATAAACTGACAGATACAATGAGCATTTAAGGTAGCCCTGAGGGCACCCAACTGAGAAGACTCAATTTAAGTCCTAGGAAGGACCTCAGAGACCAGCTAATCTATCCGTGTCACTTCAGAGAGGAGACTGAGGAGCAGGGAGGACTTGCCTGAGAACCTAGGACCAGCTAGTGGCAAAACAAACTGGAAATAAAGTGCATGCCCATTGATTGGGAGATGGTTGAACAAATTGCGGTATATGAATGTAACTTGTTGAACATCATTTCCCTGTAAGAAACAAGGAATATGAGGAAATCAAAATAAACATGGGAAGGCAGGTATGAGCTGATACAAAGGGAAGTAAGCAAAGCCAGGGAAAGATCATATATATTGACAATAAGAGTGTAAGGGAAAAGACCCCTTACTAAGGTTTAAGTGAAGGGAAGGACAAATGTATTTCTCCCCCTCCTCCCTTTCCTTGGAGAAGTGAGCAAAATATCTTCTACATTGCCTGTCACGGTCAAGAATGTTATTTTGGCTTAACTGCATTTCTTTGTTATAAGGGAAGGTGGGAGGAGAAGTATGTATCTGGAAATGACGTAAAAACAAGTAATATTAAAATATTAAAAACAAGTAATATTAAAAACACATTAATTTAAAAATTCGTGGCAGGACTTCTGACCCAGGGCTTCTGATTCCAAGGCCAGAGGGCTGACGTGAGCCAGGGTATAGAGGAGGAGAATGCACTACAATTCCCTGGCAGATTATTTCACCGAGCAAGGCGGAGAGGAGGAGAGCTATGTTTGAAAGTGGGTAGGATGGGTGCACTGGGTTCGAGAACATCTGAGTCCCCAATTAGGCTCCAAGCCCGAGTTGTCCTTGCCCTCCACCATGAGGGCAATGTCGAACCTGAGCACTCCAATCCCCCTAGATCTCAGGAAATCTGAACCCTCCCCTCGTGGGGCCACCTTAACCAGCCCCAACCCGCAAGCTTCACCCGCCCCGGGGGCAGTTCCTGTCCTCCTTCCCCCCCATCCGTCCGGATCCTCGGGTTCCCGCCCCGGTCCTCCCTCTGGGCGGAGAGGACTGCCTGTGACCTGGGGCTGCAGCGCCCTGGGACCCCACTCTTCTTCTTTGCGCCTCACAGCACCCCCAGATCCCCGCGCCCTGGGCTTCCAGGATGGAGTTCTCGGAGTTGATCCGTACTGGTCGCGCGGAGGCGCTCCTTCTGCCCGGTCCTGGGCAGTCCCCAGTGCGGGGCACCCTGTGTATCACCAGCCACCACCTGCTGCTGTCCGCGGGGCACGGAAGCCCTAGCGACCTGTGGCTGCTGCTGCGCAACGTGGATGCTGTGGAAAAGCGGTGAGAGGGGCTTGAGACGTTGCAGGGTCTTAGCTGGGCTCAGGGGAGAGAAGCGGACTGCCGGGATCAAGAGATGCGGCGAGGGGTGGAGGGGACGCTACTGTGTGTGTGTGTGTGTGTGTGTGTGTGTGTGTGTGTGTGTGTGTGTGAGAGAGAGAGAGAGAGAGAGAGAGAGAGAGAGAGAGAGAGAGAGAGAGAGAGAGAGGGTGCTTCCTGGGGGAGGAGAGGCTAGCAGTGCAGAGGCGTATCCCCGGAAGATCGGGAACTGCTTAGCTGGGAAATACAGGGGGCCCGGAGCCAGCCAGCCAGCCAGCCGACGTGTTGGATGTTGGCTGGGAAGGCACATGTGCCTCGCCAGGTCTCAGTCCTCCGTCCAAGGAGAGCTGAGCTCCCTTGGCCATTCTTTCTCATGCGTCTTCCACTTCCCTCTATCCCACTGACTCCTCATATGTCTCCTTTTCCCCACTGACTCCCAAGTCTTCTCCTCTCACTAACCCACCGATTCCTGTGTCTCTTCAATGAACCCTACAATGTCTCCTTCCCCAAAGACCTCTCTGATCTCTTTCCCCGCTGACCCGTGCGTCCCCTTCCCCTACTTGTCCTGTGTTCAATACTGCCCTCCGTGTCTCTCCGCTCTTGTTCCCCTACTAGCCCCACCCCCTCCCCGTGACCCTCCATTGGTCCCTGAGTCCTATACTAAACCAGCATCTCTCCCTCCTGGCTCCCACGTGTCCATTTAGCCCACTGACTCCTCCCGCAGGGCGGCAGGAAACTCCGGCACCATCACCCTGAAATGTAAGGACCTGAACGTTCTGCAGCTGGAGATCGAAGGCTTGGAGGAGACTCTGGACATCGCTGGCTCCATCGAGGTGGGCAGGGAGTGCTGGGATTAGGGCAGCAAAGCCACTTCTGAGCACTGCCAAGGTGGGGAGGGCAGAGAGTGGCCGGGGAGAGAACGTCAGCAAGGGCATGGAGAGGTTTTGCATGTCGAGCCTGGGGTCCCCAGAAGTGCTTTTTGCTTTTTTCCTCAAGGCCTTGTCCTCGCTGGAATCTGTCACCACTTCCTATCCATTCTTCTACAGGCCCCAGAGCCTGAAGCTGGGAGACGCTGAGGACCTGCATCCCCCGGACCACTTCTATCAGCAGGTGGCCCTGGAGGTAGGTGCCAGTGACGGAGAGTTGAGGGCAGCTGCAGGAGGAACTTGGGGAGACTATGGGAAAGGGCTTGTATCTCTGGCTGTGGTGGGAGGGGGCCTTCCGGGGATGTGAGCTTGTGAGAGACTCCCCTCCACCCCCCGTTCCTGCAGACAAACGGCTGGCGCCTGAGCACAGTGAATAGGGACTTCTACGTGTGCGCCAGCTACCCGACAGCTTTGGTGGTACCCCGCGGGATAGGGGACGAGGTCCTGGCACGAAGCGCCCGCTTTCGCCAAGGTGGCCGCTTCCCTGTGCTCTGCTACTATCATAGTATCAACGGAACGGTGAGTCTGGAAACGGCTCCCGTACCCCCGCTCTGCTCCCAGCCCCAAACTCTGCTCAGTGCCCTAACTATACCGGCTTTGTCCTCACTGTTTCTCCACTGGTTCCACCCAGACACCCAATGCAGACCCCCCACTTTTACGTGGAATCCCTGCCCCACCCAACCCCTACCGAGGCTAGGCTTCTCCCCGTCACACCTTCAGCCCTTCTAGGATCTGTGGCCCCAGGTACCCAGACGGATTCCAACCCCGCCCCTACCGCACCTGGCCTCCAGCATTCTCCCTGGTATCCTGAGCCTCCTCAGCTCCCACCTTCCCCTCACTCCCAGTAAACTTGGGTGGCCTTACCCCCCGGACCCTAAGGGAATGGTCCCTAAGCTAGGTCACTCATCCCACTCCAAGGTGATGCTCCGCTCCAGCCAGCCCCTGCAGGGGGCCAATCGACGACGCTGTGCAGAGGACGAGGAGCTGCTGAAGGCAGCTCTGGCCCAGGGCGGAGGGCGGGGCTTAGTGTTAGACACCCGCTCAGCCCAGGCGGTCAAACAGGCCCGAATAACCGGGGGCGGCACGGAGGCCAAAGCCGCCTACCCGGGGTGGAAGCGGCTGCACCGGCCCCTGGAGAGGTAAATAGCCAGGTCGTTATCAGTTCACTTCGATTTCATGACTTCTTCAACAACTCTGGAAGCAAAGAAATGGGATGATGGGGCTTTACGCAGGGATGAGAATTTGTGATACGGGGACAAGGGATTACAGGTGCTAGTTCTACTGCCAGAAGTCAACAAACATTTATTCAGCGCCTATGTGCCAAGCACGGTGCTAAGAGATGAAAATACAAATATGAAAAAGGTAGTCCCTGTCCTCAAGAAGCTTACGATCTAAAGGGGGATGACAAGGCACAGAAGGAACCTGAAAGATGGGGGGGAAGTCCATGGGGAGGGGCGCGGAGAGGTATGCAGCCAGATGGCTCTCCTAGGGTGCCCTTCTTAAATGGAGCTTCTGGGAGGAGTTCCCCAGCCTCCAATGAGAGGGGCCCAGGGCACAGGGTACAGAAGAGGTGTACATTCCAGGGCTGATATGCTCTAGCGGGATGAAGAGGTTCCTACGGCATGACGGAGAAGTCCAGGAGGGAGATGACCAGCAAATCACTAGGTCAAAGCTAGCATTGAAGAAAATGAAACCAGACTGGGGAGGAGAGGCCTGAAGAGCCCGAGGAGGGCTTAAGGATTAGGTTTAGTGTGGGCGAGGAGTGGATTCTCATTCACTTGTGGTTGTTGAGTGGCATTTCAAACTTGTCAGTCTTTGAAGCGCTATCCTTCTGAAGGGAAAGGCAGTGGGGTCTAAAGAAAGATCATGTCACTGAGATGGAGAGGGAAGTGGCCAGTAGGCTGAGGAATGGTGTGGCCCCAGTTGGATCTGAGGTCCCTGAAGATGACCCCAGGAGACGGGATGGAGAGGAAGACCATAAGCCAGGCTGGCTGCTGAGTCATTTCAGTTGTGTCGGACTCTTCCGGACCCCATTTGGGGTTTTCTTGGCAGAGGTACTGGAGTGGTTTGCCGTTTCCTTCTCCAGCTCATTTCAGGATGAGGAAACTGAGGCAAAATGGGTGAAGCGACTTGCCCAGGGTCACACAGCTAGTCAGTATCTGAAGCCATATTTCAATTTAAGATGAGTCTTCCTGACTGTTAAGTCCCCCGTGCTCTGTCCACTGTGCCACCTAAGGGCCCCAAAAGCCAGGTCCAAAAGTCGTTGAAAAAGCTGGAAGAACACCTTAGAGCTTGAAAGAGAGCAGTATAGAGCAGACAGATCACAAAAGAAAGGTCACTGAGAGGCTGGGTGGGTCAGGATAGGAATCAGTGAACAAACACTGACAACAAAGACAGTCCCTGTTCCCAAGAAGTTCCCATTCTAATTGGAGACCATACTAACTGGGGGAAAACACATCGAGAGTTCAACCGTAGGTCAGAGAAATAATAAGAAAAGCTAACATTTACATAGCACTTACTACGTGCCAGGCACTGGCTAAGCACGCTACAATTATCATTTCATTTGGTCCTCATAACAACCTAGGGCAGTAGGTGCTATTATCCCCATTTTACAGGTAAAGAAATTGAGGCAGAGGTTAAGTGACTTGCCCAGGATCACACAACTAGTAGTATCTGAGACCACATTTTTTTTAAAAGGCAATCTGGATTAAGTGACTCGCCCAGGGTCACACAGCTAGTAAGGGTCTGAACCTGGATTTTGAACTTAGTCCTCCAGACTCAAGGGCTGGTATTCTATCCACTACACCACCTAGCTGCACCCTGAGGCCACATTTGAACTCAGGTCTTCCTGATTCCAGGCCAGCCCCTCTATGTACCATACCACCTAGCTGCCCCAAGGAAAGTGCAGTGGGGAGTAGAGAGTTTATGCCTCCTCCTCCTCCTGGCCTAGAGATTTGGGGGAAAATAGGAGTCACCACAGTGTAAAAGGTTGCAACAGATGGAGTGTCTTATTTCGGAAAAGATATCAGATTGGAAGGAATGCTGGTTGAGAAGTTCAAGGATTGTATGGTATACTGGGATGAGCTGGAGCAGACCTGGGGAGGGTCAGGGGTCATCAGATTAGGGATGAGTGCCCAAGAAGAGGTGGCATGTAAGGTGGTAAGCCTGGAAGACCAGAACGGAGGAGGCAGGCATGTGTGTTGGGGCTCCCTTGAAGAGCAGGCTACTCAGGTTTGGGGGGTGGGAGTGACTAGTCTGCTTTCTTCCCCCAGGGGTCGGCCCCTGCAGGACAGCTTTGTGCGTCTGGTAGAGGCCTGTACAGACCCCTCACTGAGCATGGATCGATGGCTCAGCCGCCTGGATGGCTGTCGGTGGTTGACGCATGTTAAGGAGGCACTGACCACTGCCTGCCTGGCAGCCCAGGGCATGGATAGGTAAGGTCCACAGGGCAGGCGGACTGTGGCTGCCCTAGGGGGAGGAGCGACATGCCCTAGGCTTAGCATCCTACATCAGATACTAGATGAGAACCCCACCCCCCAGGCAATGGCACAATGCCTCCCAAATGATAAGGGAATGCTCCCATGTAGAAGGCCCAGCCTCCAGCAGTGCTAACAAAACAGGAATAAGACTGGGGAACAGCCAGCACTCCAGTCTGACCAGAACAGCATAGGAAGGGGCGTAGTGTGAAATCAATCTGGAAAGGGAAGTTAAGGTCAGACCAGGGAGGGCCTTAAATGCCAGGCAGAGGACCAGAGAGAGCTGCTGAAAGTTTTACACAGGGCAGTGAGCTGGTCAGACACGCATTAGAAAGCCCATTCTGGGCAGCTTGTGAAGGATGGATTGTGGAGGGGAGAGGCTAGAGGCCAGGAGGCCAGTTACAAGACCATTACAAATGGTCCAGATGAGAGGGGAGGGCATGAGCCAGGACGGAGGCAATCAGAACAGAGAGCAGGAAAGGGTGTGAGAGGAACTGTGGATAACAGGGTCAATCCTGGTGTTGCCCCCTCCATGACTGTTCCCTGAGGGCTCTGTCCCTCCACAAATATTCCTAGAGCACTTTTGTCCCCATTCACCACGTTGTACACGACAGCACACCTCCTCAGGTATATGCCTCATCACCCTGAGTTGTCACGGTTGGGTATGGGGAGGCACCCCATAGGGAAGCAGGGGGCTAGTGCTGATGGAGCCTCTTGGGTCCACGCAGGGAAGGGGTCTGTATCCTGGTACATGGGGCTGAGGGCACAGATGCCACCCTCCTGGTGACCTCACTGACACAGCTCATCCTGGATCCCAAGTGCCGAACGCTGCGTGGCTTCCAAAGCCTGCTGGAACGGGAGTGGATCCAGGTAACAGGCCTTGGCGGGAACCCATGCTGTTGGGAGCATCTCCTTAAGGCGGGCTCTTACTTACCCCCACCCTTTGCCCTCCTCCCCAGGCTGGCCACCCTTTCCAGCAGCGCTGTGCCCATTCGGCCTACGCCCAGGGCCGCCCCAAACATGAGGCGCCCATCTTCCTGCTCTTCCTGGACTGTGTGTGGCAGCTGAGCCGTCAGTTTCCGCTGTCTCTGGAGTTTGGGGAAGGGATGCTGCTGGCCTTGTTTGAGCACGCTTATGCCTCGCCCTTCGGCACCTTCCTCTGCAACAGCGAGAAGGAAAGGTGAGACTGAGCTGGGCTGGGCCCCTCCCATCCAACTCCCCTCTGCTCCCCCTTTCTAAACCTCCAGGAAGCCTTCTCTGACTGAATTGCGCCAGCTTAGCTCTCTATGATAACCCACTCCCAGCTGTGGTGCAGGCATGCCCCCTGCCCTCCCCATCCCTGCCAAGCCAAGTTTGGTGCCACAGCCTAAGGAAAACACGCCAAAGGCCAAAAGGCCACAAACCACGGCATCACGGGAACAGAGCAGGGAGGGGCTTCAGAGGGCAGCCAGGCTACCCTGCAGCCAAACAAGAACCTAGCTCTGGCCCCAAGAACTGCAGCAGCTGGCCCTTTGAGGGCCAGAGACATCACTGTGACGCCGTGGGAAGAATCCTGGGCTCCAATCACCGCTCTGCTCCTAACCCACAGTGTCACTTGCAGCAAGATGCTTCATCTCAGGCCTCAGCCCCCTCATCTGCAAACTGAGAACGGCACCAACCTCACAAGGTTGTGTGAGAATTTAATGAGACCACACCTATGGAAAGAGCTTTGCAGATCTTCAAAGCACCGCATAAAGGCGAGCTGTTCTTACTCTTGTCTGTAACATGAAGGCAGCTAGGTGGCGCCATAGTGCACAGAGCACCAGGCATGGAGTCACGAAGGTTCAAATCCAGCCTCAGACACGTCCTAGCTGTGTGACCCTGAGCAAGTCACTTAACCCTGTTTGCCTCAGTTTCTTCATCTGTAAAATGAGCTGGAGAAGGAAATGGCAAACCATTCCAGTATCTTTGCCAAGAAAACCCCGAATGGGGTCATGGAGAGTCAGACATGACTGAAAACTACACAACAAATGAGGCTAATACTGACTTGCATTCCCCACAGTTCTACTTACTGTGTGATCTTGGGGGCAAGAGGCTCAGATTCCTCATCTGTAAAACGAGGGGGTCAGGACAGATGACCTCGACTCTATGATGTCTCTGAGGAGCTGGGGTGGCAGAAGGAAGGTGAGGAAGGCCAAGAACTAGAGGCATGGGGGCTTTCTTAGCCAACTCTGCAGGTAGGTAGAGGGCAGCCTCAGCCTCACTTTCTGGATGAGGAAAGGCAATGATCTGCTCAAGATCTCACAGCTCTCAAGTGCTGGAGCTGCGATGGGAGTCCAGGTTTCCTGACTCCATGTTCAAGGCTTTCTCTGCTAGCAAACACTGCCTGTCAGCACTCCATAAAAGTAGTCCCCAGAATCCTGCTCACAGGGGCTGGAGGACCATGTGCTGCTGACCAATCCCTGGCGCTGGTCCTTGAACTTCTGGGTGGAGAAGCAGTGATTGCACTGTGCCTTCTTAACCCAGCCTCCAGTCCCCCCCTACCCCCTACCCATATGGCCCGTCAGGCCTGGGGTTTATGACTTCTGGCCCAGAAGACAGTGCATGGCCCCCTCAAAAGCAGGGGCTGGTCTCCCTCTTTGGAACAGGGCTCTGAAAGACCTGTCTAATCTACTCTGCTCTGTGGCCAGGTACCTGTGTGAAGTGAAGACAAAGACCCATTCCCTGTGGTCCAGTCTGAACCAATCAAAGGAGCGAAAGAGACTCTGCAACCCGATCTACTCGCCCAACCCCCTGGCTTTGTGGCCCTCGGTGGAGCCCCAGAGCCTGCAGCTGTGGGCAGGTAAGGCATCCCTCCCCGTTCTGCCTGCCCCTCGCTCAGCACAGGCTCTTCTCCATGGCTCGGCTCTCTAACTGGCTTCCTCCCCACTCCTGATTCCAGGTCTTTTCCTACGCTGGACTCGACCACCTGAGCCCGCCCAGGAGGCATGGGAACAGCTCTGGAAAATAGTGACAGAGAAAGAGGTGGCAGACCCCCTGTGAAGTCTCCAGCCTTCTCCACATCCAGTCTTTGCTTCAGGCTTGCCAGACCCCAGGGTCCCCGGCTGGCTGCCTAAAATACTGAAAGGCGAGGCCTGGACTGCAGTAGCTGCAAGGTTCAGTTGCAGGTACTCCCCACCTTTCACTTCCAGGGCCATGGAGTAGAGGAAAGAGCTGACAATAAACGGACCTGTGCTTGTCTTCTGTTTCCTGGTGTCTCAGTGGGACAAGGGGACAACAGGGTATGTCCCTATTGACCAATAAGCCCTGCCCAAGCCCCTGCTCTCCAAAGGACAAGAAGGCCACTGTCACATTCCATTTGGTTTATTTTTTAGTGTCCATGACTCAGTGATCAGAGAGCAGGCAGTTCAGGAGACTCCAGTTCTGAGTCCTCATGCCTCAAACTCAAACTCGAAGTATTGTGGATCGAAATAGTGAATCCGGACATAGCCGTCCTCCCCGCCACTGCTGTAGCTGCAAGGAGAAGGCGACGGCAGTTAGACAGGCCTGTGTATGTACCGAAGGACCCCTCACTGAGAGAAAGGGCAGATGCCAGCGAGTAGGTTTACGGGTCTAGTCACCCTTGGCTGAACCCTACCCCAAATGGTATTTACCTCTTGCCATCAGGATGGAAAGCAACACTGTTGATGGGGCCAAAGTGACCCTTGACTCTTCCAAACTCCTCTTCAAAGGCAAGGTGGAAGAACCTAGGGGATAGGAAACGGGACACGTGTGGACATCAAAGTTTCACTCTTAGGTAAACTCTCCAAGACCTCCCTCCTCCAGGAAACAGCCCACTTACCTGGCCTCAAACTTGCCAATTCTGGTGGAGGTTGTGGTCACATCCATGGCCTCCTGCCCACCGCCCAGCACTACCTACAGAAAGGAGGAGCCCAGACCTAGCTTTTAGGCCAGGCCCTGCCCCTTAGGGTAGCATCATCTGTGCACCCTCTAGACACTGCAGATCCGTTCCCCTATCAAATCTGGAGCTTCCCCTTGGCCTATCCACCCAGGCCCCTCTCTCTGAAGTGCTCCTTTGTTGTGGCCTTGAGAGCTACCACTTGTAAACAACCCTACCAGCCTTTACTGTGACCCACGGATGAGCAGGGTGCCAGGTGTGACCTTACGTGGTCGTAGATGGGGGAAAGAGCAGCCGAGTTGACAGGTCGCTCTGTTCTGAATGTTTTTTGGTGCTCAAGGGTCGTGGAGTCAAAGAGCTAAAAACACAGATTAGAAGAGGAAAGAGAGGTAAGAGTAGGGAAGGACCCTGATTTGGAGCAGTCAGGCCTGCTTGAAGTCCAGCCCTGACCTTGGCTGTATTGTCCTTAGAAGCGGTGACGAACATCGTCATGTCCCGGGATGTCTGAATGTCGTTGATCTGCCTCGAGTGCTCCTTGACATTCACCATCACTTCTCCAGACTGTGAGGGAAGGCGTGGAGGAAGGTGAATGACCCCACTTCCCAGCAGCAGGAGGCCAGAGCTGCTATCCCCTCTGGTGAACGGGCAGCTGTCATCTCCTCCCGCCCTCAGCCACTCTCCCCAGATCCTGATCCTCCCACCATCACCCTTTCCGTTTCTGTTTCCCTGCCTCCCCAACCCTCACCTTAGCACTGTACTGATTGAGTTCCCCATTTTCATGGCCAGCAATGATGCACTCCCCCAAGGGTCCCCACACAGCACTTGTGATCTTAGCATCAGCATTACAGGGGATCTTCATGTAGGGTTCATTGCTATCTGTTTAGGGGGGGGAGTAGATAGATGGTGAAGACTGACGACTGGCCCCAGGCTACATGAGGTCCCACCTCCACACTCTGAGTCCCTGGATCCCCACTCATATGTCGTTACCGATCTGGCTGGGGTCCCGAAGATCAAAGAAACTGACAAAGCACTGGTACCCCATCTGCTTGTCCGTGGAGAACATGATGATATTGCCTCCAAAGTCAAACCCACATGTACGGACGGCTGAGTTGGTCTTCAGCAGAGCCAGCTGCTTCCCTAGGGATGGGTACGGGTTGGCTAACTGCTCCTATTCCTCAGCCCCCTAGAGGCCCCTGCTCCCTCTCTACCAATCTTTATTGCTCCACTGGTGAAAATGACCAGGAGATTGAGCTCAGCTTTGAGAACAAGAGATTAAATAAGGCAGTACTCTCTCCCCACCTCCCCCAGCCTCAAGTACCCTTGTCCAAGACTCTCAACTCCAAAACATGCTCGAGCAGCAATGCTTTCCAGACCCCTGACAAGTGACCGTTCATCCTCTGCTGAAGCCCTCCCAGTCTCCGAAGGCAGCCCATTTTATACTGAACTGCCTTTCGCTGTTAACAAGCTTTTCCTTAAACTGAGGTAAAATCTGTTTCCCTCACACTGGACACCAGATGTCCATCTCTGAAGCCTGAGATCACACTAGGCAACTGTTTCCTCCAACCTGGGAGGGGAATTCCAGGAACAGGAGGCCTGAACTTTCTGATGAATCTTCTGGCCACCTAGAAATAGGTTCAGCCTGGCAAAATAGTCCACTAGTCCATGAAGGTTCCTCTCCAGAACAGGCACTGCCTTCTAAGCTGATGCTGGGAGCCATGAAAAAGGAGACATCAAATAATCAGCCTAGAGAAGGCAGCATGATGTGTGGGAAAGAGCAGGAAGCCAGAAGAACTGGGTTGTGGGCCCAGACCTGCTCCTAACCTTGTGACTTTGGCCAAGTCACTCCCCCCTCTCTGGGCTTCGGTTTTCTCCTTCAAAAAAGGAGAAAGTTGGACTACAGGATTCCCAAGTCCCTTTCCAATTCTGACATCCTCTGAGTCTATTAGGTACCCAATACCCCCTTAACACCAGTCAAGCCCACTCCCAAATGACCAACTCCACTCAGTTACCAGACCTGGAAGGCTAAGTCAGTAAGGCGGGGGCCCTGATAGTAGTAGATCATCAATTACCTGTCTCACAATCCCAGAGGCGGCAACTGTTGTCGGCAGAGCCGGTGAGGACATGTTTGGTGTCCCCTGGAGAAGTTGTTAGGGAATGTTACCAAATTTGTCTGCTCCCTTTCTCCCCGCCAAGTGGAAAGGGGAGGCACTCTCCACTTGGCCAGGACAAAGGGAGGCAGGAGAAGCTGTCTGAATTTCTAAATCATCTAACAACCCCTGCAGCCAGACACCTCTGTCTTTGATCAACAGAAAGTACCAGCTCTTTCTCTAAGACAGCAACATTAAAGGATACAATCAGCATCCACACACCACACAGCTCCAGTGTGCCCAGTGTAGGTGCCCAGCCTCTCTCCATTTACTGAGTACCATACATTGACAATCTAGTGAAGCAAAGACATTAGTTAGTTTGTACCCACCTCCTAGAAGGGGTAACCAGGAAAAAAGTAAAAACCCTCCCTTCCCTGGGAGCCTTCCAGCAGCCTCTAGCCTGCTCTCACCGTTTGCTTCTCCCTCTCCCAGTCTTCCATACAGTCTATCCTTCCTTCTCTCACTCCTGCCTCCTCACCAGGGAAGCTCCCTAACCAAGTCCCTGTGAAATGCGATGTGAGTGCGCTTTTAAGATCAAATTACGTCCTATGACACCCCAAACAAATGACTGAGAACAGATTTGTACCTTGAATGGGGTATCCAAAAGTCTTAGTATACTTTTAAGATTTAATAGCTACTAAGTTACATGTTTCATATATTAATAGCTATTCAGTTACATATTTGTGTCTCCCTGGTCCCCCAAACCATTCACATGTCCTCCCTCAGGGTGGTCACTTCTGTAACCAACTTCATTTACCTGATGTTCATTCTACCTCAGCAGGTAAATTTTCTAGCTTAGTTCTTAAATCTGACCTCCTAGTGGTCCATGTACTGACTCCACCTGACACCTGGCCCCATTTCTCCAGAGGGCAGTGGCCTCCTAAGGTGGCACCACACTAACCCTCCTTCTGTTTTGAGTCAAGAGAAAGTTAAAAACAACAACAACCCGCTTTCTGAGTAAAGCTGGACCAATCCAGGCACCATCTACGCCCAAGGACGAGGAATCCCTGTCTGCGCAAATCAGTTTGGGATGACACGGGCTATGAGCCAGAGGTGTGACGATGGTGTTAACTGTTCGTGAGCAAATTGGAAGGGTAGCATAACCCAAGTAGCAATGGGGAAGGTTTGCAGAGTAGGAAGAACCCCCAAAATCAGGAGACCAGAGTTCAAGACCTGGCTCACAGACCCCTGATATGTAAAATGGGCAGAAAAAAACCTAACATTTATAGAAGCTCCTTAATGTTTACAAAATGCCTTACACATTTGATCTCGTCCCAGCCTCACAACCAGCCACCTGGTCGAGGTTAAGTGAGATTACTGTCCCCCTTTTACAGACGAGAAAAGAGTTTGATGACTTGCCCAGGGTCAGAGTTAATAAAGGTCTGAGGCTGGATTTGAATTTGGCAGCGCTCTACCTACTGGGACATCGAGTTGCCTACACCAGCCACATTAAAACTCGAGATGCCTCAGTTTCCCACTCCTCCCACCTCCCCTCTAGCCCCGCCCCACCGCTGTCTCTCTTCTCTAGCCCCGCTCCTTTCCTCCAATCCCTCCCTCCTCTCCCTTAGTCCCCGTTCCCACCTCCCCCCGCCCCCCCGTCTCTCCCCCCCCTTCCCACGCCGGGCCGCGCATGCTCACAGGATCCTTGGCCACAGTGAAGAGCAGGTCTCCCTCGCGGTTGTATTTGATCTGCGTGATGGATCGCTCGTGGCCCTGGAGCAGGATCGGCTTCTGGGGACGGCACCGGGCGGGGGGTCATTGTCAAGGCACGGGCTTGGGGGGGAGCCCTGCTCCGACCCCTCGGCCCCCATCCCTCCTTACTTCGCCCTCCCCAACCGGACTCACCATCGCGGCGCCTGCAGCGACCGTCCCGGCACCACAGACCCGCGCGGCAGCGTGAAGGGCCTACCGGAAGAGAGCGAGGCTGGCCTTCCGGGTCACGGCGCCGGGCCGGCAGCGGAAGTGGACGCCTTCCTTTTCCGGCGTTGTCATGGCGGCGACTCTGGGTGAGGAATTCCGAGCCCCTCCCCCACCGGTGTTCCCCATCTCAGTTTCCTCCTCTGTAATAATAATGACGACTAGCGCAGAGCGCTTTAATCAGGTGTTTCATAGGAGCCCTTGGATGACGCCTCCTTGGGGATTGTTATTACCTCCATTTTACAGATGGGGAAACTGAGGCTCATTGGCTGGCCCAGAGTGACACAGGTAGCTGGTGCCGGAAGCGGGTCCTCCCCCCTCATTGCTCTGTTCGCAGCACCGCGCAGCCCTTACCAGAGATGGGGGGGGCGGGGGCGTCTAGGTCTCTGTGTTTGGGATGGCAGGACCCAGCCCTGGAGAGTGAGTGACAGGCTCCCTTCCCTCTCCTAGGGCAAGTCTGTGCCCTGGTGCTGGTGGCAGTGTTATGGGGAGGCTCCAACCCGCTGCTGAAGAGGGCCACGGGCAACGTGGAGCCGGTGCAGGAGGGGAACCGGCTGGAGCAGCTTCTACAGGAGATGAAGTACTTGTTTTTCAACTACCAGGTAGGGCCTGGGGCTCACGTGAAGGGGGGAGCTTTCCCTGACTTAGATTCTCCAGGTTCATCCAGGGGCCTAATCCTTTAATAAGAAAAAGCCCCGTGAGATGGGGCTAAAAGGAGCCACGGTGTATGTGGGAGAAGGGGATCCTTCTGGATTTGGAATCCTGTCTTAACCTTGACTGCTGCTTACTACCTGTGTGATGATGGAAGAGGCTTTTCTCCTCTCCGGGTCTCAGTTTTATCATAAGGTCCCTTCCAGTTCCAACTTCTACAATCCTAAGTTGACTAAAGACTCAGTGCGTTTGACCAGGTGTGAGGCTGAGTTTGTCTGCAATTCTTCAGTTGCCTACCTCTTTCCATGCCCAAGTTTCCTATCAGAAAGAGGGATGCCATTATTAGCATGACTTTCCATTTCCCTTGGCTGGAAGACAATCCCTCAGATGATTCTATGCTGCTTGTGTATACTGACCCTAGCTTTTCTCTTACCCTCAATCCCAGTATCTGGTGCCCCTTTGCCTCAACCAATGTGGCTCCCTGATCTACTACCTTACCCTGGCATCAACAGGTAGGTGTGTCTCTGTTTTGGTGGCTGGTCATCTGGGTGGGGTACGGCTAATAGGCATCAAACAGGGCTCCAAGATACCTTCCAGAGTGGTTCATTTAGCAGTTTAATTTCACTTTCTTCACCTCCCTCCTTAGCAGCTATAACTATGCTACATTGTGGGATTGGACTTCCCACTCTAGTAACCTTGGCAATTCACAGGCATCGTGAGTATGAGAGATTGATGCAGCCCTGAATTAGACAATTTAGTCTTATCAGTGTGGTACAAAACAAAGCCTTGGATTTGATGTTGGGGGACCCGAGTTGGAATCCTATTTCTGCTACCCTGTGTGACCTTGGGCAAGACACTTAGCCTTTTTGAGCCCATTTTCGCATCTGTAAAATGAGGGCATTGTTCAAGAGTGACCTCTCATATCCCTTCCACCTCTAAACCTATGATCCGCTAGCCAAAGGGATGCAAAACCAATTGAGCAGGAGGTAATGGGTTCATGGGTTGTACAGGATAGGCAGGCATGGTTGAGTTGCATCTGCATCATCGAGGAGAATACCCTCATGGGAACACAGATCCATTGAATATTTGGAGAGCGAGATGGCGCTACTAAAGAATTCTTTGCTTCTTGGACAGATCTTCTACTCTTATATTTGACTTACATGCAAGCAAATAGTGCTTCCCAGGCCCTTCTTCACATTACCATCTACTCAGGTCCTTTATTGACAACAGTGTTTTGTTTATTCTTGTCATTTTCTTTATTCGGTTCTTTATTCTTTGATGTTAACCAAAAAGCATAAATTATTCCTCCACCCCTAGAAGACTGTAGTATATTTCCTTACTTTTAAAAGATCCCTAACTTCATTAATGTGGTATGGACACTCTTTCCAAGACTTAGGAGATGACCTTTATGAGTTGCTTCATCCATTTCCCATGATGATATACCTGGCTAGGCTGGTTTTCTAATCACAGCTTGCCTCAAAGTCTTTTTAGTTTCCATTTGGGATGAGGCAAGTGAAGGGGGATCTGTTGTTACTGTGTCTAGCTCACTGAATTTGCCCTGCAGAATCTGAGTTCAGAGACTGTGAGCACCATATGACTCCAGTGTTTAGTGTGAAAGGTTGTGAGTTCTTAAAACATTAGTATTCTTGAGGACTTGATCCCCCCCAAGAGTAAATTAGAAATGAGGCTTGGAATCAGCTGCAGTCCTGTTGACCAAGTTTTCTACATTGTTGTATTTTTGTTTAACTGTCAGAGCTCTGTATGTGTCTCTCATTAACCTAAAAAAGTATAATAGCTGGCATTTCTGTAGCTTCCCGAAGGTTTGCAGCACACTTTACACACAGTAGCTCATCGGATCCTCACAACACCCTTTGAGGTAGGTGCTGTCCTTATCTCAGTTTTACTGACAAGGAAGCTGATGCACAGGGAAGTTTAAGTGATTTGTCTAGAAATGGCTGTCTGAGGTGGGGTCCTAGCCTGGGTCTTCCTGACTCCAAGTCCATCACTCTGTCTTTCTAACCTAGATAAACCCCCACACCCCTCTTATCAGACCAAGATCTTTGTGAAGGCAGGGAACGCTCTTTCTGCTTTAGAGCGGACCCCAGGGAATATCAAAATGTTCCCCTCCAGATCTGTCCCTGGCTGTGCCCATCAGTAACTCCCTGGCTCTTGTTGTCACCCTGGTTGTCGGGAAGTTCCTTGGGGAAGACATTGGTGGAAAATGTAAGTAAGCCCACTCCTGGGGAGAAATTACTTGCCAGGCCCTTAGGTGCCCAAGCTGGGTGACTTCTGCGCATTTTGAAAACCCATAGTCTGTGGGGGGAATCCAGTCTCTGATCTCTCTCTCAACACAGCTCCCCCTTCTTCTCCTGCAGTCAGGGCATGAGAAGACCCCACCTCGTGTCCCTTCTTTTCTGTTCCAGCACTTAGCCCAGTGTCTGGCACACAGTAGCTGCTTAATGTTGATTGATTGACTGACTGATTGATTGATTGACCCAGGGCCTGCCCTGGGAATGGTGCTCACCATCTCCGGAATCATGCTCTGCATTGCAAGTTCAGTGGGCAAGACAGAATAACAACAGGATCCTGTGGCCAGCCCCACCCAGAGACGACGGAGCATTGGAGGAGGGAACCCTGGGCTGGGGGATCTTGAGCCACCTGTGATTGAGCTTTCTCTGAGAAGGCTGTCTTTGACTTCTCCTTGGCAGTTGCCTCTTCCTCTATGATTCAGTGAAGCCTAATGGGGAGGAGGTGGGCTCAGAGACTTCACCACTTTGAGCCCGAAGTTTGGTGCCTTGGAAACTCCCTCCCCCTCCCCCTTCATTATGTGACCCAACCTCTCTCATGACCTTGGCCTCCCGCCAATATTGTGGTTTGCGCAGAGTGCTCCCCAGGCTCACACTTAAGGACCATCTGAGCCTTGGAGTGAGCTGCTGTGGGTTGGGGCTGGTGGTGAGTCAGAGCCCACAGGTGCTGCAGTCAGTTAGATGCCTTCCTTCCCCTCCCCATCAGCAGCCCTGGAAGGGGCCCCTTATGCCCTAGGCCAAGAGGCTAGCTTCATCACCAGCTTTTGCTCCTCTAACTTTTTCCTGGTCCAGGCTTTAGAGTGGGATATGGTCTGGAGAGATGGGTAAACAAGGCTCAGATAACCCAGAAAGGGAGAAAACTATTTTCTTTATTAGGACAAAGCCTCTCAAAGAGTGTATGCCCCTGCGTCCTTCCCACCCCACCTCGTGTCAGGCTTTACAGGGTGGAGGAAGGTAACCCTTCCCTTCCCCTGGAAGCAGAGGCTTTCCCTTCACTGGGCAGGCTCACTGCAGGTTGGTGGGCCAGGCAGACTCGAACGGCCTGTGGATCTCCAGCTGAGATCTTGGCAGGAGATTGGGGGACCACAGCAGAAGAGGACGGGTTGGTTCAATAAAAGGCTGTGCCATGGCTGCTGCTGGAATGCTGGCTGGGGGCCAGGGAAAGGGGGAGGGAAGGAGGTTGGGCTGGGCTTCTTGGTTCTCGGAATGGCACCTAAGTTTAGTTCTACACCACCTACCCTAAGCAGCATTTTCCAAGAAACAGGCTTCTTCTACCATTTCTGCAGCCCTCTAGAAGAGAAAGATCAGTCAGCCAGAAGGGAGTCAATCTGGGTCCCAGAACAGAGGCTCCTTGACCCGTCAGAGCTGCAAAGGGACCCTGGAGACCATGTGGTTCACAAATTCCCTGTACAGATGAAGGGACTGAGTCACTGTAGAAAGATCTGCTCAAGGTGACAGGGCCTAGTAGACAGCCAGAGTGTTCCACTGGAGCCCTAGTAATGGCCTCTAGCAGAATGGAGCCCTAGTGGTGAAATTATGAAAAGATGCCCACAGTCTCACCAGAGGGGCACTGAAGGGAACGCCCAAGCTGATGGGAATATAGATCCATTTGAGTGTGGTGGCAGAGCCAGGATTAAAACCCAGATCTTTTGGATGCCTAGTTTTGAGCACTTTGCTTCACTTTGGCTAGGTTGTGGGACTGTCTACACGGCTCTACAGCTGTTCTGTTCGAAGGACACAGCTCATACCTCATCCAAGGGCACCTCTGTCAAGGTAGTCCTATCCTCCTCTACTTCCTGGGCACCTGCCAGTTCCCTCCTGGCGTGGGGTGCACCATACACACTCCTTTCTCCTATGAGGAAGGAGGGAGTATGTGTTGACCCTGTACTGAGACCACACAGGAACTAGAAAAAGCATCTGTGGCCAGGATTCCCCCTCCTTGTCTCCAAGCCCCTGGGTTCCCCTCCTCACCTCTGGCCCACAGTCAAGGACTCATTCCTTCTTTTCTCTAAATTAGTCTTTTTTCAACTGCCTCCTTCCCCATACTGACTGCTTTCCTTACTTATGTTTTTGGTCACTGAAGGGGCTCACGGAGTTAAGAAACAAGAGAGATTTCTAAGTCACTGGTTATATCCATAACCACAGTGAGGGCATCTTCTGCCCCACTCAGGTCCCTAAAATCTCACCATTAGAGGTAGCAGGTGTGACACCTCATATTTACATCTCGGTTTACAAAGCACTTTCCTTGCCACCCCTCAAGGAGAGTAACTTCAACAGCTTCCCCTGCTGGAGCACAGCTTGGGGCCAGCTGTCCCTTCCTAGTCCATAGTGGAAGATATAAAGGGCAGGGAGACCTTGGGGATTAGACAACACTGGGCCTGGGGCCCAGACACAAACTGCTCCTTTCTAGATTTCTGGAGATCCCCTTCCCTTCCCTCCCCTCCCCTCCTCTAGGGTAAGTGTATGAGGGGGAGAACAGTTTGCAGGTGGTGTTACAAGGGAGCTGAATAGAGTCTGGAAGACCTAGGTTTTAATCCCATCCTAAGTCTTGTACTAGCCAGGTAACCTGACCTCTCCAAGCATCAGTTTCCTTCTCTCTCGCATCTAGCTCACAGGGTTGTCACGAGGGACTGAAGGACAACTTACCAGGCTGAAGTAGGGGGCGCCTTCTCAGATGAGGTCGGGCCAGCCTAGGTCTGGCAAAGCCAGTGGAGGATTCTTTCCTGGAGAGTTGGGCCGCAGAAGCCCTGAAGATATCTGCCTGGGGGAGGGGAGACCTTGGTCTGCATCTCCTGTGACCAGGCTAGGACACAGCCAGAACTCCCCCCACCTACTCTCAAATTCCCACAGTCTTGCATCTTTGCAGGTATCATTCCTAATGCCTTTGGACATGGACAAGGTACCATCCATAGGGGTGGCCTCAGTCACAGGGATGATGATAAAGGCAGCTCCTAGACTCAGTGCACCTGAGCTTGAGATCTGTATCTGCCACTAGATAGTGTGTGACTTGCTCTGAGTCTCTTTCCTCATGTGTAAAATGACTTGGCTATAGGAATTTCCAGGGCCTTTCTCTGCTTTATCAATCACCTCTTTGAGCTTCACCATTATGCCCTTTCCACCCCTCCCTGGCTGTCTCACTTAACCTACCTTGTGCCTGTAGGCTCCAGGCTCAAGGCTTGGTGGGCGCCTGTAACACACAAGGGAGAGATTGGAGCAGATGGCTGATTCAGGAGACTCAAGAGGCTGGGAGCCTGAGGTGGGGATCTCCACCTCATCCTTACCTCCCAAACCCTAACATACCAGAAGCCACCAGGCAGGGCGGGGCTTGGCACCAGAAGCTCCAGGTAGGGCAGGGCCTTATATACGTCGTCTGACACAGCCACATAGTAACCGCCATTCACCAGGGCTTCTCCGCCCAACACTGGCACCCCTTCCAATGTGCAGAGTCTGGAGGAGAGAAAGTAAAGGGTTGCTCCTCACGGGGGCATACCTTCAGAGACAGCTGGAGAAAATGCTTCCTAGAGTTGTGTAACAATCCTGGTGTAAGAAGCCAACATCCTTCACACCACTAGAGTCTGATTTAGAGCTCAGAGACCTTACAGACCTTCTAATCCAAGCAACTAAGAGGTCAATCAACAAGTGACTATTGAGTGTCAGCTACCGCCAGGCACCGTGCTAAGTGCTGGGGATACAAAGAGAAGCAAAAGGCAGCCTCTGATCTCAAGGAGTTTATAATCGAATAGGGGAGATGATGGGAAAAAATATGGAAAGCAAGCTATGTGTGGGATAAGTAGGAAATAAATAATTAACAAAGCACTGGAATTAAGAGTAGTTGGAGAAGGCATTCTGTAAAAGGTGGAATTTTAATTAGGACTTAAAGGAAGCCAGGGAGGTCAGGCATTGAGCAAGAGCATTGTAGCCACAGGGGACGGCTGAGAAAATGCCCAAAGACCAGAGATGGAGTGTTTAGTTCAAGGATCAGCAAGGAGGCCAATGTCTTTGGAGAGTCAGGTGTAAGAAGAATGGAAAGATAGGAGGGGGTTAGGTTTTGAAAGGCTTTGAGTCCCAGAGAATTTTATATTTGATTCTGAAGGCAATAGGGAGCTGCTGGAGTTTATTGACTTGCTCACAGGTGAGGATTGGGACCCAGGTCCTTGGACTCAAAAGCCAGAGCCCTTTCCATTGGACTGCATGGCCTTTCTTCCCTAGGATTTGGATCAAGTGACCAAGTTTAAACCTCATTTCCTCATTTGTAAATGGGGATTGAACTAAGGTGACCACTCAAAGGTCCCTTCTAACTCTGGATCCTAGGATCCTTCCCCCCTGCAGTGCAATGATTAAGAAATCTGGAAACCTAACTGCTGGTCTTGGCTTCATGAGGTGATCTTGGGCAATTCACTTCACTTTTCTGGGCCTCAATTTCCTCATATGTGCCTTTCCCTCTACTGGCCACTAGATGGCAGGACCAAGTCCATGAGAGTCGCCAGACACACCCTTGTGCCCCCCCCCACCCCCAGTACCTACCTGCTCACAGCCCCACCCTTCAACTTAGCCTTCTCAGTCAGTTGCCTCAACACTGCTCCGAAGTCCTGATGGGAGGCAAGGGACAGGCGCAGGCTAAAAGGGGGGCTAAGCAGGTCCCCATTTCTGAATACCCTACGAGAAGAACAGAACAAGGGCCTGTGAGGAAGACTGCTGCTCCTTGCCCTTCCCTCCACCCCACCCACAAAGCTCTGTGTGGCCTGCCATTTGGGGCCTTAGAAGTTCACCTCCAAACCAGAGTGAGGGGAGGGAGACCCTTGATGGACCAATGAAAAGGAGTCTGCCGTTGAACAGGCCTACTCTCTCTTTAGCAGAGTTTCCCTTGGCCCTAGTTCCCATTCCACTCCCACAGTGTCCTCAGCACTCACTGAATTGTGCAAGAGGCCGAGGCTGGCATCCTCCTTCCAGGAGACCTGTAATTTGGTCTTGGGAGAGTTGGAGGAGCCTGATAAAATAATAGCTGACAGTTATATAGTGCTTCATGGCTGGCAAAGGGCTTTACCTACATCATCTCATTGGCCTAGCCTGGTATAGAGGAAGAAGCAGTAGATCTGGAGTCAGCTTCGCCACTTCTCTGGGCCTGTTTTCTCCTTGTAAAAGGAGAGGTTTACGGGCTAGACGGCCTTGGAGGGCCCCCTCAGCTCACAACAAGCGAAGGGATGTGGCAGCACCAAGCACTCTGCCATAGGTCTGACTCTGAAGCGAGAGCCTTTTCTGCTGGATTGTCCAAAGGAGGGTGGTGAGGAGCTGGGGCCTCTGAGCTGGCCCAGTCTGAGGCCCAGCTTTCCCAACTTCTGGCAATCCCCTACCCTTGCTGGCCTATGGATGTTTCCTTCTAGTTAGAGCATATATCACCATCCTCTGATTTTACTCAGCCAAACCTGAGGTTCCAGGCCAAAAGAGTCCGCAGCTCATCTTGCTCCCTACACCTCAGGCTGCTTTGTTGCTCACAGCCAGCTGAAGCCTAAGGGATGGGGGGGGGGGACAAATGACAGCGCTCATTTTATAACCCCTCCTGAAGAAACTGAGGCCTCAGGGGGGTAAACAGCTTGTCCAAGGTCACAAAAGAAGTGACCACTGCTAGGATGAAAACCCATTACTTCAAGGCCAGTGCTTTTCCTTGCAACAGTTGAAGCTGTACCCAACACAGGCAGACACATATTCATAGCCCCGGGAGCCTACTGGGTCCAAAATATCGGGGCAAACATGGGTGAGGGAAGGGCCAAGTCTGGAGCAGTATAAACAAGTTCTTCCCCAGAACCCACCAGGAACTTGATGTTTTTCCTGCCTGGTTTTTCCCCTCCAAGGTAGACACAGCTGGAAGACACAGAAAATATGGTCACCTCCTGGGTCATGGCCCCCCTTCCCAATACCACCCGATCCTCCCCTTACTCTCCCTTATACAGTCATGTGACTTGAGTTCTTTGGCACTACGGCTGTGTCACATTTACTTCTTCAGGATTGGAGGGGAGGAGTCTTGAACCTTTGCACATCAGATAGGGGTCTGGGACAGTCCTATTAATTTTTTTTTCCATCCTGATGGATTTTTCACCTACTTGCAGCCTGATTTCCTTTGGCTTTTGAACCGAGTTGCTACCAGGTCTGACTTTGAAAATGAGTTTTAATCTAAGTTAACATTCTCTGATCTAAGCCTGGGCCTCCAGTATCTCCCCTCCAAAAGTGGAAAGGCCTAATGGTTCGGGGTCAATGAGGTCGGCTTTTGGGGCATCCATGGCCAGCCCAGTTCCTCCACTCATGGACCTCTATTTTGGCCAACACCAATCACCACAGCATATGTTATCCAGGGGAAGAAACAGCCTGTAGGCTTGGGGAGTTCTTAGTCTGATATAGAGGCACGTAAACTACAGGGCATGTAAACCAGACCCACAGATAAAAAGCATGTCTTGTGAGCCAAGGAGGGGAATGATGGGAGACGTGGAACTGAGCCAAGGAGAACTCCTAGAGTCTTTGGTGCAGGTGAGATAATGGATACTAATCTCTAGCTGCCCCTAAGGTCCCCTGGCCCCCACTCACGGCAACTTCCGGAAACGCTCAAAGCCGGCAGCGACATACTCTCCGCCACTCTGAAGCTCTGACAGATCAGTGACGATGTGGCCGTGCTGTGGGGTGTACAGGGTACGAATGGCCAGAGGAGCCTGTATGGCAGTTGTCACCTCGTTAAGAAATGCCTCCAAAGTGGGGAAACGGCGGTGGGTGATCACCAACCTTCGCCCTGGGGAGAAGGGGTCCCCATTCCGGTATACCACCACCTTCTTGGCCACCAGAGGCCCAGGAGCGGTGGAAGCCATGGTGCAGCTGCCCTAAGCTGGCGAGGGAGGGACGCTCAGCGGTTGCTAGGCAGTCAGGGCAGAGAGGGGAGGGGATAGAAGCCCTGACTATTGAAGACAAGAGGCTTAACTCCTACCTCCCCATTCTAGTCAGTCATTAGAAGCCAAAAGTGGCAGTTAGAAGCTGAGAGACACACTAGGAGATTTTGATTACCTAGTGCAATCGTTACCTGAGCAACAGTCCCCTCTATACCATCCCTAAGAACTGGTTCAAATCTCAGTTCTGCTTTTTAAACTTTGGCCTTAGGAAGTCCCTTTCCCTCTGGAGACCTCAAATTTTTTTTTCCTGTCAGAGGGGATTGGTGTAGGTAATCTGTGATTCAGTGTCTGCTTGAAGACATCTCACACACACACACACACACACACACGCACGCAATTGATGGGCAATTGTCAGACCCAGCTGGCTTGGGCTGGGTCCAAAATGTACCTCTCCTGGCACACAGAAATACCAGGCCAAACAAATGGATGACCCAGGTTCCTAAATGGAAGGAGTTTTATTCCTCTTATACTCCAGTGGCCTGGCACACAGAAATACCAGGCCAAACAAATGGATGACCCAGGTTCCTAAATAGAAGGAGTTTTATTCCTCTTATAATCCAGTGGCCTGATTCTCTTACTCTCCCCTCCAATTCTCACCAAGTCCCTGTCCTCTGGCCAGGTGATGGAGAAAGAGGTCCTGGTGTACAGAGAGGTGATCAGCAAGTTGTGCCCTGACTTGACTCTGCCCCACTGGAGGGGCTAGGGCACAGAAGTCTGCAGTAGGGAGCCACAGTGAGGCTTCCCAGTTTAGGAAGTAGCCCAGTCCTGTCAGCAGCCTGGTCACTCAAAGGTCGGCATTCTGGTGGTCCCATTACTGGAGGTATGATCTTCTCCAACTAATCTTCTGGGAAATCTAGTGTTTGTCTGAGAAGCAGATACTGTGGAAAATAAGAGGCAATGGAGCTGTCAGGGTGAAGCCAAAGGCTTCCCTGGGGGCTTTACCCTTTCTCCTAAGCTCAAAAGTTAAAAAAGAGGATGTAAAAACTGGGAAAGGTCATGAGAGGCTGAGAATGGCCTGGATGAATTTGCATAGGAGCGAAACTGAGGAAAGCTGACAGGAGGCAGTGGAAGACCAGGACCTTACTTTCTTTCGACTGACAATGGCCTGCTGTAGCCATAGCATTTCCATGGCCAGATGTCTTCGAAGTCTCTGGAGCTGGGCAGGTTGGGAGGGCAGTGTGAGCTCCAGAGCCTCTGTGTATTTGGAGACATTGAAATATGTGTCAGATAATGGCCTCTAATCTGGCAAGAAATACCTGTCCCCTCTAAAAATGCCCGCTAGGGAGCAGCTAGGTGGCGCAGTGGATAGAGCACCGGCCCTGAAGTCAGAAGGACCTGAGTTCAAATGCGCTATCAGACCAGATACTTGACACTTACTAGCTGTGTGACCCTGGGCAAGTCACTTAACCCCAATTGCCTAAAAAAAAATAAAAATGCCCCCTGCTCCCCTTTAGCTCTAGCCTGGAATTAGGGATCTTGGGTCCGTTAGGGAGAAAAGCCTTGGGAAGAGGAGTTACCTGGGTCCCTCGTCGGTGCCTTGTCACCAGTCTCCATCACTAGGCCGTGCTGAGGGCCAGGACCAGCTCCTTGCTCAGGTCCCTTCGCAGGGGACGGTTCCTTCCAGCCTCCGTCTCTCTCGGGCTCTTTACTCCGGAGTCTGCTGGGGGGCACAGGGGCAGGGCCCAGGCTGCTGCCTCCTCCCTCCCTGGGGCCGTAGGTTCTTTTCTATCGGCAATCAGGACAGAGCCAGGGGTACTTCCCCAACCACTCCCTCCCTTTTGGCCCCCTGCCCTGGAGGGAGGAGGAAGGCGAGGATGCGGCTGGGCGGAGAGAAGGGAGGGCCCGTAACAGGATGTCGGGGAGGAGGCAGGGAGAGCCAGAGCAGCCGCCCTCCCCGCAGAGAGCCGGGCTCAGTCCCCGGGAGGTCCTAGCCACTTACCCGGGTCTCTGAGGAGAAAACGGGCCGCGGAAGCCAGCGTCCCACCCAGCGCAGCTGCCCGCCCAGGTCGCCCTCCACCTGCCGCACCACCTCCTCGTACTCGGCTCTCAAGCTCTGCAGCCGCCGCCGGGTCTGACGGCCCCTCACACACGCCTGGGGGACGGGGGAAAGTGGTCACGCTGGGGGGAAGGGGGAATCCCGGGGGAGGGCACGGGGCCGAGCGGGGAGTCCCGGGGGGGCCGAGGGCCGTCCCCACCTGCAGTATCGTCACGCGCCGAACCAGCTCCTGGAACTCCATGGCCCGGCCCGAGGCTCAACGGTCAGGTCTTTTCCCGGCTCCTGCAAATGCTCATCGTCGCCACGCCCACGTCTCCATGGAGACGGAAACGCCCGCGGCGCGGGGCTGCTGGGAAACGTGCCCTTCCGCCCGTGTCTATGAAAATGCGTCGCTGCCGCCCCCTAGTAAGCGAGACCGCCCCGCCCCCATCTCGGTATCAACCCCAGCTCTTTCCCCTCCCACTTGAGAGGCGAAGGCGGACCCTCGTGACCCAAAGCGGAGGCCCGAATTTCAGCTTCCCGTGCGGTGGGAGGAGCCAATGAAGACACAGAAACCAAGTGCGCATCCGTCCATCCTCAGGTTTAATTCAGCTGCCAGAGGCCCGGCCTGAATAGATCCAGGAGGCCCCGAGGAAATCAGCCAGGGGCAGAGGTCAAGATCACGTAAAGTCGGAGGGCTTGAGGGCACAGTCTGGTCAGAGCTCGGGGTCATGTGAGGTCAGAGGACCTGGGGGTCACAGCCTGGGTCAGAACTCAGAGTCGTGTGATGGGCCTCGAGTCCCAAGAAGGGGTGGGTCATAGCTCTGGGTCTTTGGGGTCAGAAGGCCCAGGGTCACATAGTTCCCAGGGCTGTGGCCAGGTCATAGTCAAGGTCACAGAGTCAGGTCATGAAGGGGCCTGGGCTCCTTTCTCATCCCCTCAGATCTTCGAGAGGCCAGCTGCTCACCCCAGCCATCTGGTGAAACCGAGGCTGGGAGCAAGTGTGAAAGGGTCCCCACCAAGGGCTTCCCTCTTAGGCTGTGGGTGCCTCCTCAGGCTCTGCGTTCTCTGCCAGGTGCAGCTTTTGTCTGCAGGTAGGAGGAGTTAAGGGAAGTTGGTGGCATGGCCTGGGCCTGGGCTTCAGCCCCCCCTGGGGCTAAAACATGCCTTGTCCAGCAAGCCTGACCTGAATAAGACTGCTGGGGCCAAAGGGACTAAAGGGTGCATTGTTCATCTCTCCCCATAGCCAGCTTTTGTGATGTGACCTTGAGAAAATCCCTTCCCCTCGGGGGCAGTTGGGTGACACAGTGGATAGAGCTCTGGTCTTGGAGTCAGGAGAACCTGAGTTCAAAGTCTGCCTCAGACACTTGAAACTTACTAGCTGTGTGACCCTAGGCAAGTCACTTAACCCCAATTGCCTCACCAAGCAAAAAAATAAACAAATAAGAAAATCCCTTCCCCTCTCTGGGCCTCAGCTTCATTATCTGATAAATGAGAGTTGGACTAGATGTTCCCTTTCAGGTCTGACATGGTTGTGATGATTCCTACAAGCTAAAAGATTTACCAAATGCTCTCTAGGCAGGTATTATCCCCAAGCTGCAGCTAGCCAGTTGGAGGCACTGGCAGTATTTGAACCAAAGTGTCACCTAAATCAAAGTGAAATACTCTTTCTCCAATTCCATGCTGCTTCTGATCTAAGTTAATTGTCTGCAGTTCTTGAAAATCATCCTTATAACCAGGTTAAATCTTAACCCCTCCAATCCTTTTTTTGGGAAGGGAGAGCTCACATCCATGGGCAGGTGGAGTCAGAGGAGCTGGGTTAGAATCCTGTTTTTGTCACTGTGTGACCTTGGGCACTCCAAGGTCCCTCCAGGCTCTAAATCCTGTGGTCCAGTTCAGTCTCTACTGGCTTAATAATCACCTCAGGGTGGCAGGGAAGATCCTGACAAAGCCACTCACCCTCTTCCTCAAGAAAGGATACATAGAGTTGCTGAGGTCCTCCAGCTGCAAGGGAAGAGAAGAGTCAGAGGCGTGGGCCTGAGCCCTGGGTCATGGAGACACTCCCTGCTGGTCCCGGGTCAAGGCAGAGGGTTGGAGGGAAGCTGGCACCCACTGGCTCAGAGGGATCATGGGGTTCCCATTCCCAGCCTCCCCATGGTCCCCATCCCCAGCTCACATTGCTAAGCAGCTGGTCTAGGTTCCGATCAGCCACAGTTTTCTTCTGCTCATGGGGCAGCCCTTCGGCCTCAGCCTCATCCTCGTCATCGTCCTCCTCTCCACACACATCCAGGCTGAAGTGCAGCCGAGCCAGCTTTTCCTGCATCTCCCGCACGTGCTCCAGCTGCTCAAAGGAACATTCCTTCCCTGCCCAGCCAAGGAGGCCAGTGCCAGTCACAGCCCAGCCCCATGGAAGGAGGTTGACCACACAGTCCTGGGAGCTCACAGCTCATCCCACAAAGCCAGCCTTATTTAGTTTCTGCCCCAGGGGCCTCAGTCCCACATCCCTGGCTCTATCACAGATCCCAACCTGGTAGGAAAGAGAGAGCCTCAGGCTTAAAGCCCTGGCATTTATTAATCACCTGCCATGTGATAGGCACTGTTCTGGGAATTCATCCCTACTCTCAAGGAGTTTACATTCTAATCCTGATTCCTCAGACTACATGGAATTGTGTCACCACAGACTTTGGGCCAACAAGAGCCCTCCTCCATGATGCCCCACTTCCTCCCCACCCCCTTTACAAACCTACCAAAGGCCTGGAGCCGGCCAGAATGGAAGTCATTGAGTAGGTTGAGTAGCCCTCCCTCCATCTCGTAGACGCCAGTCACCTCTGTCAGGAAGGAGTGCTGCAAGGGTGTACCTGCTGGGGCACCCCCTCCACCAGCCAGCACGGGGCGGCACTTCTCCTTGGTCACCCTGGGGAGGGCAGAGGAGCCACTGATCAGTCGCAGGGGGCGACTGTAGCCCTCTGGGCTCCAGACCTGCTAGCCCAAAGGTGTCTGAGGGGTGGGAGGGCTGCCCTCTAATCCTGAGCCCTGGGAGGCTGCACCACCAGACTGTAGTCCCAGCTCCACCCTGCTTCCTCATGTGACTCTTGGACAAGTCACTGGCCCTCTTTAGGCCTTGGTCTTGTCTGTACCACAGGGACAATTATCCCCAATGCTTCCCCCAGCTATCATAGGAAAAGGGGAGTAGGACACACAAGAGCTGAGCCCAGAGTCCCCAGCAGACCAACTTACCTCTTAAACTTGGTCCGCTGCTTTGGGGATGGAAGGTGGGGGAGGCCCAAGGAGAAGGAGGCACTTCGGCTGGTAGGGACTGGGACCCTGCGCAGAGCGCTGGTGGGGGGCACAGGCTGCGACAAGCAGGGCTTGGGGCTTCTCCTCTTCTTCTTGTCATCCATTCTGGGTCCAGGCTTGGCTCCTGAGGGGTGGGGGTGCACTTGGGGAATAAGCCTGGGGAAGAGAAAGACTGGTGGGCTACAGTCATGATGAGCTTGCCTTGGTCCCAGAGGGGAGAGCAAGGAGCAGTGGTTTGAGGGTGTGGAGAGAGAGACATCATCAGAGCTGTCCAGAGGTAGTACTGGCTACCACAAGATGTAGTGAGTTCCCCATCACTGGAGGCCTTGAAGCTGAGTAGATTTCCATTGATCAGAGACAATTTGGAGGAGACTCCCATTCAAGGATAGGTTAGATTAGATGCATTCTGAGGCCCCTTCTGGCTGGGGCCTGGCCTGGAAGGCTGAGACTCCACACTTGTCCAAGGGGCCAGGAATCCCGAGTTCATCGCCTAGAGGAGGTCCCACAGAGCTGTCCTCCCACCCTTACCTTACCTTATCTTCTCCAGAACAGATTCTGAGTTAGGTGAGCCCTGGTCCAACCCTTACTGTGCTGTACTCATGGAGAAACTGAGGACTGGGGTGGGGGTGGGGGGCACATTTCCTACTCACTAAAGCAAAAATTTCTGACCCAGATAGTCAAAGTGTTCCACAACCTGGCTTTAAATGCCTTTCCAGCCTTCTTCATGCTACTCTTCTCCATGTACTGACCAGTCTGGCCTACTCTCCTTTAGACTACCCCCTTGTAGTTCACTCTCCCATTTCCAATGGCTTCATCTATATCACTGTCCATGCCAGGCATGGATAATATTAGTACAGTGCCCAGTACACAGTAGGAGCTTAATCAAAGCTTCTTCCCTTTCCTTCCCCTTCCTCATCCCTCTATCTTCACCCTGTTGAAGTTGGACTCTCTCTTAAAGACCAGGCTTGTGTCTCCTCCTCCCTAAAAGCCTTTCCCAATCCCTCTTCCTGTCCCCAGCTGAGAGTGATCACCTCGTCCTCAGATTTCTCATAGCCCTTTGCCTGCACCCTTGTCAGACTCCAGTGTTACAGTGGAGAGTATCTGGCTTGGTGCCAGGAGGTCAGAGTTTGACTCCTGGCCCCTTCTGCACCTTCCTTTTATCATTTGTAAAAATGGGTGTATCAATATATGTAAAAGGACCTCACAGGGTTACTATGTAGAAAGAACTCTGCAAACTTTAAATTGCTAGATAGGCATTTCACGCACGCACACACACGCACCACCAGGACCAAGGTTGTTCATCAGTTGTGAGCTTTACAAGGATAGGGCCTGGGTTATAGGCCTAGTGCAGAAGTTCCCAAACTTATTTGGTATACTGTCCCCTTTTCAAAAAAAAAAATTTTTACTCAGTGCCCCCTGGAAACCTACTTTCTTTAACCCTTTAACAGTTTTGTTTTTTAAATTTGCATCATTTCAAAAACTATAAAATTTTTAAAATGATACATCTTGAACCACTTATTGTAAATTTGTGGTTCTTTTCCTGCATTGAAATTTTGATGATGCAATATTATGTCATGTAACTGTATAGTATCTTATTGTAAACAAGTCATTACATGCATGTATTCCTGCCAGTGCATTCTGGACTCCCCCAGCAATGTGCTACATGCTGTCCTGCCAACACTTGTTAAGACCACTGGCTGACTTGACCAGTGATCGATTATAACTTGCATATTGTGTGTTTATTTGGAGAATAATGTAATCACTATGACTTTAACTCTGTTACACAGCAGATGAAACATGTTCGAAAGGTTTTTCAAAATTTTCTTCTCTTCTTTCCTTATGCCTCCACCACCCCCTCATTTTTATTCAACACCCCCCAGTTGCACCTGAGGCTACTACCGAGTCTCCCCCCTTCATTGTTCCAGCACCTCCAGGGGGCCATATCGCCCACTTTGGGAACCTCTGATTCAATGTTTGTCCAGCTGAGACAGTGGTTGGCCAGATGGCAAACAGAGCTCTGGGCCCCTGGCAATTGGGACCAGGGAGGTCTGAGCAGACTCACTCTGATGCTGTGGGGGATGATTAGGGAAGTCTCAACCAGCTTTTCTTCCTGCCCCACTTTTTGCTTATTGGCTTAGCTTGCTACTAATGATAATGAAGCCCAGCCCTCGGGTACCTCTGCCCTCCCTTATAAGCCTCAAAGCTCCTGCTTTGGTGAAAGGGGCAAGCTGAGGGGGTATTCCAGCCCAGGAGCTCTGGATGGCGAACTCCCCCATGTCCTGTTTCAGGGTGTGCCCTATCTGCCCCACACACAGCCGGAAAGAGGGGGGAATCAGCCCAGGACAAGTAGGAGAAGAGGCAGCTGTCCTTATGTTGGGGAGAACAAATGTGCCTAGAGCCAAGAGGGGATTGAGGCTCGGGGTGGCATGAAGGTGGCATGCCTTGGTTATTGTGCCAAGGCTACCAGATCATCTACAGAGAATAACATCCTGGTTCTGTGCCCAGCACTCTGGCCTTCTAAAGAGGATCCCCTTTCTTGGTCGGGAACCTGCTAGCCTCAGTTCCCAGCACCTCCCCCCCCCCCCCCCCCCCCCCCCGGATGTGTGTGTGTCAGTATTCATCCAGAGGACATCCTTTCCTCCCCATCCAAGCAATCTCCTCTATTGTTCTCTACAGGGCGAGGCTGGCCAGCTCAAGTCAAAGGGGCCACTCCCAACACAGGCCTGGCCCTGGGCCCTCCCTCCCCTCTGACTCAGGCAGAGGAATTGGCATCAGTTGCCTCTTGAAGGCTGTCTGTGTGACTGGCTGTGTATGTGCTAATGGCTGGTGTGGCGCTGTGTGCTCCCGTTTGACTGGAGAGAATATTGGAACTGCAGTCATGAGATCTGGGATCCAGAGGGTCCCAGATACTAGCAGTGTGATCTCGGACAAATCATTATCATTCTCTGAGCCTCAGTTTCCTCACCTGTAAAATAGAGGTGGTTATACTGGTGGGTGGTTTTGGGCAATGTGTTTTTTAACCACTAAAGTGCTCTAGAGCAGTGATCTGTTATTATTAATCAACAGGCATTTATTAGGCACCTACTATATGGCTGGCATGGCGCTAGGTGCTGGGGATACAGAGCCTACCAGGGCAGCAGTCCCGGCCTCTCCAGCAGCTTTCCCTCTATCTGGCCTTGTGCGTCTCCATCCACGAAGAGAAGCATTCGCGTCTGAGCATGGGTGTCTGGGCACATCTGCTAGCATTTTGTCGGTGGGGCAGCCTCCAGCCAGTGCGTGGCCCCCACGGCCACCGAGCCGCCCAGCGACATCCTGCCCCACTTAGGCACGGGGTGTGTAATGGGCTGTCAGGAGCACTCAGCTTAGCGTTCCAAAGTGGAACGCGCTGCCCAGCGACCAGCTCTCGAAAAGGGCACGTTCAGACCCCCTGTGCTCCATCCCCCACAGTCCGGTAACTGGCCCCACGAAGAAAGACTGACCTGGACAGATCCCAGCAGAAGCTGCCTGCCTGCCTGCCTGCCTGCCTGCCTGCCTGCGCTGCTGCAGTGGTCCGGCCTTGGCTCCCCCGACTCCCACTCGCCGAGATGTGTGTGTGTGTGTGTGTGTGTGTGTCTAGAGCTGGGAGTGATTTGCATTTAGTGTGTGTGTGTGTGTGTGTGTGTGTGTGTGTGTGTGTGTGTGTGTGTGTGTGTCTAGAGCTGGGAGTGATTTGCATTTAAAGGGGACGCCTCTTCTTTGTGCTCCCAGGCTCAATCTGTTTAGAGCAGGCCTAGGCTTTCCAACATGGAGATGCTCCTCCCCGTATGAGGTCTGACTTCCGCTCTCCTTTAACGGTGGATGAACGGTCACCAAGGCAGAGTACCCCTCTTAGCTTGAACCAGAAGACTGGGCTGCTGGCTGCACCAACTGTCCTCTCTCACAGCAGTTTCCCAGAAACCACAAAGGCCAGTCAGTTCCACTTCGGAGAACAACAACCCAGTTAGGAACATTAGCCCAGTTAGGAGTGTTAGACACAACATAGTAGCCCACAGATGATGCCAACAACTTAGAGTGCTTTGCACACCTTAAAATGTTATAAAAATGCCAGCTACTGTTATTGTAGGACTCAATCTGATTTGATCCTCACAACCCTGGGAGGTGGGTGCTATTATCATCCCCTTTTTTCAGAAGGGAGAAGTTGGGTAGATCAAGTTAAGTGACTTGCCTAGGGTCATTCAGCTAGTGAGTGTCTTCTGGATTCCAAGTCCAGAGCTCTATCTCCTGGGCCACCTAACAGCCCCTAATGGGTTTTATGGTTCCACAAAACAGTTATTGAGAGGTAGCTGGTGAAAGGCCAGCTTGTGTATTCAAAACTGTCTCAAGCACCATTATTTCAATTCAGTCAGATCCCAGAAGGATTTATTAAGTGACAAGAGTCCCTCCCTTTAAGAAACTTAGCTTTAGGAGAGATAATCACTAAGTAAATACAAGTATATGCAAAGTACCTTTCAGAGAGCGCACTCACCACGTGCTGGGGAGCAGGAAAAGCCTCCCCTCGAAGGTCAAACCGGAGCTGAGCCTTCCAGGAAGCCAGGGATTCTGCCAGACTAAGGTCAGAATAGGGAGACTGCATTTTGAGCACGGGAGCACCACTAACCTGTACAAAGGCACCGGGGTGAGAGGCTGAATATGGAGACAAAGTTTGTGAGAAGCAGTAACGGGAAATGTCTGGAAAGGTAGACTGGAATGCATTGAGGGATTCATGCTTTTGAATGACCTCAGTTTGGTAGCTGTGTAAACACTGGATTGGAGAGGGGACAAAGGAAGCAGGGAGATTAATTAGGAAGTAAATTTGGTAAATCCAGGAATGTAAAGATGACCTGAATCGAGTGGAGAGATGGGCATAGATGTGTGATGTGCTGTGGAGAGAGAATCAATGAGGCTTTGAAGCTGTCATCCATGTATGGAATACTGCATTGGATAGGGAGAGACAGACAGACACAGAGACAGAAAAATAGAGGAAAAGGAAGAGAGAAGGAGAGACACACAGAGATACAGAGGCAGAGAAGGAGGGAGAAGAGAGGAAAAGGGGGAGAGAGACACAGAGACCGTAGGGGAGGGGCGTTGAGGATATCTCCTACGTTGTGAATGTGTGAATAGTGTTGTCCTCAACAGCTGGGAGGAAGGAGAAGTTAGGAGCGGTAGTTGCAGGGGTAAGAGGGGTAAGAGAAAGAGCTCCGTTTTGGACATGTTTTGAGTTTAAGATTGTTGGGACAACCAGGTGGAGACATTTTACTGACAGTTATGGATATGGGCTGTAATAGCAGTAGGAAATCTGAATCAGAGGTGTTTGGTGAGAAGGAGAGAGTTGTTTCCCTACTTTTCTGAGTAATTATACACTACCTCACACCTGACTTTTCTTGTTTTTTTTTCTTTTTGATGGGGCAATCAGGGTTAAGTGACTTGCCCGGGGTCACACAGCTAGTTAGTGTCAAGTGTCTGAGGCTGGATTTGAACTCAGGTCCTCCTGACTCCAAGGCTGGAGCTCTATCCACTGTGCCGCCTAGCTGGCTGGCACACCTGACTTTTCTACCAAGTCCTAGAGTCTGCCTGAGTTACTGAGAGACTATGTGATTTGCCCAAGCATTCTGCTAGGGTCAGAGTCAAGGTTTGACTGCCGAGGCTCCTTTATCCACTGATAGCCTGGAGGACTTTTATGACAGGAAGAGGAGTGGTCTGCTTGGGAAACTCAAGAATAAGGAAATGCGCAGGAGGGAGGCTTCTCCCTAGCCTCCGGCCCTTCCTCTGGATCCAGGACCTAGCTTCGGTTAACACAGATTCTCATTTTCCAAGGATTTGAGGAACAAGAAGGGATTAGCTGTTCCAAAAATTTTAAGGTCCTAAGAGGATTTCGTCTTGAGTTCCCTGGGAGCTGGGATTCAGTCCATCCATAATAATTAACCTTTATGTCCCCTCCCACTGTTCAACACAACAATTAGCCATTAAACATTTATTAGGCACCTACTATGTACCAGGCTTATGTGCTCATCACACCTCTGCTGAATGCTGGGCCCTGTTTTTGGAAATGGGAAGAGAGCCTTTTCAACTTGGGGGTTGGGGGTGGGATGCTGCTCCCAGGTAAGGGAAGACTTCATTGTGGAAATGGCCCCTAAGCAGCATCTGGAAAGTAGGCACATCGATACAGCGAAATTGAGGGAAAATGAGTCCATTCTAGTCATAGGAACTTCGAATAGTTGTTTATTTACCTGGAAGGATATGCTGATTTGGCCTAAGGCTAGAAGGCAGGTTAGTGCTAGGTAACAGGCCTGGCCTGCTAAGCCGGATTTTCATTTATTTTTTTGCTCAATAAGCAACAAGGAGTTATTGAAGATTTTGGTAGAGGACAAGGTGATCAGGGCTGGGTACTGGGAAGAAAACTCAGGAAGTGCGTGGAGGCAGCGTGGGGTAGCGGTGTGAAGCCTAGGTTGGAACATCGGCCCGGCCACACAATAACTGGGTGATCACGGGCAAGTACCTGATCTTCTTGGATAGCAGTTTCCTCATCTATAAAATGAGGGTCGTCAGACTGAGAATGGAGAGATACGCTCCAGATCCTTCAGTAGAAACGTTCTGCCCATGGGGACAGTGGCCGGGTCTCCCAGCCCACGAACCTGATCCTCAGTTGGGAGGCCTATCTGTCCCTCCTACCACTGGCCCAACCCAACTCCAGGGTGGAGAACATAGAATATGCCTGAGAGCCGCAAGCCAAGAGCCAAGTCTCTGCCCACCCAAAGCCCTGCCCTCCCCAGTAGGCAACAGGAAGGCATCTCTCTGCTGGTGTAAAGTAATTAATTACCCTAGGAGACGGAGCTATGGAGGGGAGGAAACCCAGCTTCTCCCACCCCCTTGCCCAGGGGCACAAGCTGAGCTGGGACTAATGAAGGGACAGAAGTCAAGGCTGGCAGTGTTGGGCTTTGTCTTGTCCCTGAAAGTCTGCCTTCAAATGCAGCAATGGTCTTCACACAAACTGTTATCACTCATTCTGTAGGTAAAGAAACTGGCCCATGGGGAGGAAATGCTGGCTCCAGGTCCCAAGGCTGAGCAGGATCTCAAGTCCAGGTCTTCTGACTTCCAGGTCCCACTCCCTACCCCGCTGCCTCAAGCTCTGGGGAGGCAGAGCCTCACTGGCCTCAGGAGCAGAGCCCACCAGCCCTCTTCACCCAATCCTAGAGCAGCCTGTTTAGAAGGCAGGGCTGTGCCTTGGCCATGCCCCAAGAACAGTGAGAAGCTCAGGGCCCAGCAGGCAACTCTTAAGTCACAGACCACAAGGTCTCAGCCATTCCAGGAGAGTATAAACAGGAAAGCTTAAAGTAATACAGAAAAAAAAAATGAGCCCTCACATTGGTATTTCACAATGGCCAAGCTGCTTAATTTCTGGGCCTCCATGTCCTGCGTAAAATAAATCTCGCATCTCTCTCTCTCCAGGTCACACTCTGCACCCTGACCCCAAACTGGACTCTTGTTCCAGAAACACACCCTGTACGTCCTTTGCCTGTTGAATCCTGGAAAAGCCCAACTCAAAAGGAATCTGCTCCAGAGAGCCTTCCCTGAACACCTGACCAGCTACAACCTTGAGCCTCTCAGCTCTAGCACTTCTCCCACCATGTCACTGGTTTCCTTGTCTCTTTACCCTATGCTAGATTATCCAGTCCACTGAGGGAGGGCCAGGATTAGTACTGCTGGGCCCCAGACAACTATGAATGTCAGTACTTGTGGAGGAGACTGAGGGAGAAAAGATGTGGGTGCAAATCACCTGGTTGACCCCTGAATCAATCAGACTCTAGATCACAGGAGACAGGGTGAAATTAAGGCAACAGACTATTTAATGTGGTTAAAAATACATCAAAATCACCCCTCCCTCCCCCACCGGTCTGTTGTGAAAAGAAAAAAGATAGCTGTTAGCACACAGCTTCCAACCTCTATGGGGTCAGGCCACCTAGAGGGCCCAACAGGCAGGAAGCCATCCCTTAACTCTTCCCCCCCAAACCCTGTCATACCTTGCTGTGCCATTGGCAAGCTTGGGAGGTGTTCCACAGCCCCAAATCGAGCCATTCTGAGTTGGCCCCTTACAGAAAATGCCCAAGTTTGACCCGTGGAGAATCAATTCTGTGGCACATATAATCACATGCTCTGTGCCTATGGCCCAATGGGCTGGACACGGTCTTGGGACAAGGGCCCCAGGCTAAATCGGAGAGTGTATGCATGGGGCTGAATCCCTGAAACAAAAGCTACTAGGCTTCAGAGCTCTCTGGGCCCAAGGCTGAAGAGGCCAAGTACAGTACTCCTTTGGGACACACCTTTTGGATTACTTCGCCCAGTGGGACCTGCCCAGGTTCCTTGTATAACCCAGTCCCTTACCTGCCCAGGGCTAAGCATCCATTGTAAGAGCTAAAAGGAGGGAGCTGCAGCCTGGACCAGCTCCCTTTGGAGAGCTGCCAGCAGCAGGTGTGGTGAATTCTGAGATTTGGTCACTAGTGGGAGAAAGGCTAAGAATTAAAAAGGGGCCAAGGAGGGAAAGGAAGCCCTAGTGTGCCGGCTGCTGGTTCCTCGGTGAGCAGACCCAGCACTTACTGAATCCTTGAAACAGAGTTTACTGGGTGTTGAAAAGAGAAGTCAGTCTGTGGCCAGACAAGGCATCTAGGCTCACCATTAGCTCGCTTCCCAGCAAAGGGCTCCAACACTGAGGCCTAGAGGCTGCTTCTGTAGCCCCAGGCCTACAGCAGCTTAGAGGTAGCTGAAGTGAGTTGGGCAATGAGTGCCATCCACGACCTCTTCATGCAGAGAGAAGTCCAAACTAGGACTACCCAGAAGGGTGGCCTTAGTGTGGCAGCTCTGGGTTAGCACTTACTGAGAGGTGAAGGGGCACCTTGGAAGACTGAAAAGGAATAAAGGGACAGGAGCAACACAGACCCTTCCATTCTACCCCAGAGGTGGGAAAATGCTTCCGAGTTTGGAATGCAAATCCATTCACACCAGTCCCACCTCCAGCTGCTGAGGCCCTGACAACAGCTCCATGCCCTCACCTTCAGATCTGGCCCACAAAGACAAAAGATCAGCACATTCAAAGTATCAGCTGGATGCTACTCTGGTCCCTGCCTAGGGCTCCCCTGAGGAAGGCTCTCCTAGTCAGGAAGAAGACTCAATCCAGAGCCACCCAAAAGACAGATGTCAGAGCACAAGGGGAAGGGAAGACTGACACTGGAGAACAAGATCTGTGAGAACATGATTTAGAGTTAGTTAGCCTGTGAACAGGACTTGGTGTGACTGACAGTGATATGGAAAAAGGCCAGGAAGGGCAAAGGAGGGGATAGATGGGAAGAAACAGAGTGGCCCTGCAGTTTCTGTAGCTCCTTTGGTCCCACTGAGGCAAAAAGCTAGGCTGGAGTAGAGGTCCCAGAGGCACCCTGTCTCGCAGCTGGGGCTTGGCTGGGCGAGGGGAATTGCTTCAAACCACAGGAGGCACGATTGGTAGTGCCTCAAGGGTGCAGCCCAGAGACAGGGAAGGCCAAACTCCCTGTCACCAGGCTCATTAGAGGAGAGGTGGCTCTCCAGCTATACATTTCTGGCCCCTTCCAGGAATAGGCCGATTTTGGGAGAAATCTTGTGACCTTCTGGCCTTGGCCAGTGTAGAGGCTTATCTGTAGCCAGAGCCCTGAGCCCCAGACTCTGGAAGGCCAGGAGGCCATCCTCAGACCTCTGCTCAGCCAAGGAAAGCTTAGTGTTCACCCATAGAGGGGGAGTCTTGCAAGCCCAGGGGGTGGCTGTGGTCATTCTGAGAGTCCATGGAAATGGGCAGGGGTGGCCGGGAGCCAGGGGCTGGGCTGCTGTGAGAACAAGAGGCAGCCCTCAGGGTCCTACAGCCCTTGCAGTGATTCAAGCAACACTAAAGGGAAGCGTCCCTCTCTCTGTGTGAGGAACATACATCCGCTGCACCCACTCAGCTGAGGCCCAAAGCTGGGGCAGGGAAGACAGGGATAAAGGAGGCCGTCTATTGCAAATAGTCCTCTTCCTACCTCATCAATTCCTCACCAAGAACACACTCGTGTGCAGAATCCCCAAACCATCTTCAGAAACAACCCTCAGGATGTTCTCTTGTGCTGGAAGGACAGGCAACTGTGAATCATAAGGCTACTGGGACACACTATCTGCTTTGGGCACGACTGGCAAACTCAAGAGGCTCCCACTGCGAGTCTTTAAATAAATGGGCTCCTCAATCTTGTCTCTCTCCACTGGAAAACACTCAAAAACGCTGCCTCTGAATCCCTGCTGGGCTCCCAGAGCAGGAGGGGCAGAGACTCTCAGCACCGTGGGAGAACTCTAAGCCACAGCGAACCCAGTTCTCTCAACCAAAATACAAGATAGTGCACGTACGCTTGTGCGCGTCTGCACTGGGACACCAGCGAAGCTCCGGTCACAGGGGCTGGGAGGGAGGGAGGAACGGCCCAATAACCTGCCCTGACTGTGGGAAGTCACAGGAGACATGCCCTCTGCTAAGCCCCTCCAATGCACTCATTAGTTACACATGTCTCTACCCATGCACCGAGGCATGGGGAAAGCGAGTGCTTGCTTTATACATGCATGTATATAAAAGTATGGGGCATGGCACACACTTTTATATGCCATATGTATGTATAAAAATCATCTTCAAGAACCTAAACTGCAAAGTGTCAAATGCCTGATGGGCCCCAGCTCTTCCCCACAGCAGCCCCTAAACTGACAGGGGACACAGCAGCTGGGCCTGTAACGTTCACTAGCCCCCTCCTGACATCCCTGGTCGTCCTCCCATAGGGGTGTCTCTAGTCAGAAGAAGGGGCGGCTTCATCAGTCTCTGTCTGGCCTGAAACGCTCATGCTCAGTTCGAGGCCCTGGGGGGCGGCCTCTGTGTGACACAGAGACTGGGGGACCTCAGGGGTCAGGCCCTCAACCAGCGGTTCAGCACCACCGCCCCTCCTTGGGCCTTTGGGGGACTCTGGGGTGTCTGCTTCCCCCGGCGGCGGATGGGCACTCAGGTCCTGCACCTTCTTGTTCAAGTCATTGCGTTCACTCTGCAGGGCCCGACAGAGCTTCTCGAGCCGCTGGATTTTCACCTGCAGGCCTTCCAGCTCCTTGTCTCGAAGAGTTTTCTGAAAGAGAAGAAAAGGTGCTTTTTAAGAGCTAAGCAACAGAAAGGCCCAGTCCTCTGTCCCCCCTGAATTTCCAGGCACCTAGGTCAAAGCTACTGCCACTCCCTGCGTGTGCAAAGCCTGCAAGCTCCTGCTCAGCTTGGAGCTGCCGTCTCAAGCAGGACGGTGACCCTGAGGCGACAGACTGTGCCCCCCCCCCCAGACACACATCTCACAGCACGTCCTCTGGGGCTCCCTAATGTCCTTCCTCCTTCACACGCTCTGCTGCCCAGAGAACCATTTTCCCTGCTGAAGGACAACTTCTCCCTCTCACCAGCCTGGGGAAGGACCCGGCATGCCGAGAGGGGCCCAGGGTGGCCGCCCCCTCCCACAGGCAGTGCCATCCCTCCACGCACCTCCTCGGCCATCTCCAGCAGCGCCTTGTTGCTGCTCTCCCACCGGGATCGGTACATGGTGGTCTCTTTCTCCAGCTTCTTGATCTTTTTGGTCATCTGTCACATGGGGAACAAAAGGTAAGCGTTACTGTGTCCACGGGCGCCGGAGGGAGGGCGGCACAACACGGGGCTCGGAGCCATGCCCAGCACCAAGAAGGGAGCGAGGCCCAGGAGGCCCCACCCACAGGCTTTCCTAGGCCTGCACAGCTACCAGCGGTGACGGTCACGGTAAGAGATCTGGGGTCTTCCCCCAAGGTAGGCCAGAGTCCTTTGTCCACATAACTGCTTTACCCTTATTGGGAAGAACTGGATAATATCCACCCTAACTTCAACTTTAAAAAAAAGGCAAGCAGGACTGGGAAAACTACCATTCTCAGAGTAAAGTCACCAAGCTGGCCCTGGCCCCACCCCTGGAAGAAAAACGCCACCTCACATGACCCCAATGCTTCCCACGATAAGCCTGTGAGAGCCCTGGGGCGTGGCTACTTCCATGTTACAGATGAGCAGACACACAGGGAAGTCGGGAGGCCTGCCCAAGGTGATGAATTAGGGCTGTACTTGAGGAGGGCCCCTTGCTGACCTTTCCCAGGCTGGGCCAAGGACATTACCTTTTCCATTTCTTGCTTAAACGTTGTGAACACCTCGCTGCTCTTGGACAGAGTGTTCTGGAACTCCTCAAACTTCTCTGTGTACAGTGCGAGCTGTGAAGGCAACAGCTTCGGTGTCAGGCCTGCCCCGCCCACCTGCCTCTCCACCACCCACCGCCAGGGGTGCTGCCTCCCTCGCGCCTTACCTGCTGCTTCAGGTGGGCCTCCTGCTGCTTCATCAGCTCACACACACGCTGGGACTCCACCGCTTCCTTCAGCAGCTGTTCCAAAGACAAGCACACCTCCAGTCAGTGTTGCGTTCTCCGAGTAAGGGCAGTGTAGAATGGAGCTCTGCTGCCACCGGAGGACAAGGGCTCTGGAGACTTGGGTGCAGTGTGCATCTTAGCCAAGGCCTTACAGAGGCAACACCAACCTCTCTGACCCAGCATCTATCGTCCTAACCTTATTTGTGAACCTATCACCCCCACATTTTAGAGATGAAGAAATTGTAACCCAGAGAAAGTAAGAGGCAGGGTCAAAGCCTGAACCCAGCTCTTGGGTTCCAAGGCCAGCATCTTGTGACTGCCAGGCCTCCACGTCTCCTCAAGGCCCTCCATGCAGCATTCCTGACTGACCCTACCCCTGCCCCAACCTGAGCACCAGAGGCAAGAGACCAGCTCCTACCCAGTGAACCCTTAATCCAGGGTTAGGGATTTTAATTTTTAACACACACATTTCTGGCTACAGATGAGACCAAAGGCTAATGAAATGAACATCTCCAGCCCAGCACCTGCCTTGGGGGGGTAGTTTCAGAGGGCTCTGTTCCTCAAGGTGATGACACTTACAAAGTCTTTCTCTCGCTGGTGCCTGTCCTCAGCCTCCTTCAGCATCTCCTGGGCCTGCAGGAGCTTGGCATCCACCAACTGCTGCTGCAGGTCCTTGTGTTTGAAGACCTTGTCAATGTGCTGCCAAGAAAAGCCCAGGTCACAAGGGGAATGGGCCTGGCCAGGGCCAAGACTGGGAGGCCACGTGCCCGTGCAGCGCTGTACAGGACAAAGGCCCTGGCCAGTCCGGGAGCAAAGGGAGGCTTCTGGCTGCCCTGGGAAGCTGTCAATCCCTCAAGGTCACCTGAGTCTGACCTGACTGACACTCCCATCTCCACCTTCAGTGCTCTCCCCACGACAGCCTGGAACCCCTCTCTTCAAAGCCCTTTCCCAGGTTAGTGATGGCTCCATGGGTTTCACCACACTGAGCAGCATCTTGGGGGTAGTGAGGGACACTAGACTCAAAGCCAGGACACACCTGGGTTCAAATCCTGCCTCTGCTGCTGAGTGGTCTGTGTGATACAAGGCAAATCACCTAACCTCTCTGACCTCAGTTTCTGTATGTTAAATGGGGAAAATAATACTTAGAGCACCCTGGGCCAGGAGAGCAGTGAGGTTCAGTTAGGCCTTTAGATAAAGCCCTCGGGCTGTACACAATATACCACTCCTAGTCTAATTGTCAGGAAGTTGGATGCCCTCCAGGAGGACAGCCTGGGCCCTCTGCCCCTGCCTTGGGTCACCCCCATCATCACTCTCCTGGGAGTCTGGGGTGGCCGGGCTCAGGTCTTCTGCATGCAGACAGCCCCTCCCCGGCCCCCGCCCACCCTCCGTACCTCCTCCCGCAGCTCATACTGCTCGATGAGTTTCTTGAGCCGCTCGGCCAGCTCCATGTTCTCCTGGCGCAGCTTGGAGTTACGCTCATTGTGCTGCTCCATCTGCAGCTGGATGTCATTCAGGGTCACCTGGAAGTGGGAGGTCACCTCCTTCCGCTTCTCCTCTTCCTCCCGAGCTCGCTGGACACCTTCTTCCTACACAACGGGAAGGAGGACGCAGGTGAGGGCCCCAGGCTCCCCTGAACCGCTCTCCTTGCAGATGGTGACACGTGAGCAGCGGAAGGCCTGGCAGTGAGTTCTGAACAATGGTTGCAATTCAAATGCTGACAGGTAACCCCAGATCATCTAACCCAGGGATGGAGAGCCTGTGGCCTCGAGGCCACATGTGGCCTTCCAGGTCCTCAGGTGCAACCTCTTGACAGAGTCCAAGTTTTATTAAGGGGATTTGTTCTGTGAAGTTTGGATTCAGTCAAAGGGCCGCAGTTGAGGACAGAGGGCCACGTGTGACCTCGAAGCTGCAGGCTCCCCACCCTGAGCTAAACCAACCGTCCCTGAAAAGGAACCACCTAAACAGAAGTGACAAGCCCAGATGCGCCTCTCTGCGACCTCTGCCCCTCAGTGCCTGATCCTGCCTTGTGCACGGGCACGGCTTGGGGCGCAGCTGGCTGTGGTGCTGCCCCCAGGCTCACCTTGAGGGTACGGTTGTGCCTCTGAAGCTCCCGACACAGGCTCTCCAGCTTGCTGCGGGCCAGGACAGCCCGGCTGTGCTCGCTCCTCAGGTGGTCCTTCTCCTGCACCAGCTGGCTCTGCTTCTTCTGCAGGACTCTCATCTGTTTCTGAGAATTTCGGTGCTCCTCCAGCTGTAGGAAACGAAGGGCCCGGAGCACAGAAGCAGCAGGTGAAGGGGAGTGGGTGGGAGGCACAGTGTGTGGTGCTCACAGACAAGGTTAATCCTTTAGGGAGACTGGCCTGCCTGTCTCTGGGCAGACTACCATGGACCAAAGCAGCCAGCAAAGAGCTTTGAATCTTTCCCTCCTCCCACTCAACCCAATCTCTCCATTTCCTGTTTTTCTCCCCCTCATTCCAACACTTACAAGTTGGGGGACATTGGGCAAGTCACTGAACTTGGAACACCAGTTTGTCATCTGTAAAATGGGGCTAATACTATTTTTTTTAGCTAGGCAATGGGACTAAGTGACTTGCCCAAGGTCACACAGCTAGTAAGTGTCAAGTGTGTGAGGCCGCATTTGAACTCAGGTCCTCCTGACTCCAAGGCCGGTACTCTATCCACAACGACACCTAGCTGCTCCGCTCATACTTTTAAAGTATCTTACAGGACTGCTGGGAGGGAGAGGGCTCAGAGACTGAGCAGCAGGAGCAGCATCCCAAGAACACCAATGGCAACACCGCCTCCAGCACTTAGAACAAGGCCATCGTATGCCTTGTTAGCCCTAGGAGCTAGGCAGGGCAGGGGGCCTACTGCCCATCTGGTAAATGAGGAGGCCCTGCCCCAGGCTGTGTCTGCCCGAGCCAGGCCTCCTCCCTCCAGAGATGAAGGAGCCAAGGCTCGAGAAGCAGGAAAAGGCCCAGAGCTCGCGTTTCTCCCACAACAAAGCAGCCAGAGAGGCGGAGGACAGACATTTCATGCGTTTAAAGTCCCAGGTCATGCTGGGAGAAGGAAGAGAGTGTGACCTTGACTGTGACCAAACCACCTCTGAGCCTGGCTCTTGATGAGCATCGTGGGGGCCCTTCCCTTGGCCCCCCATCTCCCAGGACAGCTGCCAAGCAGAGGCTGGTCCTAGTAGAGTAGCCGAAGCAAAGTGCCCCGGCCAGTCAGCCCCCATCATTTCTGATGTGACCCCATCCATGCTGGAGGTGGGGGATAACTCCTGAAGGGAGACTTTTATTCTGTGGCCAGTTCTTCTAGGAACATTGCAAACACTCTCTCCTTTCTCTCAGTGATCCCAGGGAACACAGCTAGGGGGATTCCCCCATCTCTGCCTCCACGTTCTTCACCAACGAACCAAAGAGGGACTAAAAGAAATCTTTATGCCCCATCACATGGTTTAGCCCCCAGGCTGTGATGGGTTGTTCTACAACCCTGAAGGAGGAAGAACGAGGGCCCAGCACTGACCAGCTCAGCGTATTTCTTGCATAGTGCAGCCAACTTCTCCTCCGGGGTGCTAAGGGTGTTCAGCGTCTGCATCAGCAAAGTGATCTCCTTCCCTGGAAGGAACAGGCACACAGAGTGAGTCTTCCTCACATATGCCTCCAAGCAACAAGGGACACTCGGATTAGCTCTCAGCCCCAGATCCCCGGTCCTCTGACTGCCCAACCCTCAGTTCAGACCCAAGATTTGCCACCTAGGAAAGGAATGGGGTTGTGGGGGCAGCTCAGGCCTTCCAGGCAACCGGCTGACGAATCTTCCCTCAGAGACCTGGCAAATTCCCGACAAATTCATTGGTTTGCTTTCCTAGGACCTGTAAATTTTTCTTCTTTAAAGAGAGAACAAGTGGCAGGAAAGGAAGAGATGGACAAAGAAAAATCCCCAGAAGTTGAAGCCCGAACCCCAAGATCTGCGTACATGAATTGACTGCCACTTAGAGCCTCTAGATCAGGCAGGCCACACGTGAGACAACTGGGGTTAAGTAACTTGCCCAGGATCTCCAAATTCTCTCTCGTCTCTTGAAACCAAATTCAATCAAAGAGGTATTTGTTCAGTGCCTTCGATATAAAGATGGAAAAGGACAAAGTCTCTGCCCCCAAGGAGCTTACACTATTACGGAGGAGGGAGGAGGAGCTCTCATAGTCCCACAGAAAAGAGAGATACCAGAGAGAATGCAATAAAACCCTGAAACTCCATGTAGCAGGGCCTCCACCTCTCTTACCCAGGCCTTTGGCCTTCTTCTTTTCCTGGACCCGCTTCTGGTCTCGGTCCCCACTCTCATCATTTGCCCGGATCTCTTCAATGCCTGGCTCTCCCTTGGTGATTTCCTTCACGCCATTGACTTCAGGGGTCCCCGGTTCTGGTTCTCCATTCCGGGCAGAGTAATTCCTACTCTTCTCTACCTCATCTGGCTCTGTGTGCTCACTCTGGCCCCCCTCATCGCCTGGTCCCTCCTGACTGCTATCAACACAGTAGGTATTCAGTATGTCTTCCAGCTGCCGACTCAGCTCCTCTGAGACATCACAAGCAGGTCCTGACTGAGAATTCTTGGTCTGCCCCCCTGCAACAGAAAGACAGGGCAGAAAAAGAGACTAAGAGCTCCATTTATGGCCTGCAAAATGACTTCCTTATAATAGCCCTGGGAAGCCCGTGTCATGGTTATTATTTCTCTGCTTTTATAGAGAAAACCACTGAAGCTGACAGCAGCTGTGTCTCAGCCAGTGTTACACAACTAGGAAATGCCAGACCTTAGGTGGCTCCTGAAGGCCCTGATTCCAAGCACAACCTCCTCTCTAGTCCACTAAACTGTCTTGCTTAATGAATGAGATGCCCAAGGATTTCTAAAAATGTTGCCATTTGCTCACATATTCTCCCAAACTGGCACAAAAACAACAGGTAATTTTCCTAAGGAAGTTCCTCAGGCTGTTAGAAGAATCCTGCTCCACTTGGCTGCCCCACAATGCCATTTCTAGGACCATTTAATTAAATTTAATCCTATTAGGTTTCCCCTTTAAGGGCAGTAAGTCATGGCAGAGAAGAGGAAGTACAGGTTAATGGTAAGTATAGTAGCCAGTCAGTCAGTCGTGCCAGGTATTATGCTAAGTGCTGGGGATACAAAGAAAGGCAAAAGACAGCTGTGCTCTCAAGGAGTCTCAACATGCATCTCTTGATAAACTCATACCCAGTAGCTATGTGACCATAAGCAAGGCACAACCTCTCTGAGCCTCAGTTTCTTCATCTGTAACATAATGCAGAGGTATACAAGGCTTATGACTTTTAAAGCATTTCCTCACAAAATGAGGAAAATAATCCTTATGCTCCTTTACCAACAGAGCTGTTGTGAGGAAGAAATTTACAACTCTAAACACCTTGGAAACGTGAGCTGTTATTAGATGACCTAGGGAGGAGAATCTTCTTCGATTCCTCTAATTTAGTTGGGGACACAAAGGTTCAGCACTATCACCCTCTCCTTCCACTGCTTTCCCAGGGCTGTGGCCAAAAGCTCCCAACCTGGGACTCTCCCAAGTAGGCAGCAGTCTGCCTGGAACATACCGTCATTCTTCTCCTGGGCCTGGCTAGTGGGACCTTCTGCATTTCCCTCTGCTTTGGGAGCAGAGTCGCCAGATGCACGCTGACTCCTGGGCTCCGGGGCATCCTCGGGCTTCGAAGCCTGGGATGAATTGGCTTCTTGAGGCCCTGCTCGGGCTTTTGCTTTGGAAGGGCTGGCTGGCAGCTTCGAAGCACCACCCTCTTTGTCCCGATTCTTCATCGTGGTTAAGGATGCTCAAGTCTGAGCCAACCTTTCAAAAATAAAAGGACGGAGGATTAAGGCCCTAGGTTCTGGGCTGCTGCTTCCTGAACTTTTAAACCACAACTCTGATCGTGCCCCAGACTCACTTCAGAAGCGGCTCATCGGACGCTTCTTGGGCGATCCAACCCCCCTCACTAGGATTTCTCCCAAACCAGGCCTGACTCGGGAGTGGGGGGTGGGGAGGGGGGAAATATCCGATGCCGCGGCCCCCAGGACCCTCTATGGTCTGGCTCCGTCCCTCGGGGCGCGGTGCCTAGCCCAGGATGAGCGTCCTTAGACGTGTCTACGACGGCAGGCGGACAGAGGGCTGGACGAGGACGTCCCCTCCCACCTCGCGGGCTGGGCCTAGTTCCCAACTCCGAGGCCGTCCCAGCCCAGGGCCTCCCCTCGCACGTAGCCCAGGCACGCTCAGTCCCCGCCTCCTAGGGCGGCCAGGGGAGGGGCGCCACTCAGGGAGACCCCAGCCCCACATCCCACGTGGGCCCCGCCCCGCTCTGCCGCGCGCCCCTCGGGATGCTCCCGCGCAAGCGCTCCAGCGCCTAGTTCATGGCTCCCCCCCCCCCCCCCGCCAAGGCTCGACCTCTCCCTGCGTCCACGCGCTCCGTACCTCGCGCGGCTCCCGGGCCTGTGAGTCAGGCAGGTTGCGATCCTGTCCTGTCCCCTTTCTCCTTTCCCAACGCCGCCTCAGCCGATCTCTCTTTTTCCTCTGCGGCCGATTCTCTCCTCCCCTCCCCCAAACAAGACACACAGCGTAAGGATACCGGCTCAGGCCTCACACCAGAAACGCCGGGCAACGGCTGCCGGTGGAGACGCCCGCCCCCTCCCCCAGCCTTAGCCAATCAGAGGCCAGAAGCCTCGCGAGGCCTGTCGGGAAGGGTGAGGCTGCGGCGGCCACAGCGGAGGGGAAAGAAGCTGGCACGAATGAGGCGGGAGGAGGGAAGAGAGGGACACTACATGTCCCGTCATGCTCCGCGGTAAGGAGTCAGAACCAATCCCAGGATGCAGCGGGGCTGGGCGCTTTTGCTCGCCCTGTGGGAGGGGGATTGCGAGTGAATCCACTGGAGCCAACCCCTCGACCCCCAAGCATGTATTAAGCGCCAGCCGTGTGTCGTGCACTGTGCTAGGGTGCTGAAAGGCAAAGATGAACACAAATGAAGGCTCAGGCCCACTCCGTGGCCTTCACTTCCGTTATCTATAGGATGTAGAGGATGTTAAAAAAAAGAGTTTATTTTTTTAAAAAGAGAAAATTAAATCCCATCAACATTAGGTGATTCCAAAGATATTCTTACTCTATTTTTAACCCTGTCAATTTGGAAGGAAACATTTATTAAGCGCCTACCATGTGCCAGGCACTATGCTGAGCACTTTACAGATATTTCACTAGATCCTCACAACAGCTCTGGGAGAGAGGTGCTGTTATCATCATCCCCATTTTACAGTTGAGGAAACTGAGGCTAAGTGCCTACTCAGGGTCCCACAGCTAGTAAGCATCTGAAGCCACATCTGAACTCAGATCTTCCTGACTCCACTTCTGCGCCACCTGGCTGCCAACACTATGGCTCCCAATAATAATAAAAATGAAACACTCCCCATCCTGAGGGCTTCGCTCCTAATGGGGAGCTAGCATACACAAATGTAGCCCTGCAGGCTTCACACATATAAAAATATACAGGATATATGCACTAGGGCTTCAGTAACAAAGGGGATCAGGAAGAGCCTCAGGTAGGAGCAGGAGGTGTAAAGGAAGCCAGGGATGTCAAGGTGAGAATGAATTCTAGGCATGGGGGACAGTGAGGACAAAGGCATGGGGATGGGAAATTGACCTTCTCCATGAGTGAGGTCAAAAGGGCTGCATAACAAGGGGGCCATATGGGAATAATCTGTACAAACACCACCAAGATAGGAATGGGACTGGTTGTAAATACTAGAGGAGACAGTATTTAATCCTAGAGGCAATAATTGGGAAGTTACTGGAGTTTATTCAGTAGAGAGGGGTGACATGGCAGACCTGCATTTTGGACAAAGCATTTGGACCATTTTGCGGGAGAACAGAGTGGAAAGAAGCTTCAGGTGGGGAGAACAAACAGGCTGATAACATGAAGCGCTGAGGGCCACTGTGTGAATGGGAGAGAAGGGGACAGATGAGAGAGAAGGGGAGAAGTGTTACATAGATAGAAATGACAAAGTTTGGCAAATGATTAGCTATATGGGATGGGGGGAAATGGAGAGCTGAGGATGACACCAAGATTGGCAACTGAAAAACTGGTGATGCTGACAGTAATAGAGAGGTCTGGATGAAGGGAGAGCTCCTAAATTAAGGGCAAAACTCATAAATTCAATTCAATCCCAACAGCCTTTGGGGTATCTAGTTTGAAATGCCTGGTGGGCAATTTCTGATGTGAACCTGGTGCAGGAGAGAGATGTGAATCTGGGATTTAACTGCAAAGAGATAATAACTGACTTCACTGGGGCTGATGAGGTTACTAAAAAAAAAAGTACAGAGAAAAGAGAAGAGAGCTCAGGACAGACTTTTAGTTTGGGCAAGATGATGAAAAGAAATTAGCACAGGATGTTTAGGAGGAGTAGTTAGATCAGTTGGTAGGACAGCTGGGAGAAAGCAGTACCATGAAAAGCCAAAGAAAAGAGAATGTCAAGGAAGAAACAGCATCAACAACATCAAGAAGGATGAGGATTAAGAAGTCATTAGATCTGGCAATGTGGAGAGAACAGTTTCATTTGGGTGACTGGGTTGGAAGCCATAGTGAAAGTGTTAAGGAATAGAGTAGTGAAGTCACTAATTGTAGATGGCTAATTTTATTTTAACATACATTTTGATAACTTTTGTTTTTACATCATCTACATTTTTTTAAATTAAATTTTTTTGGTCAGCAAAAATCTGTCTTCCCTTTCTTCCATCCTCTCCCCCCACTTATGAATTAAAGAAAAACAAAACCCGTTACTAACATGGATAGTCAAGCAAAGCAAATTCCTGCAATGGCAATATCTAAAAGAAAAATCGTCTTTCTCATTCTGCACCCTGAGTCTCTCACCCCCTTTATCAGGAAGTGGGTAGCATGTTTCATTACTCTTCCTCTGAAATCACAGTGGGTCATTATGGTGATTAGAGTATGTGAGTCTTATAAAAATTACACGTATTTTTGTACATCCTTACAGTTTGTTTTGTTCAGGATTAGCCCCTCCCCTAATTCATGTATTGTACTATGGTAGTACAGAAAAAGAAGACTTGTCAAGTCAACAGCACTTATTAAGCATTTGCTAGTACTAGGTCACTGTGCTAATCGCTAGGGATACAAAGGTGAAAACAATCCCTGCTCTCAAACAATGTAACCCATTTTGAACTTCTTGTTACCTGGTGTAATATGTTGGTCTAAACCAAATTTCCACCAGACTGATTTCCAGTTCTCTCAGCAATTCTTGTTAAGTAAGGAGTTCTTTATGTTTGGGAGTTTGTGGAACATTGAATTATTGAGTTAGTTTTTGAGGCAATAAGCATTTTATAAAGTGCTTACTATATGCTGGGAACTGTACTAAACACTTCACAAATCTCATCCCATTTGATCCTCACAAAACTTTTTGAGGTAGGAGTTGTCCTCATTCTACAGTTGAGGAAATTGAGGCAGAGGCTAAATGACTTGTCCGTGGTCACACAGCTAGTGACTCAGATTTTCTGAACTCCATGCTCTATCCATTAGGCAACCTAGATGCTTCTGTGGTTACCCCTTCCATCTCGTTCCATGGGACTGCAACCCTGGGCTCTGATTGGTAAATCCACCCCTTCTCTTGTCTGGCCTTAGATTTAGGACACCACTTCCCACCATCTTTAATCCATGCCACCAAGAATGTATTCTCTCCCTTCCCATTCCATTTTTAAATTCTAGCGCTCTCTCTCTCGTCTCCCTCACCCTCTTGGCCAATCAACAAGTATTTATTAAGCGCTATGCACCAGGTGTGGTACCAAGCTTCTTTAGGGAAGGTTTTTTTTTCCCCATTTTTGTCTTTGTAATTACCACTGCTTCCTCTAAGTGCTTAATATGAGGCATGAAGCTTAGCTCATAATGAATTAGATGTGGTTATTCATTCACTCAGTGCCTACTATCTATAAGACTGGTGCTGACTTTAAAGACCTATGATTTCATTGCTGTGGGTGTCCAAGTTCTCTCAACGAAAGGCCTCTTCTGTTTCTCCCAGTTGTTAGCAGTGTTACCCACCTCGTGTAATTTTGTATTTATTGATCTATGAACATCTGTATTATACACCTCTACAGTCACATGTCAGCTTCTTGAGGGCAGGGTTGTATCATTTTCTATTAGTAATCTCATAATTTTTTTTCCTTTTTGGTGAGCAATCAGGGTTAAGTGACTTGCCCAAGGTCACACAGCTAGTACGTGTCAAGTGTCTGAGGCTAGATTTGAACTCAGGTCCTCCTGACTCCAAGGCCAGAGCTCTATCCACTGCACCACCTAGCTGCCTCAGGTAGCCTCATTATTTAGCACGGTGCCTAGCACACAGGATAAGGGATAGAGACTGGCCCTGTCATTCCAGTGACATATGGAACTCCCAGGTGAATAAATGGCCTCTACCAGTGCAGGTCAGCACCTACTCTGCAAATCGTAGTCATATATATGAGTTGCCTAGAGAGGTCAAGGAACTTGCCCAGGGTCACACAGCTAGCACGTGTCATGTGACAGGCATTGAATGTAAGTCTTCCTGACTCTGAGGCCAGTTCCCACCAATCCTCGTTCCTGAAATAACATCCCTGTTATCTGTGCCTCTCAGAATCTCATCTTCCTTCAAAACTCAAGTGTTGCCTCTTCCATGAAACTTCCTAAGCTGAGGAGGGCAAGCCTTCCAGACACAGGGAACAGCCATGCCAAGGCACAGAGATGGAAGAGAGAACGTCGTGTGGGAGCAGTCCCAAGGAGTTCAGGGAACTGGAGGGGACTAAGATGTACCAAGACACAGGTCTTATACTTCTAGGAAAACCACTTTGGCAGCTGTGTGAAAGGATGATCAGAAAGGAGAAAGACTTGAGGAAGGAAGACTAGTTAGAGAATAATAAGGCTGTCGAAACAGTCATGGCGAAACAATAAGAAATAGTCGAAGCAAGAGGTGATAAGGGCTTGAACAAGGGCGGTGGCTCCGAGTGGAGAGAAGAGGCATATCTGAGACATGTGAAGTGACCTCACAGACTGACGTAAACGTGTGAATGCAATAAACGTGGATTATTACACACGTGTCTTGGGAGGTGGGCAGAAGATCCAAGAAAACCAACCCAAGCCTTTTGTGGCTAAGGCTGTCCCATTCGGGGATGGTAGGTCTCTAGTATGTGTGTGAGGGGGTGAGCCACTTCTTCGTGCTGCCCTAGACAGTGCAGGCAGCAGGAATCAACCGGCAAAAGACCCATCTGAGCCCTAAAAAGCCCTTTGGGACAGCATGAGGGAGGCAGGGGAAGGACTGGCTAGTGAGCAGTATAGGAATAAACCCACGATCAGAAGGTCTGGGCTGGGACCTTTGGTACCATCTAACCAACTCACTGTATAGATGACAAAACAGAGAATGGGGGTACAACCGGTAGCAGGGTCCAGTCATCCCAAAATACCAATACGGCTTTCCCCCAAACCATGCTGTTGTACGGTGAAACGCTCAGGGGCTTTGTGATTACCATCGTCTCTTGCCTGGTTCTTCTGTTGCCACTTAACTTGTTAGAGATGAGTTCCTCTAGCCCAATGCTCATTTTATAGGGGAAGAAAGGGCGACTTGTTGGGGGAGGAGTGGAAGTGACTTGTCTAAGATGTTAATGACAGAGTTGTGACTTGAGGCCTTGCATCTGCTCTAGACCACAGCAAGCTCCCCTTAGGCTGAGAAAGGTTCCCCAGTAGCAGGGATGTTTTATCTTGAGGCCAGGATACTGACTCCACACTTCAATTCTTCATGGATCTGTACTTCAAGATGGTGGGGAAGGGGCAGCTAGGTGGCACAGTGGATAGAGCACTGCCCCTGAAGTCAGGAGGACCTGAGTTCAAATCCAGCCTCAGACCTGGGCAAGTCACTTAACCCCAATTGCTTAAAAGCAAAAAAAAAAGGACAGTGGGGAAAAGTATTAGTTCTGTGTTATATCAGTTGGAGTCAAACAGAAAACGAGCAAGTCAGAAGACTGTCTAGTGCAATTCTTCTAATTTGACAGAAGACAAAAAAGACACCCAGTGGAGACAGCTAGTTACTGACTATCATGCAGTAAATAATACAGCTAGCCAGATCTCTTAGCTACAAGCCCAGGGTCTTGCCACAGCACTGTAACCCCATCAGCTACTAGAATGGGGTAAGCTGAATGTACTTTGATTCCTTCTAGAAGTGAGGTTCCAATCCTGGAGCTGTAAATAGTGTGGCAAATGGAGCTTGGCCACAAGGCACGAAGAGTTCAAGAGTACAAAAAAATGTTACGAATATTCCTCTAGCAACATCAAAGTTGCTAGAGTGACTAATTCCCTTTCCCACTCAACTGAATGCCTTACTAATTCCTTGTGCTATTTTCCCATCATGAAAGGGGTTTAGTACTAAGTTTTACAGACTGCCCCAAGTGCCAAAATTGCTAGTTATAACTCTGCACAGAACCTCTCCCCACAATCAACACAAAAGGCTAATACAATGTTAAGAGCCTCTGCTTAATTTATACCGTGGAAAAAAGCTAATCAAGTATAGAATTGTGGCCACCCAGGCTGGAAGCAAGGAGACCTTGGTTCAAATTCCAACCTTTTCACTTACTCACTCATTGTGTGGTACTGGGTTAGGCCACAACTTACTCTGAGCCTGTTTCCTTCTCTACATAATGGAGTTGGATTATAATCCCATTGGGCTCTGGGACATGATTAATGCAAGTCTTTCCCCCCACACAGGATGGCCTTGTGCAGACCACAGCTTGTAGGCTGCCCCTGTTTCTAGCCTGCAGGTCCCTCTTCCCATCAGATGCAGACTCTTCTTCCTGGGTCTAGAGCAAGACTTGCACTGGCTACCCTGGGCCATTGCCCACCACACTGGGAGTCATCACAAAGACTGATTATTCTGGTGCAAAGGCAAAGTGGCCACTTCACTGGATTAGAAACCCTGAACCCAGGCTCCACAGGCTCAATGCAGGTGAATAAGGGTGTGGGAAGTAGCTTCTCCCCTTTCTAAGAAGAGCGGCTGACATGGGCGCTGCAAGCTACAGCCACTCCTGGGTCCAGGGGTCCTCACTACTAAGGGCAGCTGTATCCTGTCCTAAATCCTTCCACTTAACTGTCTGTTGTGGGACCACGCAAAGATCAGGGACCAGAAAATCCAAGTCCCCGGCTTTACCAGTGACCATGTGGACACTCATGCCTGTTCATTCACCTAACTTTCCCTCTTGGTCAATAAGGATATCAGTACCAACTCCTCTCCATGCCAATCTCTCTACACCAGGGGAAGGGGCAATTAACAGTCTTATAGTGCTTGACTACGAAGTATCTTATTTGATATTCACAATATTTCTGGGAAATAGGAATATTAAAAAAGCATGAGAACTGGAAGAGAACTTAGCAGTCATCTAGTCCCAATGAGAATACCTATTCAAATACACCTGACAAGTAGTCATTCAGCCTCCGCCTGAATACCTTCAATAAGGAGGTATCATCTGAATATTAGCATCATCTTTTTAGATGGATAAAAATAGGTAAACAGAGTTTGAGGGGGCATGGCATGGAATGAAGTGGATAGAATGGATGGAATAGATGGAATGAAGAGGATCTATGTTGGAACCCAGATTACACTTATTACTCTATGACCTTGGGGAACCCTCTGAATCTCTCTAAGCTTTGGTTTCCTCATCTGGAAAATTATGAGTTGGAGTAGATTATTTCTAAAGTCATTTCTAGCTCAAAAATCAGATTTTATGATCCTAAGTGACTTGCTTATCACCACACAAGTAAAGGTCAGAGACGAGACAAATCAGGTCTGACACCAAATTCAGTGTTATTCCCAATTTATGAGAAGGTACTCAATTAACTTGGAGGCCAGACAGATTTCAGGGGATCCATGAATTTAGATGGAAAAAGATTACATCTTTATTTTCACTAACTTCTAACTGAAATTTAGCATTTCCTTCGATTATGATTTTTTTCTTTTTGAGAAGGGGCTCATATGCTTCACTGGACTACTAAAGGGGTCTATGACACCAAACAGGCAAGAATTCCTGCATTATCCCATGCTGCCTTCCCCTGGGATAGGATGAAGCATGGTTAATGTTTTTAGAAAGAACAGCCCAGTCTTTCCTTAGATGTGGATTTGAGAGCAAAAGGTCTCTTGGCAATGTTCACAGAAGGGAGGCTAACTGCCCCTAAAGCCACAGAGCAGGTGCATGGCAGACCCGAAGCTTGATATACTGTCCTCTCCTTAGCGTCTTCTCTGAGAAAACCAGCCAGCTTACTCACTGGGGTCATTTTTTTCTAGCTACAAGTTGTCAACCTCAATCCAAAGGCATTGCAAGGGCCTCAATGAAAGGAGACTACTAATAACTTTTCAACAGGTCTTTATTTTTGCATTATATTTGTTACACAGTGTTTGAAACCTAAAGAAATACATTTTTTTCTCTTCAAATTGATGTGTATATAAATATCATTTGTTAATTAAGTCTGTACTCATCGAGCTCAACTCCACGGTCTGTCTTTGCCCTGTGTCCAGTCTAGAATTACCCAGCTGTGGCTAATGAATGCCAAAGGGCCTCTAAGAATATCTGGGTCTGTGGGTGGAAGGTGAGATAGCCAGATGTGTTGAAAAACCATAGAGAAAAATAAACATTTGAGTAAAAAGGGAAAACCAGCCAACATTTCTGGGCTGGCTTCTGGAGGGGAGGGAGGGAACCTGCCTAGGGCATAAGCTTGTTTCTCTCACTCTTCTCTCCCCTAGTGGTTTGTAGGAGGAAGATGCCATAGACCGTGGTCAGTAAACATCCAGTAACAATGAACCCCAGCCCCCATTCCTTGGCCAAAACTGGTTTCAGAGTCTGTGATCCTTCTCTTGGAAGGGAATAAGTTTGTGAAAGCTAAGCTCAGACATGGAAAGTTGTGAAGCAGAGGGTCCCAGATCTGTGTGTATCTCTTCCTATACAAATCTCTCTTGACCCCTGAAATAATGACCCCACCTCCACCCTGGGATTGTTCAGACAGAGGCTTTTCAGACCCCTAGGGATAGTGTGGATTGCTTGTCCTGCACTGGCAGGAAGAAAGGGTATGGGGTCCCCAGATGTCTATCATAAGCCACCTGAGGTGACCCCTGAGATAAGGTGGGGAGCAAAGGGAGCTGAAAGCAGCCAGTGATTCCTCTACTGATCACTTTGGTGAAAGGCCTCTCTGCCTGTTGGTTCTCTACCTCTTGCTCTGGCTAGGAATGGGAATGTCACATGCTTGATGAAAAAATCTGAGACAAAACCTGCAGCTGGAGACTCAAGGTGGGATATAAGGTAGTCCCCTCTGGGCTCCTGGGCAGAAGCCATGGGATTTTGTGCTGCTATCTTAAAGTCGCTGAGAGCCCAAAGCTAAGACACAAAAGAAGCTGGATCAGTGCAAAAGGACTGAGCTGAAAACATACTCCACTTCCACTTCTAGAAGGTCCTGCCTGATTGACCTGCCTCAAATCCGTGATCTTTCCAGAATGCAAATGCATTCACCGTATCAACCCCCCAATCCCTAACAGGGAGGATGTCAGCTGAAGGCACACACACAGACACGCCACAGGTCTCCACGTGCCTCCCATTTCCAGGCCCCCACCTATTTGAAGCCCAGACCCAGTACCATGGGTACCATCAATGGAGAAGGCTGAGAGGCATTGGCAGGCAAGGACAGAATGGACATGCTGGTGACTTTGGCACAAGATAGAAGTTGATGGCTCCAAAGGTCGGAGCCAAGGTTCCCCCACAGCTCTTGGCCACTGTCCTTTTTCTCAGATACCTCAGGGAAGGAAGGGAGAAGGTAGAGGTGATTTAGGGAGTCCAGGCAGGTACAGGGGTCGGAGGCACCTCTAGCACAGAATCCATAGGCTTCTTCTCCCAGGTTGGGTTTTCTTTCAAAACATCGGCATCTGTCATACCAACTGGATTCTCTAGTTCATAATACAAAAGCACATGGGGACTTGCACATGCCAACAGTGCTGACCCAGAGAAGAAGAACATGTTAAAGAACATGTCTCATGAACACTCTGAATTCTTCCATAAACAAAATCACCCCATAATTGGCTCTCCAAGTTGAGAAGATAGTCTGGTACAGAAACAACTTCTAAGCTGGGCAAAGACTTTTCTGAATCAGTATAAATTAGAGTTCAAAGGGCTGCTGAGGGAGAGGGATTCCTAGATCCCTGGGAACTGAGAGAAGCCTTGGCACATTTCTTGCTCGCAAAGGGCAAAATCAGTGCAGGTCCTGAAAGAAGGTGGGACGGAGATGCCAAGAAGATCCACAAAACACTACTTGCATCCAAAGAAAGGTGTGAATCGATTTGGGAAGGAGGGCCATGGACCTCAGGAGTCCAGACATGAGGATCATGGGGTTGGAACTGGACCATTTGGGCTGGATGGACAAGAGAGATGAGACGGCTGATGATTCAGGGGCTCATTCAGTTAGGAAATACCATCCCACCCTGTCAGGTCCTTGTGTATATTTTCTAGGAGTACTAACAAAAAAGCTGAGATCCAAAGTCTTTGATTATGGGTCAAGTCCTGAAAAATGCGCCAGGCTGACTGCGAAGGAAGCTGCTTTGATTTCCTTCAATAACAGGTCTGCTGATCTACATCCCTCCTCAGACTACTTCCTCACCTTCCACGTCATCACCCTTCCAATCCCCCAAGCTCAGACTCATTCAGAGGCTATATAGACTTGGGCCTGGAGACCAGGGCATTAACAGCCAAAATTGTCAAGAAACCAGTGATAGGAGCTAGCAGGCAAGAGTACTTTGGGGTGTACAGGAACCTTGTCAGAAATAAAAATGCAGGGCTGAGAACTATCAGATAAGAAGGCGTCTGCCCAATGGGGCATGAGACAAACCAGAGCCTACAAGTGAGGAATTGAAGATGGAGTCACTATCTCCATAAGAGCATAAGAATGGCTGACGACCAAAGAACAGCCCGACAAAGCCAATCTGCAGTCGGTGTTTCCCTAGCTCTCAAGTACGTAAAGTGGACTTGGAGCAATGGATCGAAGGCCATGCAAATCCCCTGCTGTCTGGACCACTGGGCTCATAGTGAGATGTGTTTTGGGGTTCCAAGATAAAGGATGTGTTTTTTTTTTGTTAGGCAATGGGGTTAAGTGACTTGCCCAGGGTCACACAGCTACTAAGTGTTATGTGTCTAAGGCCAGATTTGAACTCAAGTCCTCTTAAATCTAGGGTTGGTGCTGTAACCACTGCGCCACCTAGCTGCCCCATAAAGGACATTTTAATCACAAGGAGTTTCAGAGGCTTGAGATGCTGCTTGACATGGGATTCTTCTGAAATACTGTCACTCTTCAGATCAAAAACACCAATAAGAAAACGTTTTTCTCTTAATTTGAGGAGAGAGAATCTTGTGAATGACACAGGGCTTGCTAAAACAGAGAGTTCCAGTTCTCTTATTTTCTGGGGAACTGGGAAGTTACCCCCAGGCTTCCAGGGCTGGATTCCATAACAGCTCATGGTTCATCAGTTTATAAAAGAGTAGAGAAATCTTTGATGTGTGCCTCTTACCTATAGCTGCCAGTTGTAACAGCTTTGAGGACATGCCAGAATCTGAGCTATCTTGGGGGAGGGAGAGGAAAGAAGAGGACAAATAAGGAACTCTTGGCCAATGGAACAACCACTCCCTTTAAGATGCGAGAGGGAGGACACATGGATTCTCCTTGGCCTTCCTGGGTCACAATAGCAGGTGCCTTGTTGCCTAAAAGGCCCTGGGGGAACAGAGGGCAACGTACACAACTCTGCTTGTGGTCTTATGTTCAAAATCAACAAAAATGGCCAATCTGTGCAAATGCACCCTTTTTTTCTTTTTCAACGTGGGAGAAGATATAGATTGGAGAGAGTATTTATATGGAAGGCAGACTTGCTCTGCTGGTCAAAGTCTGAGTGTCAGGTTTACCTGCCATCTGCCCTTGTTGTGACACAGCCTTACAGAGGCCAGAACCCAAGCCCTTCTGGTTCCCCGCCTTCACTACTTCAAAGAGTCATTTGGTCACCAGCAAACATGTCCTATTTGCAGCTATAGGCAAAGAAACAAAGATTATACTTTGGGGAGCAAAGAGGCAGCTGTTCCTTGTGGTAAATTCAAACAGGGGGTTACTTGGGTCATCAGATGCTAACGGTAGCCAGGCTTGGCCAGGACCTCCTGCTCTCTTTGACCTCAGAGTTACTAAGAGTCCAGCAGGACTAAGATGGAGCACATTCTTCCCCTGCTCCCTCTCCTTCCATTTGTTTACTGCCGCCTAAGCCATCTTCATGTGCTTGGTTAGGTGAAAATCCTGGGTCAACTCATGCCTGATCTGGCTTTGGGCCACCAGAGCTCAGGCAAGAAGGGAGAAGGATTGGAACCTCTTAACTGGGAAAGGGAGATATTGTCCCCAGGCTCTGTCTGCCTCACAGCATCCTATTTATAGGAATTAAGACAGCTCATAGATCTGTTTCCTCCCCAAACCAATTAAGACTCACCTACCTAATATATAGAATATAAAAAATACAGAGCTTTGACATTCTCTCCTTTGTGAGTGAAATGAACATGATCCAGCTGTGGATGAGGAGAAAGAAAGGCTAAAGACACAAGTGTCTGGCAATCTGGACACGTGTCGCCATCCCTGCATTCCCTCTGTGGGAAACCAGGCTGAGGCTGGTTTCTTTCCCCCAATAAAGGAAAGAGACCATTACTTGCCATGGACTCAGGAGAAAACATTGCCACCCCAGGGCAGGGCCCACCGCTAAGGGGGAATTTCAAGTAAACAATGAAGTTAGGGGTTGCACCATTTTGACAGCTGGGTGGAGGGAGAGTTTTGGAAAAGCAGGATCAGTAGCTACATCTGGGTCATTTCACCTGAGGGCCTTTACCATCCCCTTTCCTGAGGCCAACCTTGTAACCATAAGGTGGCCCCATCTCCCAAACCAAGGAAGGTGGGACTGGTTCTCCCAAAGACCCCCAGCCCCGGGGAGGCAGAAAGGCAGAAGGGAAGGCAACCAGAATGGTAACATCACGGTCATAGTGTACCAGCCACTGATGAGAGCCAGGTACTCTACTCTTAAGAGACTCAAGGATGTCCCCAAAATGCCAGGAGGAATTATAATACGAGTAAAATGTGCAAAAGGAAAAAGAAAAAGCTTCAATGACTCAATCCAAGCATCCAGGATTAATATTCCATCAGAGCATGAACACTTTTTTTTTTTGATTCTCTCCCTCCCCCCACCCCCCACTGGAATATTCCATCTGCTCAAGTACCCAAAGTAAGACTGACACAGCCTGGGGCAGGGGCCAGGGAGGGACGAAAGGAAGGACGAAGAGAAAAATCACCACAAAAGAAAAAAAAAGGTGCAAATTGGTTACCTCAGTCCTCCTTTTTCCACCCTGGGCTCCTGGGTTAGACAGGTATGCAGCAAAAATATAATGGGTAAGGAGGAAAAACAAGCCCCCTTCTCTCCACGAAAGCAAAGCCTTGGCCTTGGCCTGTCCTCAGAGGGGCCTCCTGGGAAGAGAGGGAAGGAGTAGGCAGCAAGGGCAGTCTCCAGGGCTGGGGCAGGAAGCCTGGCTGTCCCCTCCCTGCTGCTGCCACCACTGCTGCTGCCACTGCCACCACCACTGTCAAGGACTGTATGGGACAGTCTGTGGTGCTCTCCTCTCTTCTCCCTCCCCTCCCCTCCCCATGGCAGGCATTATAACTGGAAGCCCTCCATGGGGGCCTCAGGCTGCTGAAAGATGAACTGCTGCTGCGTCTCATCCACCCGAGGAGTCAGGCCTGTGTCTTCATCTTCCACGCCAAAGTAGTGTTCAATGAGGTCAAAGGCCTTCTGGTAGATCTCTTGGTTTTCATGGCTCTGGAGAAACTCGATCTTGTCCAAGCCTAGGAGGACAGAGGAAAAAGAAGTGTAATGAATGTTCTCCACTTGAACCATAGACAGCCAGGCTTGAAGGGACCTCAGAGGCCCAGACGCTACATGCCCAGGAAGAGCTTCCGTGCCACTCCCCACCCTGCAATTCCTCATCCAAGTGGTCACACCCTCTCCAGGGGAAGTCTGCTCGATTTCTGGACCGCTGTAAAAGTCAGGAAGTTCTCCCTGACTGGAGCCAAGTCTGTCTCTGGGAGTTCTACCCAGCACCCCAATGTCTACCTCTGGGGGACAAGCAGAACTAGCCTAGAACCTCACCCACATGATGAAACTTAGATGTACATCATGTGTCCCTTACGTTCCTTCTCCTCCAGACTAAGTTCCCCTGGTTCTTCTAACAGATCTTCATAAAAGTCTCTGGTCTGCTCATCAACGACTTCTAACATGTAACCCAGAAACAGACAATTCTCCAGAGGAGGAATGACCAGGGCAAAGGGCAGGTGGCTGATTGAGGGCCTCCCTCAAGCTGGACCCCTAGGTCGAAAAGGGAAGGTGGGAATTTGGGCACATGCTGTCTGTAGCCTACAAGGGCCTACCACCCTTTTATCCTTTAAGGGTAATAACTGTCCTATGTAAATTCTTCCTAGAGTAAGAAAGTGGTTGGGCCCCTCCCCCAGGCATAAAATATTTATTTTCTCACATTCCCTCAAAGTACAACTACACCGATACATCATCTTGGCATTAAAAAAAATTCATGCTATGTTTTCCTTTATATATTAATTACTTTAGAAGGCAGAAGCCATATCTCTGAGATCGGCAACTACTACTAGAACTTCAAAAATGGTTCATCTCCTGGGCCTCTGCCCAACCTGAAAAGGGCCACACTCAGAATTCCCTAAGACCCAAATAACATTTGCTCTATGGACGAGTCCTAACAAAGAAAATTCCCTGAGAGGCTGGAAAAGTCACCCTAGCCTTACCCACAGAGGTAATGGAAATTTGGAGGCGTATTAGGACAGAAGCAATGGGATACAGTGGAGAGAATGCTCAACTGGGAGTTCAACCTGGCTTCTAGTCATGGCTCTGAAACTTATTAGCCAGGTGACCCTAGGCAAGTCACTTTACTATCTGATACTCATTACAGCTGTTACAGACAAAAACTACCCACCTCACATGGCTAGCATGAGGAAAATGTTTTGTAAATATGAAAGGACCATAGAAAGTAAACTATCACTATCACCACTTACTAGCTAGGCAACATTGCCTCTATTTGAGCCTGTTTCTTCTTTTGTAAAAAAACAAAAACATACTTACCAGGGTTAGGAGGAAACCAAAGAAAATGCTAAATACAAAGCCCTTTAAGAATATGAAAGGAGGGGGAATTGTTCTGACCTCAAAGGGCTAGAGATGCTACCTACCATAAGCTTCTTCAATGAGGCCACAGTAGGGGTTGGCCCCCGTGCCTGTCCGCTTAGCCTCTTGCTCACCCAACCGCAGGATGTTCTCCAGGCCATTGAGGGCAACTTGTACAATCTTAGAGTCCATCACAGTCAGCAAGTCGCACAGAGGTTTGATGCAACCCAGCGTAACCAGATACCTGGGAGCCAATGGTAAGGCAAACGCCACAGGTTAACACACACCAGCACACCAAGAGTTTTTGGCTTATGGGCCTCTCGAGCCCCCTAAAATTCCTCCTGTGGAGGGTTCGATTCCTGATCCATCAAGGGAAAGCAGTGCCAACTCTCAATCACCTGCAAGGTCACTCAGTCACTGTTGCAGAATTGATGATCTGTGCCCCACTGAGTCCCACGCTGATTCTCCCCAGCAGCTTTCTAGGCTGCTCCTTTGGACCACTTCACAAGGTGTATTTTAAGAACACAAAAAAGCATTCGCTTCTGTCACAGACAGGTATACTGCCTGGCTTCAGCTTGTTGGATATTATCTAAGCTAAATATAAGGTATATTTTCTATCCATTATTGTGAAACTGACTATTTTTAACTGTCCAAAAGATGAAAAATATTTAAAAACATTTGTGGCAAGTACATGTCACAGGAAAAGCACTGTGTCCAATCTTTTCTCAGGTTCCACCGGTTCTAGTGGAAGGCTCACTCCAGGATCCCCATGAAAATCCAGCTTGCCCTCTCTCCCTATCCTTGTTTAAGCTAGAATGGAGGAGGGGTTTCTCAGGCAATGGCAGATTGGAGTTGTGTGTTCATGTAACTGCGAATGGCTGTACTGAGGAATGCCACCTAGTGCTTGAGGGCAGGAGGAGGGGGTGGGTGGTAATATTATGGGGAAGGGAGTGCCAAGTACCTGATCTGCTCAGGAGTTCCCCCTGACGTGGCATTGGTGATGGCCCAGGCAGCCTCTTTCCTTGTGCGGAACTCAGCTTTCTGCAGGATCTCGATCAATACAGGAAAAATATTTGCATCTATGACAGCCTGGAGCAGAGGGAAGAAAGTACAGCGTGTGGAGGTAGGCGACAGTTCTACCAAAGGACTTCCTTGGTCATGAGAATGGACCACAGAGCAGATCCTGCCAATCAGAAGACCTGCATCCCTGGGGATTTTCAAGCACAGAGCCTAGAACTATGGACTCTCACACAGATAGGGAGGAGGAACAGTAGAGAACCTGGCTTAATTCTTGTGGACCTATTGTCCACTAGGTTCAACCCTGACCTCACTTCTACGAGTAAAAATGAAATCCTGCCCTTGGAAGTAAACACCTGAAGGCTCTTCTTTTTGGACCAAAGACTTATAAGAGGCTGAGGTGATCTAGTCTGGACACTTGAACAAGAATCCTTTTTCCTTCTCTACCTGTATCTGAGCCCTGTTTCCAGCTGTGATGTTTGAAATTGTCCAGCAAGCTTCTTTCCGTATTGACTCCTTGGGGCTACTCAGTAAGTGGAGGAGGCAAGGTAGGGCTGCGCAGTTGAGAATCACCTGAAGAAGAAGAATACAGTTGCTGGTAACTTGCATCTGTCACTCTAACAGTCACAGTGCCCCAGAACACAAAGAAATCCTGGCTCAGGACTGTTCTTATCTGTCAGGCCCTGCCTTTGTAAAGTCTACTTCCCAGGGGGTGACCTGAAGAAGATGGGGTGTAGGTTTTTACTCCTTACCTGGGTCTGGATGTCGTCACCAGTGACAATGTTGCCTACTGCTCGAAGGGCAGGGGAGGCCACTTTGTAATCATTGTGCCTGCAAGAAAGTGCAAGCCCAAAAGAGACTGGGTTAGTCTAGGACAAATACCTGAAGCACAGGTTTGTTGACTTTAAGAGCAGTAGAGGAGAAAAATAAAAAGACTAGAGAATGTAGACTAGAGGAAAAAAAAGACCTTACAAATCACCTAACCACTTTATTTTAGAAATGAGGAAACTGAGGCCTACAAAGGTTACATGACTTGATCAACACTACAGAGGTAAAGAGTTAGAATTGGAACCCTGGTCCTGACTCCAAATCTAACGAGCTTTCCACTATATCAAGTTAACTTCATAGGTCAGCTAGTCCATCTACCTTGAAGCTGACAACGAATCCCATCTACAACATCCCGTACCATCTACAGTACCAGGACCTCACTCGCCCGTCTGGACAGGGCTAACCTCAAACTGAAACAAAATCTGGCTTGTCTACAATCTTAGCTGTCACTCGACCCATCTAATAATGGGGACTAGGCAGTACTTACACAGTTCATTAAAGCTGGCTAAGTGCTTTCTAGGGATTATCTCATTTACCCTTTTTCTTTCTTTCTTTCTTTTTTTTTTTTTGCTTTCCTCAGAAACTTAAAGACAGTGATCAAATTCCCCCTTAAGTCTTCCTCCACTTTTCCAGGTGGACAACCGTGATGTCATGTGCAGCTCCACGATCTCACTTACTCCATGTATCTACTGAGTTGCTAAATCTTGCCATTTTTCCCTCCACCGATTTCCTCAGAGCTATCCCCTTCTCACTACTTAGCTCAGGCCTTTGTCATCTCTCTCCTGGGCTATATTTCAAGGTCTCCTAAATGATCTCCAAGCCTCGAGTCTTTCCCCTCTCCCATTCATCTTCTATGACACTTCCAAAGTGATTTTCCTGAACTTCGGGTCTAACCACATCACTTACTCCAGGCCCAGTGGCTCTAGCTGCCTCTAGAATAAAATACAAATGCCCATTTGGCTTTAAAGCCCACCCAATCCTGGCTGCAATTACACAGGGTGTACCAAAAGTCTTAATGTAGCTATTGAAGCTCAAAACTGCACTAAGCCTTTGGGGACATCCTGTATCTTATTTCTTTTTCCCCCCTCTAGCCTAACAGGTTTTCTGGCTGTTTCTCACACTCTCTCTCTAGGCCTTTTTTTCCTTTTTTTTTTCTAAATTAAGTTTTTATTGATATCATCTGTTTCATATATCATCATAGTATTCTTCCCTATCTCATAACAAAGAGAACTTTTTAGACAAGAAAAAAAAATTAGTATAACTGATCCAAACATTGAAAAAGTCTTCAAACCCATGCAATGTGTGATGTCCTAGGGCCTTGCACCTCCACAAAGGGCAGGTTTGGGGTATCCTCTCATAGCTCTGTGCCTTCTCAGGCATTGCCCTTCGTGCCCCATTTCCTTGCAGAATCAGCTCAAGCACAGGCCCTGACATGAAGCCTGGCCTGATGCCGACGGCGAGTGTCCTCCCTCCTTCACTTCCTAAAATGCCTGGCATTTATTCTATTATGGTAAACTTGAGAGCAAGGACCGATTCATTTCTGTTTTGGCATCACCCGCACTCCGCACAGGACCTGACACAGGGCTAGCCTACTAGCACACGGTAGAAACTTAAAAAGTCTTTTCTCAGGCTAAAAACTCTGCTCCTCCAGCAATAACATCAATGATAACTACTAGCAACCCATAGAAAACAGGATACATGTTATTACCCCCATTTAACAGATTGTAAAATTTAGGCTCAGAGAGCTTCAGTAATTTGCCCAAGGTCAAATAATTTGAAAGCATCAGTGCCAGGACTGGGACCTGGCCTGCTGACCCCGAGATCAGTATTCTTTCCATTAAAGAAACTGGTTGTGAGGATTTTCCAGAGCCAGGCAAACAAGAAGCTCCATCCGTTCGTAAACAATCTGAAGCTATAAGTAATTTGAGAGAGGTGCCCCTGCAGCCACACTCAGGGGAGCCTAATGAATGACTTCTCTTTGCTGAGAGTCAGGTTGGCCATCCAGCACTCACATTAAGAGCTCCACCAGTCTCCGACAGACCCCAGAGTCTATGACGGCTTGAATCTTCTCGTTGGGACCGTCTGACAGATAGGAGAGGGCCCAACATGCATCTGCCAGCAAATCTGAGTCACTGCTGAACAGAAGGCGGGACAGCACAGGCAAACAGGGAGACACCTGCGGAGGCACAGAGAGAACAGCTCAGACTGGGCGGTGAAGCAAGGGTGGCCCAAGGCCATGAGGCACTTCTGGCAAGCATCTGTTCTGCCTTCTGACCCAAGAACACAGACTAAACCCGATGGGCCTTTCACGGCTTATCAAATGCTTCCTGTGCAACCTAGTAACTAACAGGATTCTCCTCTTCTCCCCATTTTACAGATGAGAAAATGGAGGCTGGTTCAGAGAAGTGAGGTGACTTGCTCAGAGTTACACAAGCTAACTGCTCACAGAGCTGGGATTTTCAACAATTAGTTCTGACTAATACTAGTATTCTTTCCACCACTATCTCACCATGCTAAGACTCTTTTCTGAGATTAGGACTTTCTGGGAACCTAATGAAAAAGGTTGACTATATAATACAGTAGCCAAGGAAAAGCCCCCTTTCTGGATGCATTCTCCACAGAAACCTGATAGCATTCTGGCTCTGTGTAAGGGGTCAGAGGGAGAGCAGATGCACAATGGGCTCACCTTCTCAAACTCGGGGGGCGGATTCTTTCCTCGGCACAGGTTTGACAGGGCCCAGACAGCATTCCGAGTCATTGTTACACGTGTGGACTTGGTGAGGAGTCTGAGGGAAATGCAGCACAGGAAGTCAAGCCTGGGTACAAGCCTGGAGGAGACTCCTTGGGGATTTTCTCCCACAAACTCTGCATGACTGAGACTCTAGATGGGTCAGGAAGCTGAGCTGAGTGGCACTGCAGAGGTCTTGGGGTAACAGCCCCACACTCTCACGTTAGGAGGTGGTTCAGATGTGGCTAATTTGCCCACTATGCATAAGCAACTGTATGCTGCTGACTTTGGAGAGCCGTTACTTCAAAGGTGCTAGAAGTCTGATCCTAAGACATATTTAGAGCTGAGGAAAATGAGGGAGGTGATATGGCCTGTCCAGGGTCACTCAGGTAGTAAACCTTACAGATGGGATTTGAACCCAGGTCCTCTGACTCCAGAAATCATGTTCTTTCCACCGTATCACATCCTTCTCCAAGTCACAGTTTCTTCATGCTTTAGCAGAGGGTCTCATGAATTGGTAAGGCCACAAAATGTTCCCTGGTGGCCAACCTTCTAATGATAAGCCTCTGTTCTCTGCTAGGCCTGTTTTTAGATGGCAAACATAATTAGTCCCTGGGCCTGTTTTCAAGGTCTTTTTAGCTGAGTGGAATAGCTCTTTACGTGGAGCATTTTGGTCCTAGGGCACATGCACAAAATGATGGTTTCTGAAACCACAAAAAAGAAAGCGCCCCATGAGACTTACCAGAGCTTCTTGCCCACCTAGATTCAGAATCTTATCAGATAAAGAGACATGATTAAGAAAAAGCAATACTCATTGGAAAGTGGTGACTTGCATAATGAGCATAAACAGAATCCACCTGTTTAGTCCAAAAGCAGACTAACTCTGGCAACCATAATGGCGATTTTCAAGAATTAAAGACTGCCCAGGTTGGACCAGAGAAATCATCTGGTTCAGTGCCCTTGCTTCACACATCCAGAAACTGAGACTCAAGAAAGCAAAGTGATCTGCTCTGTACTGCCCAGGAAGCGAGCAAGGGAGCTGTGACTTGAGACGAGGCTCTTGTATTTACAATCTTTCTTTTCCCACCACACCAAGCAGCCTCTTAGAATTCCTCACATCCAGAAGCCTTTGCCTGCACAGTGTTCTATTCCATTCTACCACCCATAGGCCACTCAGGTGCCCACTATTCAACAAGTCCAGGGATGCCCTGGGCTGAGGGGCCTATGGTTACTCACATCAACAACGGTGGGAGGATGGCACAGTTCAAGACATAATCTCTGCAGACAGAGCTGTCACCAGCTATGTTTCCCAGGGCCCAGACTGCCTGAAAGGAAAAAATGGTACTCTTAACAACACAGCTTGTCTGGCTGCAGAGAATGTTTGGGTCACCTGGTCCAACCTGGATTCATTTTATGGCTGAGGACAAGGACTCATTAACCCAGAAGGATGAATGATTTGCTCTAGGACACACAGGCATTAGAGCTAGGATTCAAACCCAGTGATTTTCTCATGGAACCACAGTGTCCATGTAAGCAGGCATTTATTTAAGCACAGCTCACAGGGTCATAGTAAGTTCCATATGGCTTAGTTCTTAGGCCCAGTCACCCCCCCCCCACTTTCTCTAAACCTCAGTAACTCCAAAGACAGCCCATCCCAGACCTTCCTGGAACGAGGGGGTGATCAGCCTGGTAGCATCTTTAGAACCCCTTGAACAAGACTTATACAATTAGGAGTGACCAAACATCTGCTCAGAGCCTCAGCCAGAAACTAGGGGAGGGAGACTCAGCCCTCCCACTTACCTCCAACCAGCTCATTACCTGTTCTTGTACATCCTCAAAGTCAGAGTTAAGTAATTCTATGAAGATAGGGACAGCTCCAGCTTCAATGACAATTTTGGTCTGTTGTGAGGTTCCTGAGGCAATGTTGGTCAGGGCCCAGGCAGCTTCAAACTGAAAGAGGTATGGTGGGAAATGGATTATTGGTGTCTGTGTTGGGTAGACTGGAACTGCAAAGTGTGGGGATAGGGCGTGCCCATTAAACGTATCCCATGGCTCAGGAGGATCCCCCCCCCGCTTACGTGGAACAGAACCCAGAGGCTGGTAATCAAGAACTGACAGAAACCGTCTGCTTCCTCCACAGGAGCCCCAAGCCAGACATGCAGTAGGACCCTCCCTAGAGGTCAGGCTGGGGAATCACAGAATGTTAGCGCTGAAAGGGACCTTAGAGATCATTCAGCCCAACCTCCTCATTTTACAGGACTCGAACCCAGGTCTCCTGACTCTCAGTCCGGTGCTCTTTCCATTACACCACGCTGCCTCCCACTCGAGGCTGCCTGGTTTCAGGTGGTCTTGAGGGCGAGGGGGCAGATCCCATTTCTTGCCAGCTGCCTGAGGGGTGTGGGGGAGAGCCCTGTCACACCCTCACGCTCCCCCCGCCCGCCATCCAAAGCATAACACAGCACCTGAGGCAGGCAGCAGCCCTGCTGGGTCTCTGTACCCAACATCTCCCCCATAGTCACCTGTAATGTGCAGTTCTCGCTCCTCTTCAGAAATTCCACAAACCTGTCCACTACTCCAGGGGTATTAATCACCTCATCTATGGGAGGATTTGGCTCTGTGGGGAAAGGCCAAGAATTAAGAGAGGTCTAGGTTACACCTGCTCCCTGGCTGGCACCTCCATTCCATCTGGTGATAATGGCAACACTTCAGGTGTCCTTTTCTCAAGCAACACACATGTGAGCCTGAAAGAAAATTTCAAGTCTCTTTGTAGGCAAAATGTCTGCGCTATGTATAGGCAGTCACCACTAAGCAATTTTATGTGAGCAGGTCACCAAAAAAGTTCTAATGTGTGTAAAATGAGGGGAAGGTGTCTAAACTGAATAAGGAATATCAAGGACTCACAAGTAGGTGTTGTACAATGCATGAACAAATCTCTCTCCCCCTCTCATCTGTGAGTGTCTTAGTTTCCTCATCTGTAACATGGGGAATTACTTGGCTACCTCTACCTTCACAGAGAATGCCACAGAAATATTGACAGTTATCATTCAGAAAGCAAGCGGCCTTGAAAGATGAGTATTTTATTCTTTGTGACTAGTCCACTCTCAAGGCTCAGAAAAACTTCTGGAACCAGCAAAACTTACTGGAATGTAACAGGCCCAGAGAGGAATCTTGGCAGAAGATGGAATTTCACAGCCCCCTAAAGCTCAGAGATGGAAAGGGGCTTCAGAAGACGTCTAGTACAAATCATGCCTGTGTGAGGATGCCCTCTAAAACCTTCCTGACTAGTAGGACCTCCTGAGGCAGGTGAGGGGAAACTCTAGTGAGTATTGAGTGAAATCTACCTGCCGCAGCCATCCCCTCCTCTCCTGTTTGGGGCCAAGAATCAGTCTGACTCCTCTGCCCCTTCCAGTCTGAGGGGTTTATAGAGGGCCACCTGGCTTCTCTTTTCCATGCTAATATCTCTAGTTCTTTAAGGAGAGAAATATGCTGCCAAGCTGTGTCACTATTTCCTTCCTGAGTTGAAGAGTGTCTTACCCTTTGAGAGCAGCTTGCGGAACTTCTGTGTGGTTGCTAACTGCAGGTCGGAGTCTTCAGAAAAGAGCATCTCCACCATCTCTCTTGTGATCACTCTGTCCTAAAGGGAAAGGATAAAGCGGGGACTTGATGAGCAACCAGAAAATCCAGCTTCCAAGTCCCAAGAGCCCCCTTGGGCTCATTCCCAGAGCATCTACTATGGAAAGGCTCTGAGGGTTAGTATGAGAATGCAAATAAAAATACCATTATAGGATTTAATGTTAGAAGTGATATTTGAAATCATTTGGTCCAACTCTCTCATTATAAAGAATAGAAAATCAAGCCTTTGCCAATGTCAAACCAGCTCTAAGGAGCAGAACAAACCCAAGTCCCTTCATGCCAAACCTAATAATGCTCTGTCTACTATACCTACTCCTTCCATACTCACTGCATAGAGAAATTCACAGGATATAAAGATCACTCAACAAAGAAAATTCCTCTAAGTTCTATTTCATCTATTGCTGCCACATAGCTTAATGAGGAAAAAATCTGGAATGCTCAAAACTCTATTCTTACTCCTGAGGATTCTGGGATAGATTATTACTACTTTTCAAGTGACTTCCTTGGTGCCTGGTCTATAAAGAATATTAGGATCGCAACTGGCCTAACATGGTGCTTTTTTAAAGACAACAGAGACAACAAAAAAGAATCTCTCCCAGTGTAATTATGGGTGTTAACAGGAACTGATATGACATGCCTAATCTCAGGTATATGAAAGTAGGAAACCTCTAATATTGTACATTCAGGCCTTACCCCAGTGGTGGAACTGACATAGGAGTCCATGAGTAGTGTGTCAAACATGGCGGCGTCTTCACTGATTAGTTCCACATTTCTTCGTTTAAAAAGCTGAAAGTAAAAGTTAAAAGGGTCAACAGTAAGTATATCTGTTTGTTTGCAGACTCATAAATAATATCCAAGGCCAGGCCAGGCCAGACCAGCCCTTCCCCTTTTCACATCTGTCTATATCTAGTCAATGATAGTCAGATAGCTTGTCCAGAAGATGAACTGATTTGGATAGAATGGATAAGTGTAGAGGCATATAACTAAACAGGCTCCAAATTCATACCAAGAGCCAAGAAGAACCTCAGGGAAACCCTAAGACGATGAAACCAACTGAAAACAGAATTGCCAGCTCTGCCTACAGCATCAGAAAGGGTGGATCTGGGAGTTCCTAGCAGGTAGCAGGGATGATGAATAAGACTTTAAATGCCATTTTGTTTTCATCTTATGAATATCTGTATGGAAGAAATGGACAACAATAAGAGAGAGGGCCATAAATAGGTGTTTTAGAGGGATACGGGGCATGTAAGACACGGTCACAGCCCTTGAGTTTACAGACTATTTGAGGAGACAAATACATGAAAATAACATACGTGCTATGCTTTTGACACAAGTTCTAGATTGAGTTCTGAGGGCAAAGAAATTACCTGGAGGCATCATGGTTATAAGCAAAGTTTCATTAAGAGGTAGGACTAGTGCTGACAACTAGCCAAGACTCAAGGCAGGGGAGGTGGTGATGCAAGTTGGGGGCTGGCATGAAAAAAAAGAAAGGAAGGCGAGCACATGGCTTGTTCAAAGGGGACAAGGAGTAGACTAATCTGGCAGGTACCTTTCTTCCTTCTGTCCACCAACAGGGTGCTTTGCAGGGAGATGGGAATAAGCATGATTAGAGATGGAGCCAATACCAAAGTGCTTGCTTCGCTTTGCAATATCCCACACCAGTCCCCTGTAATATGAGATTACAGCAAATCCGTCCCCACTGTTTTTCCCATTTTTGCAGCAGAGGTGATTAGTTCCATCCTCACCTGTTGTTCTCGTTTCTGCTTACGGAGCTGGATTCCCTCTTCCTCTCGCCGCCTTCTCATTTCTTCTGGGTTTAGTGCTTTGTTCTTATAGCTCTTCATCCGGTAATTGTCCTTCCCTGGGCTCGCCATGGTTTCTAGAGAAATGAAAGAATGGCAGTCACTACCTATAAGAGGAGATTCCCTCACCTGGTTCTCTCCATCCTCCAAAGTGGGCCTAAGTCTAGGATGCCTCCAGCCTGCTCCCAGATGCTCCCACTGGGTACAAGTCTTGCTTTTTGACATCTGAAGAGGAACAATAATGGTAGTAATCTTATACAAAAACTCACACTTGGAGACTGCAAAATCTTTTTCCTAAATCCAGAAATAATGACAATAGCTGACATCTGTAGAGTGCTTTAAGGCTAACACGATACTAGCTCTTCTTCCCTTAATCCTCACAATAACCCTGTGTGGTAGCACACTTCCAAGTATTTCAATCTGCATGTCTCACATATAATAAACAGCAGGCCCTCAAATCCCAGATTCAGTGTCTCCCCTATTAAATTATGCTGTTTTTCTATAGAATGGCATTCTATGTTTAAAAAAAAAAGCTTTTCTTTATGTACCAGATGGCTGACAGAAACAATGTTTTGTTGACACTGGATTCTGTAGAATGAACGATTCTAGGAAAGTACTTTCTCTGGTCCCTGGTCCATGTCATGGCCTCTCTACAGAACTAAAAAACAGAACTGTCACTTTAAGCCAGAGAAGGTGAGCTGAGCTCTTCATATTTTTTCAGTTGTCATATATCAGTAGTTATCCCTCAAATCATAGAAGATCAGATCACATATGTGGAGCAAGAAGTTACCTTAGATATCTTTGGCCAATCTGGTCCTAAAGAAAGGTCTCCATTTCAATATACTCAATAGTACATGTCTAACTTCTGTCTGAAGACCTCCAATGAGGGTAGATCCACTCATTCCACTTTCACAATACTAATTTTCCATATGACTAGCTTATATTTGCCTCTTCAAAAATGCTATCTAATTTTGCCCTCTGGGACCAAGTGGTACAAGTCTGGTCTTTCTTTGACTTTAACTATTCCTTGTACTGTATGGTCAAAGTCATTTGCCATCCTAGTTGATGTCTTTTGGAAGCTCTCTGGTTTATCAACACCCTTCCTAAAAGGTAGCACTCACCTTTTTTGAACACAATACTCTAGATGTATTCTGACCAGAAATTTATCCTTCAATTATCACCCCTCTAGCCCTCTACAGCTCAATGGAATCAAGATCTCAATGTTAGAACTCCCTCTAAAGATGTAGGTCACAATCCATCCATACCATCTCAGTCTATACAACCCTATTCCCAACTTCCTGTGATTCTTTCACAGAAAGCCCACCAAATGTGCCAAAAGCCTAGGTTACCAATGGAATACATCTATTAGTCATTAAAGACCTTCTTAGACCTTCTTTGCTAGTTACACATTTCACTGATAAACATTTTCTCTTGGGCAATTTTTGGTTGGTAACATGTTGCAGCCTATTCGTACCCACCACATACCCTAGGTAGACGTTTGGGCAGCCTGTAATTTTTAATCCTAGACTCGTTATAATGCATCACTGGAAAAATACTATCAGACAAGACGAGCCTTTGATTCAAGGGGGAGAGAAAAGGGTGTCACTAAAAGCGCTGCAATTTTAGGTTGGTTTCCATCCTCTTCAATTCTTGACTGAGCTTACCATCTGTTTGCAACATCTGTCTAAGATATATGTACTGATGAACTAATTCTTTAGTTGGTTGCTTATCCAACTGTATATCATATTCTGAATAAGAATTATTCATCCATTTGGCTTTCCCTGTATGAACAGTTAGGCTGAACTCAGCTCCAGATCTTTCACAGACAAATGTCTAGCAACGTCTATCCCATTTTATAATTATGCAGTTCAGTTTCTGAACTCAAGCATAAGACTTCATATCTCTTCCTACCGTATTTCATCTTTAATATATTCAGCTCAAAGTTTGGGCCTGTCAAATCCTCTTTGGCTCCTGATTTAGTCATCTAATAGGTTAACTATCCTCAGTTTTGTATCATTCTTATAATTAAATTTCCTATTTATATAGTTATCCAATCTGCTGATTAAAATGTAAAATAGTATGTACAAGGCCAAGCATAGATCTACGAGGCATTCCATCAGAGATCTTCTACACTGTCATGAACAATATTAATGACAATTCTTTAGGTCCAATTGTTCAACTAGTATCCATAATGCTAGCACAAGAGAACACCAAATGTTTTCTTAAGATCTAAGTAACTTTGTAAAAAAAAAAATTAATAAGGAGGGGGGCAGGTAGATGATGCAGTGGATAGAGTACCAGCCCTGGAGGCAGGAGGACCTGAGCTCAAATCCGGCCTCAGACACTTGACACTAGGTATGTGACCCTGGGCAAGTCACTTAACCCCCATTGCCTCACCAAAAATAAAGTTAATAAGGTAAATCTGACATGACCTGTGTTTGAAGGAATACTAGCTCTTTTGTGATGTTTCTTTTTGTAAATATGCACTAACCATCCCTTTAAGAATATAGTTAAAGAGAATTCTGACAAGAGCCAAAGTGGAACTGATGGGTCTTTACTATGCAAACTCCATTCTTTCCCCGCTTTTGAAAATCAGCATTTGCCCATCTCCAGGACTGCAGTAACTTTCCCATTCTCCAATACTGTTCCAAATTACTGATTGTGTGATTCAGTGACCATATCCACCAATTCTTTCAGAACTAAATAGCAAGGTGGCACAATGGACAAGGTGGTGAAAATCTGAGTTCAAATTCTGTCTCAGATACTTACTAGCTATGTAATTCTGTGCAACAAGTCACTCAACTTCTGTTTCCCTCAGTTTCCTCACCTATAAAACAGAGATAATAAAAGCACCTACATCCCAGAGTTGTGAGGATCAAATGAGATAAATCTGTAAAGCACTTAGCACAGTGCCTGGCACACAGAAGGTGCTCAATAAATGCTTGTTCCCTTCTCTTTCCCCTCCCCAAACTGTCTACTAGACATTTTAAGTGGAGTATTTTTTTTTTGTTGGGCAATGGGGGTTAAGTGACTTGCCCAGAGTCACACAGCAAGTAAGTATTATGTGTCAGAGACTGGATTTGAACTCAGGTCCTCCTGAATTCAGGGCCAGTGCTCTATCCACCATGCCATCTAGTTGTCCCTCCACTAGACATTTTAAAATTGATGATCTATAAGCACATCAAACTCAACCTGTCCAAAACAGAACTTATTTCCCCCAAAACTCACTCTTCTTCCAGACTCCCTTATTTCCTAGGGAAACCACCGTTTTTCCAGTTACAACTGACAGTGTGGGTGTCAAACTTGGCGCTTTATTCTCATTTACCCCGTATGTCCAATCAGGTGTCAATCTTGTTGTTTCTTTCTCCACACCTCTCTCACATCTATTCCCTCTTCTCTACTTATACTGCCACAACCCTCAGCCCTTCTCATCTCAATGATTACTTCCTCCGTTTCCTCCTCACTTCAATCTCTCCTCCATATAGCTGCCTAAAGCACAGCTATGACCATGTCATTCTCCCATTCAATAAACTTCAGTGGATCTGTATTACTTGTAGAACCAAACACAAACTCTTCTGTTGAGCATTTAAAGCCCTTTACAACCTGCCCTCGTTCTACTTTCCCAGCACTGCACATATTCCATAGTTCAGCCAAATCTACCTTACGATGTCTTTGACATGTGAAAAAACTGAGGCCCAGAGAGACTGTATGACGTGCCCAAAGTCATCTGCCAGGTACAAACTGACCCAAATGACCTTCATGAAGCTCTCTTTGCTCATTCTATTCCTCATCTCTGCATCTAGAAATCTCTAGCTCCCTTCAAAGCTCACCTCAAAATGCCCCCTTCTACATGAAGCTTTACCTGATACTTGCAGCTGCTAGTGTCTCCAAGCATCTCTCCCTCCCCAACAACCCTGTTTACACTTCTCTCTCTTTCTCTGTATGTATTTGTTGTCTCCTAGAGGGTCAAATCCTGAGGACTGGGGGTATTTCTTTTTTCTCTTTCTAGCTCCTAAGTCTAACTGTGCCTACCACATAGAAGGTGCTTAACAAATTCCTACTGACTCACTGATTATAGCTAAGAGGAAGAAAGGAACAAGGAAGGCAGGCTTCCTCAAAGTGTGGAAGAAGTATATTTCAGGCATAAACCATCAAAGAACCATACAACTGGAGAATCAGAAAGGATGGCAAGGGTTATCTAGGTTCATCTATACCTTGGACAAGGTGGGCTTCAGCTGAGGACCTCGAAGTCAACAAGCAGTTATTAAGAGCTTACTACATGCTATATACTGTGCTAAATAAGCATAAAGTATCCCCAACACCAGCAACACAATAAAATAAAGCACACCAAATGAAAATGGTCTCTGCCCTCAAAGAGTTCACATTCTAATAGGGGAGATAAAATGCAAACAATTATGCATATAGGGGATCTAGACAGTAAACTGGAGTTAAAAGATCCATTCTATTACTAAACCCACTATTCCTCCACAACATTCCAGTGGTTATCCAATCTTTGAAGACCTCTACTGAAATGGAAGGGAAAGGAAGAAGTATTTATTAAGCACCTACTTATATTCTAGGTCCTACGCTAAGCATTTTACAATTGTTATCTCATTTGGGCATCTCAAGGGGAACCCCTTGCTTTCTAAGGCAGCCCATTCTGATTTCAGATAAGATTTCAGAAAGGTTTTCCTTTGATCAAGCCTAAATCTGACTTGCTTTAAACACTCCACTACCCCATCTACAAGAAGTCCCTTGAAACACTTGAAGGCAACTACCAGATTTCCTTCAGTTATCTCCAGGAAAAACACATCCCAGTTTTCCATCCACAGTCCTCAACATCTAGTCTTTCTACTAACTCCTCAGGTCAGGCCCTCATCACCTCTCACCTGGACTACTGGACAGTCTCCCAACTGGTCTTCCTACATCTACCCCATGTTGTCTCCCGTAGAAAGAATGAGAGTTTCTGTGTTCTTTGGCTATTCTCTGGGCTGAAGAGATGAAAAGGGGAGGACCCCAAGGATTTTAAATGCCATTAGCATTTAGGCCCACATCCAGAACTGTGCACCTGGAGCTT